GTCGCCAGATCTGGCACCGATTACCCTGCCTCCAGAGTGCTTCAGAAGCGCTCGCGGTCGTGAGACGCTTCTTCGGCGGCTGATTAGGGAATAGGTTGGCTAACCCTGGATGTCACGGCTCCAGAGTCTTGTGCCTGCGCATGATGACGGCGGTATGCATGAGCAGATGCACCAGCAAATCTCTACAGTGCCGCTGGAATAATTATGGTTCTTGTGGGTTCCAACTGCAGTAGACAACATTGACAATATTGAGCGCGGAAGCCGAAGACAGCGAAGAGCATACCAGCCTGTCCTCAAATGCACCGGTTCATAAAGTCCGGCACGCGACTGCCAGAGTCAACAAAGTGCTGTTTGAGAATCGGGCGTCATAGCACAGAATGACGCTTCATTCCAAGACTAAACAAGTAAACCGTCGTGAAGCAAAGAAGCGCGTCACGCTCGCTTTCGAATGCCAACACCGCTTCCCCTCCTCAACACGAAGTCGTGCGCCACTCACGCAACCCTCTCGGTCGGCTCTTTTCACACTTTGTCTTCGCACACACCCTAGAGAAGCGTACACAAGGTGACGAAAGGATCGTCAATGATAGCCACCGTCAAGCGAGAGCGAAGCGAAATATTCGGCAATATGTCTACAAGTTTACCAGTATACACCTACTCGTAATGGTGACGTTGCAAGGACGTACCTCGCACACACCTGACACAGATCGATGCAGCCAAGGTAAATTTGTTCGAGGCTGAACGGAGGCGTCAAAGCCACAGGAAGGGACCACGGCTTGAATGCGATGAATAGTTCGAGTCTCGGCGTCCGCGTCCATCATCATGCTCATGTGCCGTTGGCGTACCCGTCCAAACCCAAGCTGCGAGAGTGGCACCAGACATCGATACGATGTCGGAATATTTGGTTACCAACATGGGCGGCGGAAAGATAGTCGTGCATTGGGATCAAGCAAGCTACCCATGCTCGGCGAGTAGCACACTACCGGCCCATCATCCTTGGGGCGTGAAGATCCCTGGGGCAACCCCAGATCTTCATTTCGCCGAGCGTTGACTGAGTGAGACCGTGGGCTTGCAGAGAGCGCCGCGGCCTGTACGAGCATACTGCGGTATTGGTCCGGTCACAGTCCTGGACCCAAAATTTCCAGGCAAACAGTGGAGAAGATCTGAGCCTGTGGAGGGGGGTGGGAACCGGACAGACTGCGGGGTTTCCATGTCACAAGAAGTCAGAGGCGAAACCCAAAGGCGTCTAAAAACGCCTCTTGGGTCAGCAGCCAGCTGCTTATGGGTGGACCATCCCAGAGCTCGGCAATGGCGCCCTGGATTGGGACAAGGAATGTACAAGCGACAGCGAGGCTGGTGTCTCCGTCGAATCTCTCCACTCTGCGCGCGACCGATGTCTGCGATCCCGACTGCCTGTCTACCCCGTCACTGCACATACCGACCAACGGCATGTCTCGTCTTGTCTTGCTTCGTCCTGCTGCCTCACTGCGTGTGTGGGAAGCCCAGTGCATGTCCAAGCCGCCCAGAAACCTTGCACGATCTTATTGGACGGGAGGCTGGCGACACCTGACCTGCCTGACCTTGCCAATCCGCTTTACCGGCCCGACTGGCTGCTTGTCAAGCCACGATGCAGTTTGAGCGACGTTGACTCAAGTGGCTCCAATCCTGATCATGCGAGCTCATCTCAGGGACCCACGCTGATTGGGAGTTTCCCCGAATACTTTCACGAAGCGCAGGCTACGACGTACCTTCGATAGGCCCGAATTGACATGCAATCCCACAGCTACCCCTAGCTTCATGAGGAAGCACTGCGTCATTTGAGCTCGAGGGAGAGGACAGCTGAACAGCAGGTACGAGTTGTATATGTACGCAGCACCCTTCCTCGTGAATCCAGTCTTTCCATTTCCTCTGTATTGGGATTGAAATCTGTCCTCGCACGGATCTCCGAGAGATCTTGTCGTCGTGTCCCTGGTTCCCTGCTTTCATTGAGCCTTCACGCAACTACCACGATGAGTTTCGCACACGACGAAGAGAGTGGCCCAGGCCGTAGTGGCAGGCACATGAGTGTCTCTCACTATGCCAACAACATGGGAGCACCCACGTACGATACAACTAGACGGAGATCTTCCATCGTTCCTGCGGCCGCCCTGGGAGCACAACAGGACGAGATAGTATTCAACCAGAAGGATGAAACCCTTCGCAAGATGTCCGTCGCAGTGCCCAACCTTGCTGAGCTCTCCGCCGATGCCAAAGCCGCGGCGGACTTGGAACGCAAGATGGGTTTCCGCGAGGGCTGCCGGCTGTACCCCAAGGCCATCCTCTTCTCTTTCTCCCTTTCCCTTGCCGTCGTCATGGAGGGCTACGATACCTATTTGCTCGGCAACTTCTTCGGATTGACGACTTTTGCTCGAAAGTACGGCTCCCCCGCAGGCATCGTCGACGGTGTCCAGACCTACCAAGTTTCTGCCTCGTGGCAGTCCGCACTCTCGAACGGCACTGCTGCCGCTCAGATCATTGGGCTTTTCCTCAATGGTATCATTTCTGAAAGGATCGGATACCGCTGGACGATGATCGGCTCGCTGATGTTCATCACCGCCACCATCTTCATCACCTTCTTCGCCGTCAATGTGCGGATGCTGCTTGCTGGTTACGTTTTGTCAGGACTTCCTTGGGGGTAAGGCACGCCGATCGGTGACCTAGTGACTCGATGCTAACGACCAGCCAGAGTCTTTCAAACACTGACCACGACATACGCTGCCGAAGTCACCCCGGTTCCACTCCGACCATACCTGACGACCTACGTCAATCTTTGCTGGGTCATCGGCCAGCTTATTGCTGCCGGTGTCCTCAAGGGCTTCGTCAGTGCGACCGACCAATGGGCATACCGCATCCCCTACGCCATCCAGTGGGTCTGGCCTCTGCCCATCGCTCTCGCCGCGTTCCTCGCACCGGAAAGCCCGTGGTGGCTCGTGCGCCATGGCAAACTCGATCAGGCTCGTGCTGCGCTGCTCAAGCTGACGTCGAAGAAGAACACTGAGTTCAATGTTGAAGATACATTGGCGATGATGATACACACCAACGAGCTTGAAATCCAGCAAACTGCTGGTACCACCTACCTGGACTGCTTTAAGGGGGTCGATCGTCGGCGAACCGAAGTGACCTGCATCACCTGGCTTATCCAACAAACCTCTGGATCTCCCATGATTGGGTGGGGCACCTATTTCATGATTCAGGCTGGCCTCAGCGAAGCCAACGCATATTCGCTCGGTGTCGGCCAGAGCGCAATGGGCTTCTGCGGAACCGTCCTGTCGTGGTTCCTGATGCCCCATTTCGGTCGCCGCACCTTGTACCTCTGGGGCCAAGTCGTCATGTTTGTCGTCCTCGTAATCATTGGCGGTCTCGGTGTACCGAGTTTGTCCACCTCGGTTGGCTGGGCATCCGGGGCTTTGATCCTGATTCTCACCTTCGTCTACGATTTCACCGTCGGCCCCGTCTGCTACTCTCTTGTGGCCGAACTCCCCTCCACTCGTCTTCGGATTAAGACGGTGGTCTTGGCACGAAACGTGTACAACATCATGGGTATCGTCGTTGGCACCTTGCAACCACGTATGATGAATCCCACGGCCTGGGGTTGGCGTGGAAAGACTTGCTTCTTTTGGGCTGGTCTCAACTTGCTCGGCTTGATCTGGAGCTATTTCCGGCTTCCGGAACCCAAGGTATGTCTCGCTATATGGATCTGTCCTTGGGTGAGTCTAACATGGTCGTCAGGGTCTTACCTACGCCGAACTCGATGTCTTATTTGAGAACAAGGTCTCGGCTCGCAAGTTCAAGACTGTCAAGGTCGACCCCTACCGCTCCGACAATCTCGTCATCGTGCCGGACGACGAGGGCGACTACTCAGTCGCGGAGAAGAAGGGTTTCTAAGATACATCCCTCTGTTAGTGCCTATCAGCAGAACATCGACTGGATGGTGCTGGATGTCTCGCCCTCTCTCTTGCGCTTGCTACGAGGTAAATATGAGCTATGAGTAGCGTTTCACTGCCAGATCGAACTAATCGACGAATCATTATCAATCCTATGGCTTCTTCTTGGAACAGCCATCGTTGATCCTGTACCGCGTCCTGCTATAATCACACTCGCTGGGTGTTTTGCCCGTTGTCGGCGCAAATTTGCGGGGTAATTTCCCCACCTGCTCTCTTTCGTCATCACTTGTCATCGCGTGAGTTCACGTGACTCGTCTGTACCCAAAGCGCCTCGCAACTTTTGGGGGCCAACATTCGTCCACAAATTGATCCCTGGTCACCTGCTGCTCATCTCGGTAGCAATTGCTTCGTACGCAAAATGCTGTCTTCTCTGCCCGTGGATGTGCGGTTGTTTGCAATAATGAGGGTACCTTCCTCGCTGTCAAGGCAGCCGACGGCAACAACGTTATGAAACTTTTGGCCTTTTGTCTGTGCGACACCAAGTCTTCTCTCAGCCGGTCTAGCCTATCGACTCGTCTCGGCCATCGTTAAACCCGCCAAAAGGCCCTGGACTTTCTGCACCTCTCCCTCTCAGCCGCACCGCTAGGCGACGAAGCCACATTGGCGAAAGATGATTCGCTCGAGACCCTTGATTTACCGAGTCCTCGTGTCACTGGCCGAGAGATATGCAAGGCCAGTCTAGGCGACACACTCCATGACCAGCAGCGATTAATGCGGAGCTCCCGTTCTCATGTGTTGGGGTTTCCTCAGCCTCATTCTTTTCATACACTCTGCTTCTTGCTTTATTTGTTCCGTCTACGCCCTCATGGGTAGCCAAGTGCTCCTGCTGCATGTGTTTTACACGTGTCTGACTTAACCTTGTGTTCTTAGGCTGCCACGAGCCGCGCCTTGTGCTGCCCCCTGTCGCCTTGCTGAAACAACGCGATCGAATTTGAGCGGGCTCGAGAGTTGGAGCCAAGCGAAATCATTATTTCGTCCAAGCACGGTCTTCTCGCTGCTTGAAAAGACGCTCCAAACGCCATGGATGACCGCAGAGACAATGTTGGAGGAGGCGGTCGATACTACGGCCCGATCCCTGAGCTAAACATCCCTCCACCCCAACCCAAGATGCGCCGCAAGATACGCCGGCAGCCTCCACAGGAGACGGTGAACCAATTCTGGGATCGAATGGCTCCCAGGTTCCCGGGTAAGGTCTTTACAGTCCTCCCTGACAATCCCTATGCTCGCAAGAAGGCAGCAAAGACGCCCCATGGCACCGTCTCCGGCCAACGCGCCGCGAAATCGTACGAGGAGGCTCGCGCCGAATGTGAGAAAGATGTGAACAGGATTATCAAGGAGTGCCGTCGACTCAACCAGAAGTATCGAGATCTGCACTTCGACATCGAGTGGGATCTGAAGTCGGGCCAAAGGAATTGCCTGGACGGCTTGAGCACGCCAGGTGATTCAATGAAACCAAAGGGCGTCAAGAGAATAACGGTTTGTTCTCGTTCCCCCCAGAATGTCAGACGGGGAGTGCTGAATCTCTCTAGGACATCTTCGAGAAACCCCAATTCTTCATCAATGGTCCCACTGCTGGCGACGTCAGACAGGGCCGCGATGGGGACTGCTACTTGATGGCCGCTCTCTGTGGCTTGGGCAATATGGAGGGTCTCATTGACAAAGTCTGCGTCAAACACGATGAAGACTGCCAGGCTGTCGGAGTATACGGCTTTGTTTTCTTTCGAGGTAGGACTTTGGCCCTCATATGCGCGCGCGGCTCAATCATGAAACTAAGGTTGCTCGCAGATGGCGAGTGGCAGCATACCATCGTCGACGATAAGCTCTACACCCGAGCGCCCGATTACGACGAAGCCCAAGATGAGCGCGTGGTTTGGGACGATATCAACCGCGTCGACAGCGCCGAGGAATATCGCAAGGCACACCTCACAGGCTCACGAGCACTATACTTTGCACAATGCAGCGATGAGAATGAAACCTGGCTGCCACTGCTCGAAAAGGCCTACGCGAAAGCTCATGGAGATTTTGCCTCTATCGACGGAGGTTTCACTGGAGAAGCCATCGAGGACCTAACAGGAGGTGTGACTACTGAAATCTACAGCACTGACATTCTGGATCGTGATGCCTTCTGGCGAGATGAGTTAATGCAAGTCGGGCAGGAGTTTCTCTTCGGGTGTGCGACGGGCTTTTACGCGAATTGGCTTGACACCAGTGGCGCGCCCCGTGAGCGCGAAGGGATCTCTGAAGGCCATGCCTACAGCATCATGGATGCGAAGGAGGTCAATGGCGAACGTTTGTTGAAGCTCCGCAACCCTTGGGGCAAGAAGGAGTGGACGGGGAAGTGGAGCGATGGCAGTTCAGAATGGACACCCGAATGGATGCAGCTACTCGACCACAAGTTTGGGAATGATGGTATTTTCTGGATCTCATACGAGGATTTGCTGAAGAAGTATCAACACTTTGACCGAACTAGGATCTTTGGCCCGGAATGGACCGTGACACAACGCTGGACCAGTGTCAGTGTTTCGTGGTCGGCTGAATATCACAGCACGAAGTTCTCGTTGACGCTGGAAGAAAAAACCCGGGTCGTGATTGTCCTAGCACAGCTGGACGATACCTACTTTGGAGGCCTCGAGGGCGGTTATGGATTCGACCTCCAGTTTCGCCTCGAATCTGACAACAAGGAGGACGAGAACGACTACATTGTCCGGTCCAATGGCAACTACGCCATGGCTCGATCAGTCAGCACGGATATCGAGCTGGAAGCTGGGACATACTCGGTCTTGATGAAGATCACGGCCACGAGGCACTCGGATCGGGAACATGTCGAGGAGGTCCTTCCCCTGTACACCGCCACGCGCCGCGAAAAACTCATTCAGATGGGTCTTTCCTATGATCTAGCCCATGCGAAAGGGGTGCACGTAGAGACAGAAGCTGAGCGAAAAGAGCGCAAATTACGGGAGAAGAACCAGAGAGCCAAAGTACAAGAGAAAATGAAGCAGCAGGCCAAGGCTCGGGCCGAGAAGGATTGGAGGAGACAGAAGAAAGAGCATGACCTCGACAAGAAGAGGAGAGCAAGGAAGAATCACTGGCGACAAAGGAAGAATCGCATCAACGGGGGTTTCGAAGAGGAGATAATAGTTGAGAGAAGGGTTGAGAGAAGGCATGAGAGGAGAGGAACATTGGACAGCCTGATTTCAGAAAAGCCTGACACCGGGATTGCGGCTATCAACATCCCAGATGGAATAGTCAATAAAGGCGCCAAAGAACGAGCTGGACCGACTGAGGAACCCAGTGGCGCATTCCAACCAGAGGCCAAGCCGACCGAACACATCTCGATTGAGAAGATTGTTGAGCCCCTCGAGGATGTGATCAAAATCGCCGATGCCGAAACACAAGCTAACACAGCGGACTCGTCTTCAGATGCCCAGGCAATACAGGCGACCAAGCCAGCGACAGATGCACCAGACGAGGAGTCAAGACCTACAGCAAATGCGGAGGCCAATGGCTCTGCTGTTGTCACCGATGTCAAGCCTCTGTCGAATGCACCTCCACTGTCCCGGCCAGAGCATCTCGCCAACGGCGTCTCGGTCGACGGAGGAGACACAGGAAAGCTTGGTCAGGAAGAAAGGAGTACCCACGAGCCTCTCTATGAGCGGCCTCAACGAAGTGACACCCTCGATACCACAGCTGCCATGATCGGCATCGGCAGTGGCGCAGATTTGACTCGCGAACCCGAGGACGGGGACTCCGACGGAGGGCGAATCGAAACGCCACACCGCAGCGGTAGCCCATCAGATACCGCCGAAGGTCCAAAGCCAGACGGAGAAGAAGAGCCCGCCTCGGACGCAGACTCCTTCCCTCCCTTCGACTGGGACACCGAACTTGATTATTACTCCGGCCCCGCCAGCAGCGACTCGGACGACGACTCCCTTCTTTCCTCAGCGGTGGTCGAGCGCAGAACTCGCCCGCGATATAGACCGCATTATATCCGCCGAGTGGGGAGAGGACGACGTTCGCGGTCTCCGCCGATAGGACCAATCCCACCGCCCGGGCCGAGAGATTTCATCGAGATCGTAGAGAAAGGCGGCAACGCACATGATGCAGACGATGACGGGCCGGAAGAAACATGGAATGCCGTCTGCGTCGTAGGCCTGAGGGTCTACTCCACGTTGAAAGGCGAGGGTGTCAAGTTGAGAGTTGTCAGACCGTCTGGATGCTCAGAGGACGAGGAAGGACCGAGAAAGGGCAAGGAGAACCAAGGATCCAGCAGAAATGGAATCGGCGATGGCAATGGCAATGGCCATGGGGCAGCAGCGGGCAAGGACGCCATCTTAGATCCGGATGATATTTCAAAGGGTGCCGTTGCGGCCGAGCCGGAGAGTACCGGCACTGTGGTCGAGGGGGAAGGACAAGTCAATGTGATCAACAAGGGGGATGACTTGAAGTTGGGCAGCACGAGAGAGGTACAATGGTCGGGAACGCGGGAGGACAATCCGGGCCGCACAAAAGGAACGAGGTCACGAAGGGAGAGACAGCTGCCCAGGCGGTGATGTTGGCGGGAGTGATGGTTGTTGTCGACGTGGTGTCAGATTACTTTTTTTACCCAGCTCGTTTTTCAGCACTGTCCTTGCGTTTCTCGGGCACTGCGGGTTCGTGTCTACAGACAATTTGATCCTCTCTCTCACACACACTCTCGCTCTCTCTATGGCAGCGTAGACCAGCAACCACGGCATACGTCGGCCTCACTCTACCTCCTGTGAGTCAGTCCTCCTCGTGCGTTTTCTTCTTCTTGACGAACAACAACGCCCCGTTCGCCGTGCCCTTGACGCGCTCCTTGCCCTTTTCGACCCCGGCCTCGTGCAAGAGCCGCTCAATCTCGCGTCTCAACATCCTCACGACGTCCCTCTCGGTGCCGACAAGCTCGGGATGCGCCTGTCGCCACCTCGTCTCGGCGCTCCCCGTGCCGAGCATGCTCTCGAACGTGTCGAGATCGGCTTCGGGCTCGCCGACGAAGAATGGCGTGGCAGGATCCCAATCCACGCGGCGGAACGTGGCCTTGTCGAATGAGCGGAGCACCGCGATCATGTCGTCATCGTCGTTGGCATCTCCATCTCCATCTCCATCTCGACTCTGGTCCTGCGTCGCATCTCTCTGCGCTGCCGCAATCGTCCACGGCAAAGGGAGGTCCTTGTACGAGTTCAGCACCAAGAGGTTCCCCGGCGTGATGTACTCGGCCAGATGTCTCTCTCTGTGGTCCAGCATGGCCGCGTCGATGGCGCGCGCGTTGGGCAGCGTCGGGTGGACATGCACGGGCCCGCTCGTCCAGATGGCGACCGTGCCGCCTGGCTTGAGGACGCGGGCCGCGGCGCGCCAGAACCCCGGCATGTCGAACCAGTGGGCGGCGTTGGCGGCGGTGATGAGGTCGACGCTGCCCGACGAGGTGGTGGTGGTGGCTGCCGTGCCACCTGGTAGGAGGAGGGTTTCGGCCGTGGCGCGGTCGAACCGGATGGGCGAGCCTGTGCCGTGCAAAGTGCGGACCGCGGCCGTCGTCGCTCGCGCGGTGCTGAGCATGCCCTCGGAGGGGTCGATGCCGATGGCGTGGGCAAAGTACGGTGCCAGGTTGGCTGTGACATTGCCCGGACCGCAGCCCACGTCGAGGAGCGTGTCGAGCTGGCCGCCCGTCGAGGTGTGATGGTCAAGCACGGCTTCGTAGACCTTTGGGTGGTAGTCGCGGCGGGTTTGCGCGTAGTGTTTGCCTTGTTCCACGTTGTACGTGCTGAAGGTCTTTTCTTTGGTTGTGATAGGAGGGGAAGACGACTCTGTGGTGGACGTAGACATGGTGGTATGGTGTGCCCCCCAAGAGGACCGGTGGCGAGCTAGCTGGTCTTCTTATTCAAGGCACAAAGAGGGTTCAAGATTCTTCTTCCTCCGAGAGACTGCTTGCGTGGTAGATGAGAGGATGTGTGTGCTTTTCTTCCGCAGATCGAGGACTTTCCCACCTTTTTGTAGGCACCCGGCGAGGGCGGAAGGACGTGGAGCCAGCCAATAGGGGATCTTGTAACATGCTCGCAAGGTCCCGTTCAGGACGACCGACACACACTATGCCTATTACAGGGCACCACTGCGAGGGCGTCGTCGTCCGATGCTTCGAGGGGTCCGGTCCGGGCGGCCGTCAAGGAAGCTTCATATTCTGTTTCATGCCCTTGCTCATGCTCATTCGTCAAAGGCACACTGTGGGCCGCGGTATCAGCCAGCAAGGCTGCTTGTCGTACTCCTGTCGATGCAGCGATACGGCGAAGCTGCTCCACAGCAAATCCCCGCACAGCAGCAGTGTTGAACCGTGTCAGGGCCACGAAATATAGCGGCTGCATCAAGGAGAGGATACCTGTGCACACGAAACATCAGCTGGCTGCATAATCGGACAACTGTCACGAGCGAGACTTGCGTGGATTGTCTTCGAACGAGTGGACCGAGATGCAGATATCGGCTGACAATTTCCGGATCATAGACGTAGCATGGCTGATCTGGACCATGTCTGGGGTGGTGGAGTGATCCTCGTTCTCCAAGATCATTTGCTTCACGACAATCCTGAGGCCCCGCCAATTGTTCCACGCGTCGGCGATCCAGTTGTTGGGGTAGAAATGACGGTGCCTCTTCGACCAACTGCCTCGTGATATCTCCTCTGGAGCGCAGGCCGAGGAGTATTTCCAGCTTGGGTTCAAGCCCGCTCGCCAGGCTTCGAGGTCGCGGTCCAGCTCAAGTAGCGTCGCCCTGATGCCTGTTGGGTCTGTGACCTCGCCACGTTTCAGTGCTGCTCGGAGGTTTATTGTGCGGAAAGAAATCTCGGAAATGGATCCAGGGCTGGCAACCTTGCGTTGTTGCCACTGTCTTCTAGTGGCGCTGGTTTGGAAGTCGTATGTGGTCTGGACCAGGGCGGATGGCACAGCAGTGCATTGCTGCATGCAGGCCAGAAGCTAAGCTGCGTGTTCAGAATCGATGATCACCATGCCAGGGGACTTTTGGTGTAACCCACGATGTGAGAGCGGCTTTGGATGTAGAGCTGGCCGCCGCGGTCGTGATTAAACTGTTTCTGGCCGCGAAGCTTCAGCAGCGCAGCCGCGGCCTTGACATGGGCATCCCAACAGTGATACCGATCCCAGGTCTGGAAATTGACCATCTGTGGTTTTGGTAAGCTATGCGGCTTAGGGAGGGCCGGAGAAGTGCCTTGATATACCTCAAACAGGATTAACAGAAGGACCGCCATGAGGGTGCCATTCTCAGTGACACGAGTGGGTTCGACCAGGAGTTGCTTCAAAGCCGTCAACGCATTGCAGTATTGTTCCTTCGATTTCGACTCGAGCTTGGACGCGTATGATAGATTAGATAGGCCCGCCAGGCCCACGGCGTCAATGGCGGCTCGTAGGACATTACCAGGCTTGTCCTCGAGGTACGAATGAGCGAGCCAGGCATGGTAACCGCGGAAGAAAGGTTCTTCATCAAAGGTATACTTGGCGAAGAAGAAACTGGCTCCGAGGTTGGAGGTCGGCACAGATAAAGGGCGTGGCATGTTGTCGTCCTTGGGTCGGTGCGTCCGACGACTCAGCCTTGAGCTTGGAGCCTCCGTCTGAGATGATTCAATGATGGCGTTGCGCGTCAGGTAAGGCTCAGGCTGTTCGGCGGCACCGAATTTCTGCAATACCTTGGCCGACTCGTCACGAAACATCACCTGGGCGATGTCACGGTAACCCGGGCATGGTGTTCTCGACTTCTCGCACCTTAAGCATGCTGGCTTCCGCTCATCGCACTTGATCTTTCGGTGGCGACATCGCTGACAGCCTTTGCTGACAACACCACAGTATACCATGGTGCCAAGTACCTGATGGGAGTGGAAGTTGGTGATCCAGCGACTTCGGAAAGGATCGACCTTCATGAACTTCGAGCCGATTGGTGGCTGTACATAATGATCCGATGTGCTACCATGCACACCCGTTTCCCAGTCTGCAAACGGAAGCAAAGCTTGTCGTGTATCGGAAGAAGTAACGAAGACAAAAGCAACTGGGATACCCGCTCGAGCAATGTCTCAGCCGCCAAGCATGCCCGTAACTTGCGCTGTAGCACGCAATGGCGCTGTCCACAAGAATCCTCCCTACGTCCACACCGCTTAATATTTTGAACTCCACCACATGCTAGCAACCCGTCTCCTTCAGGACGACTTTCCACCTAGCCTCCGACAGCTTGAGGTACTTCTTCAGAGCGTCTTCAGCAAACCGGTCTCCTTCAATAGCAGCATCAGAGCTACTAGAATAGCCTCTATGCAGTAGCACGCGGTCCTGCATTCGTGCAACCAGTGGAAGCAAGTCGTTTGCTGCCGATGCCTCGAGACACTTCCGCAGGTGCACAGAGATTCGCAGCCTCCAATATAGCAATGTTTGAATGCCAAGGCCACGCTTCGAAAGCCGTCGAAGCGATCCTTTGACATCGGCCGGCTTGACGACTTCCACCGTCTTGTCCTTGCAATTGTTGCCAAGCAGAATGTCGAAAGTCTCAAGCATGACAAACATGATGTGAATATTGGAATAGTTGTGCCGGCCTGGTATGCGTGAGGGATAGATGAGAAAGTATGACCGTAGCAGGCTGATCAGTGCTTTGTCGAACGTGCCCAACTGGAGGCCACTGACCGCCAGGTGGAGAGATATCTGGTCAAAGTCACCGGCAGTGTACAGTTCTGGGAAGTCCAGATATTGTGCTATACCATCCTCCCAAGCTTGATTTGCTTTGTGGTAGGCTAGACGTGCTGCCTCCCCATCCACCTGTAACTGCTCCAGTTGCCCAAGCACATCCTGCGACCACGCTACATACTGGGCCGATAAATCGGGCAGCCGGTCTTCGACCTCGGCAGCGGCCTTGGTATCATCAATGCATCTGGAACAGGTACATTCAAAATAGTAGTTCATCATGTGCTTTGCGTTTCTTTCCTTGACGGACAGGGTGGGGTTGGAGTAGAAGATGGTGAGCTCTTCGCCCTTTTTGATGTCTCGAAGGGGAATAACCGTTGCGAATATGCTTCTTTGCTCAGAGTTAGGATTAGATTCCAGGTTCCAGCCGCTCTTAGCGGTGTGCCATGGTCGATAGAGCATAACGTTGGCATCGCAATTATGGTTGAACTTGGCGAAGACAGGATCAAGCATAGTGCCGATGCCCCCATGTACCGAGACGGGAAGCTCGATTGAGTTGGTTCGCATGACCCAGAATAGTCTGGTAAGGGTGTCTAGAGACAGCTTTGAATTGGTGACAAATTTGATATCACGTACCATTGCCGTGATGTTGTTCTCAGGGGCGGCCATCCAGATATGTTCATGCGAGACGAGGTCTTTTATAAGCGCGTTCCAATATTGTGCCGATAGCAAGACTTTGTCTTTCAGAAGGACAACACGCATAGCCGCTCGGACCATCATAGGAGGGAAGTTATGGCGGTAAAGATCGAAAATCCTGCATTCGAATTTATGGTAAGCCTTCCAGGCCTTCGCCTGACACGCCTTACCGCAGAACTTGACCTGAGAACACCCTGTACATGTTTTCAAGCTCAGTTCTTCCTGAGCGGAGCCTTTGATGTAGGGAATGTGTGAGGATGTGACGGCCAAGCAAGAATAGCATGTCGTTGGAAGCTTCTCCGTCTCGAGAGCCATGAAGATGGAGTATGGTAGAGCACAGATTGGCTCATGAACAGAAATGTCGCGCCGTGCAAATAGACCTTCGCCTTTGACAGGGTCGCAGCGTAACTCGATGGTTTCTGGCAGTTTCTTTCCCACTCCAACAAGACAGCAGAGCTTGGTGGTGTCCAAGAGTCCGTTGTCCTCATTCGGACCTGCTCCCCTTTCGTCCTGTTTGGCATTCTCGCAGGGGCTATCCATGACTGGGTCCTCGTTCCGATCGGGTGAAATGTGAAACGCGGCCGGACTCTCCAACACAGAAGCGGTCCCAGCTGGGGGAGATGGGAGCACCCAGATTTGGCCGTTGTTTGCGAGCCTGGGTTGACAGATCGGGCTGGATGTTGAGCAGAGGCCTCAGTGCAATGGGAGCTCGCAGAAAACCAAGAAGCTCTTGAGGAGGATCCAGGGTAGTACCTAATCTCTAGTGCGGACAGGACCATGGCAGCTCTGCGAGATTGAAATGATCTTAAAGTGACATGGAATTGACAAAAGCATGTTGGAAGTCCGATGGTCAGGAGGCACCGGTCAGGTGCATGGTGGGTGTGAAGTAAGGGCTGAACAATACGGATGCAAAGATCCGCTGTGCATGAGATGCAGAAGGAGTCAGGTAACATGAGTGCAAATCGGTTTCCTCCTTCCCAATACATGGCATGCCGTGCCCTGCCGTCTTCTCAACCTTGAATGCCCGGCAGTGAAACCGACATTGACAAAGCGACGGCCCGGCCTTTCCTGCCCAGTGGGAGATGTCTCAAGTCCCAGCACACACCATCACTCACTCACGTCTCAATGTTTGCCCTCAGCAACGGCACTACCGTAAGTCGGCAACTCCAACGCCTCATCCTGCTCCTTCTTTGCTCCCTGTTGCTGCCTACTCTTCCTCTCCTTCCTCTTCTCCATCCTCAAATACTCCCTGACAGCCTGGCGTGCAATCAACCTCCGCTCCGCAGTCTCCTTCAACTCCCTCTCCTTCGCCAGCTGCTCTTTCGTGCCGGCGGGACCCCTCCAGCACCTCTTCCACTCCTTGAAGAACTTTCCGCTGGTGCTGAGTTGCCTGTCGGCGATTTTCTCTTCCTGTTCCCTGCGCTTTTGCTCCCTCCGGGCGTTGTAGTATTCCTCATCTTCTGAGTCCAGATAATCTTCAGGGTCGCAATCGGACTCAGAGTCGGAAACTAAGCACTCCGACTCTTCAAGTGACACGCCGGATTGAGACTGGCGGGCTTTTTCTTTCGACCATTTCCGCGTGGCGGAGGCGGCGATGCAGGCCGTGAGCGAGAGGGGAAGGGTGAAGACGAAGAGGAGGAAAATGACAAAGAAGATGCCAAAAGCTACGTCTTCGTCCATGATGTGAGGTTCTACTATGTTAACAGCGGGCGTTTAGACTTAATATTCAGAAAGAAGATCGATGAAGGAACAAGAGGGCCCCAGGTGCTAGTGATATAGATCCCGGAGGTGGAGCAATCATCCTACTTGGATACATACGTCAATATCGCCACCTTTGAAGAATCTGGGCCTACGGGGGGGTACGAGTGCGCGTCGGAGGCGACCAGGCACACAGGGTCCTGCCTCCTCAATGCCACCTGCGCATCCGTTCACCGTCACGTGCAAAGCGGCAACGATTGTTTATGAAGACTGTTGTTTTCATTGCATGTATCTGCTCTATCTGACCGTTGTCTCCCGTGCGCATGGTTAGAGCGACCCTCTATGATGGGGACTTGTAGCCCAATCCTGGTTCACGTGTCCATCATGTTCGTAGCATACCGAACTCGGGCTCGAGCTTCCCAGACCGAGCAGCCTTGCTCCATCACATGTCGATTCGTTCGCATCATGCATTCGCAACTTTCTTGTCAGGCTCTGTCGCACCCGAGTTCCTAAAGCGTATCGTCACAGTCTGGCCTCGCCAGGGAGTGGGCGTGGTTCTTCGACATCCGTGCTCTCAAAGAGAAATGAACGCTCACACCATGCACCCATGATAATGGTACAGAAAAGCAAGCCCATTGCTTTTGTGAAATAGCAGACTTGACGTAAGACGTGTAAATGCAGCACCGAAGAGTAGCTCACAACTCGTCGTGCTCCTGCACACCCCCCTCGTCAGTGTCAGCCAGCATGGTCTGGGCGGCATCTGCAGCCTCGCTGACCACGGACTTGACGGCATCAGCGACACCAGAAGAAGCCGACTCGGCGGCCGTAGTAGCTGCTGGGGCAGCCTTAGCCAAGGTGTCGCTGGCAGCCGAGGTCACGTCTTCCATCTCCTCGTCATCATCTTTGCCAGCCAGGCCATCAACGCCATGTTTGCCGTTGTCCTTGATGAACGCGGCAAGGTCTTCGAGCGTCCTCGGGCCAGAGTATTCCACGGGTGAGTCTTTAGCACCAGCGGGATAAAGCTTGATGGTCGGGAAGCCAGCGATCTCGTCTGGGACGTCGTTCAAAGTGGCATCGACCTTGGCAACAGTGACCTTGGAGGAGAAGTCGCTCGAGGTGTAGAGCTCGGCAAGTTTCTCATAGGTAGGAGCAAGAGCCTTGCAGTGTCCACACCAAGGAGCGTAGAACTCGATGAGAACATCCTTGGAGTCATCCAGGACGATGTCCTTGTACGAGTTTGCGACCACCACGGTGACGGGGCCTTCCTGCTTCTCGGGGATTGGCTCAGACTTGATGCTAGGAGCAATCTTTCCCGCGACGAAGTCCTTCACGAAGGCCCCAATCTTCTTCTCTGTGAGGTCACTGCCCTCGAACGGGTATTTCTCGTTCTTGATCGTCTCTTGGATGGCGAACGAGGGGAATTTGTCGGTCGGAAGATTCAGGTTTCCGGCGTGTGCACCGAAGGCCTTAGCATCGATCGTCGCAAAGTTGATCTTGCCCTTGTATTTCTCGGCGACGGGCTTGAGCGTTTCCGCAAGAGAGGCGCGCTCTTCGGGAGTCTCGGCAAAAATGTAGGCGAGAGGGATGCCAGCCTAGAAGAGATCAGTATTCGAACGTGGGGATCTGGAATGAAACACATACACCCATGTAGCCAGCATATGTCTCTGGGCCCACCTCACCAACCATGGGAGTCGAGGCAGTTTTGATGAAAGTCGTAATGGCATCTTCGGTGAAAGTGTCTGTGAAAGTGTTCTTGCCTTCATCAAATTCCTTGTAGAGAACGATGGCGGGTTGCTTGACACCTTCGGCCTTTGCAAGAGCGGCATCGTTGGAGGCACCGAAGATGTATTCATCTCTTAGTGACTCGGCCAGGGCTGTGTAGGTCTGGTTGGACGATTTGTCATCGGCTGAGATGTAGGCCACGACGACGACTTTGTCGGTCGTCTTGAACTCTTCCAGGGTGTCGGAAGTGAGTAGAGATACCGCGGGTAGTTGCTGCTTGGTCATGTAGGAGACGATCCTGCACAGGGTTAGACAGTTGATCTCAGATCGGTGCAAAGGAAGGACTCACGCAGGAGCTTTGCGCGCCCCAGGGTAGGGCTTGATGTTGTCGAGGCCACGGAAGACCTTGACGGTAGGGTATCCTTCAACACCATACTCCTTGCACAGATCACCCTCGGCTGTGCAGTCAACCTTCGCCAGAGGAATGTTCTTCTCTTTCAGCGTGGTCGCAGCCTCTTCGTACTCAGGTGCCAAAGCTTTGCAGTGCCCGCACCAGGGCGCAAAGAACTCTGCAAGAACCAGGTCATTCTCTTTGATGAAATCCTTGAAGTCGTCCGCATGTAGGTCGTGCACATCACTGGCGGATGAGATGCTGGCAAGGGCAAGGCCGATGGCGGCCAGAGGGGCAAATGATCGCATGCTGGAGCGCTTCAAGAAGAGTGTGCCAGCACGGTTGAAGATATTGTCAGGTTAACAATCAAGTGGACAAAGGGCTGGTGAGAACGAAGGACAGTCTCGAGGACTCGGTCTTGTGCGAAGCCCAGGGGTCCAGCACTTTTTATGTTGCGGCTGGATCTGGCCAGTGAAGGAGGTCAGCCACCAGTGGTTCGCTTGATAGAGGAGAGGTGTTCACTACTTTTTGGGGGTGTCACTGCATTTGGCTCTCACTGCTCTCCACTTCAACTCACAGGCGATTCACTGGTCGCCCGTCCAGCCGAGCCCCTTTCCGCCCGTTGCTGGGATCGCGGACCCTGAAACGCGGGCAACATGGCCACTCCAGGGGGCTCGAGGAGTTTATGCACGCCGTGGGGCCACCTTGTGCGGGAACCTGTGGTGACCATGAATGGGATCTACGAGACACGCGCACCTTTGCCGGTCGCTCAATCGACCAGATATCGGTGGATTCAATCAAGCCGGGATACGGCTCTTAATTTGATAAATTTACCGCGGCATCTCGAAGAATAGCACAAATTACTCGTACTTCGCCGTAAATGTGAACGATCTTTACGAGTCTGAGGAGTAGGTGAGCAGTATTTCTAATCAATGATGACTATCCTCGGTGGCACTCCGGCCACTGCCTTCCGGTCAAACCCAATCTGTTCTAAGGGCTGGCCAGGACTCAGTCCTCCTCGCCTGACAATATTATGGTAGGTATCGTGCGATATCTGGTGTCGTCACCTGTGCCTTTCCTGTTTCCTTCCAGCTCCACTGACATCTGGTATGCCTCAGCCTTGCCTCGATCCACGTCGACCAATAACATCAGGGGTAATGGAAGGAAGATGAGCACGGCCAGAAACACAAACGCCGGTCGAATCTCTCCGTACCGGTCTGTTATAGCGCCAACGATCGCCGGCCCAAAGATGCTCGAACCCTTGTCCGTAATCGCATAGAGAGCGTAGAAAGCAGCTTCAAACCCAGGAGGAATGAGTTCGCCAAAAAAGGCCCGACAATAAGATGACAAACCTCCGAGCACGAAGCCGTAGATTGCACCCAGCGGGTACATCTCCCATGGCTGTTGCAGGCCAAAAACTCCATATCGCTTAATCGCAGGAATGAACCCCAGCATGCCGTACAAAGGGATAATCTCAAACAAGCAGATACATGCCACAATCGTCCGGGAGGCACGCAGGTTCAACATGCGAGAGATCCAGCTCCAGTAGAACGCGCCGATGACGCCTGCTATGGTTGCAATCACGTTGATCAATCCGAGGGCTTGCGTGCTCATACCAAGGCTGGTTTTGGCAAAGAGGACCGCAGTTCTTTTCAGTTAGCCAAGGACCGATCGAGAGCAAGGACTTGCTCACTTACCCGCTAACCGTAGCTATGCTGTCACTGAGCAAAAACCATGCGCAGAGGAAGATCATAATATCTTTGAGCTTCCGGGCATGGCCAATGGTCTTGAACAATGCTTTCCACGCATACGTGACGTAAGAGACCCAGGCGAATCGTCCTGTAACTTCAGTTGGTAAGGGTGGACCTGGCCGCGGCCGTAACCACATGGCGGCCGGAACGCTGAACACAAACCACCACAAACCCACCAAGAATAGGACCAGTCGTAGCGAGAAGAGTGTGGATCCTGTCAGGACCACGAGGCTCACAGCCACGACCTGCACAAATAGTCCGGCGATATATCCCACACCAATGCCAGTGGATGATATCTTGGTTGACAGCTTGAGTTCTGGCGAGATCAATTCGTGAGATTGTTGCGCGGCGGCGACGAGGTCAGGAGGATCTCGTGGGATCAGACCAGATGTCGCGCTCGCCATGGCGTGATCCTCGTGCTCGACATAGTCACTATCATCCCCTTCCGCAATGTCCTCATGGCGGCTTCTTCCGATACTGGGGTGGTGGCGGACCAGCAACGGCAAGAAGGAGTTGAGGAGGACGAATGATGCGCCGAAGCAGGTATTCGCGACAATGGCCAGCAAAGCTCCCAACAAGTAGACTGTCGGAACAACTCCAATAAACAGCGCAGTGGCTGTTGCTCCAGTAAAGGCAAACGCCAAAAGGAACGTCTTTCGAAATCGACCGTGGTCTGCCGCGGCGGACATGGAGATAATGAGGACAGCCTGCACTAAGACGCTGATGGAGAAGGTGTACATGGCGAAGCTGGCGGTGTTGATTTCAGCCCCCAGGACATATACCACGCAAGCGGGGAGCTCGTTGTGTCGGTGCTTCTGAGATTCCAAGGCTGTGACATTTGGTGCGATGCCGTCGCCGCTTTTCCACCCAGCGCTGCAGGGTGTGGTCTTGTCCTTTAGTAGCACTCCTCGTTCTCTGGCCAGCTGTTCAAGTGTGATTGGGAGAAATGACCCTGCAGAGGAAGGTCAGCATAGGGGCACCGGTGGGCGGGTGCTCAGGAGCTGCACTCACCCATTGCGCATATGGCGAAGACCTCAGCAGCCCAGCCATAAGAGTACCACCCCCAGAGCTCTTTCTGGCTCGTCGGCCTGGTGTCTTCCTCGGCATACCTCATTTCTGCTTCGCGATCCTCGGAGTCGCCCATGTCGGAGTTCGAGTAGCCCCAGGACGATTCTCGCTCGTCATCTGCTTCGACGGAAGGTGTCGGGGAGATCAGGCTGACTTGTGACAGATGTGACAACGTGCGTGGCAGGGGTGGTCGAGGCCGGCCTGCTGCAGAGGCTGGCTCATGGCGAGGTACCTGTGACGATAATGAGGATACGCAACATACCGGACGGTTGCTGAAAAGAACATGCAAGGACAGAGCATGATGCCGACGGGCGAGGAGGCTGACAGGGGCCTTCGCCCAGCTGCAGCGGGAGGCGGCTTTCGGCAGGCATCACGATTGGCGGAAGGGGACTGACCATGTTTCGTCAAGGGACGGCCTTGCGCTCCACCTCGCAGGGCCTGGCTGCCCCTCTACCAGATTCTACTGAGGCCTTCTTCCTCCATCGTCACATGTGAGAGGAGCAGGAAGGATCACAGATGAACATGGCGGCGGGCTGTCAGGTTTTATCCGTGTTCTCACGTAAAGCTATGTCCAGTTCACCGGGATCCAATCGGTGGGCATGCGGGTCACAGAAAGACCACAGAGAGCGATTCGCAGCTTGCCAGATGTTGAAGGATGCTTAAAAGAGCTGATCCCATCGCAGGTGGGATTTGCCGTGTACTTATTCCAGCAGGATCTGCCTTCTAGAGGCGCTGGTATCTGACTCCGTATCTGTCGTGTCTCGAGCTAGCACCTACACTTCTCCAAAAGCATACTCAAAAGTGGCCGGCCAAGGACTTATCTCATGACCATCGACAGTCCGTCCACTATGGCGAGTCGGGCTAGCAGATGTGCTGGCTGCGTCGGTGTCGCACTGCTAGATGAAGTTCAACCTACCAAAGGCTGTTAAGAGGCACACCCACCCGATTCACTTCCTGTGACCATGGAATGGCGTGCAGCTGGTCACCGATCAGATGGTCCGCAGGGCCCAATGGACAAGCCAATCACATCTGCTCGACATGGATTGTCAGGGATACACACAAAAGATGTGCGCAATGGTATCCCGGAGTACGAATGCAGAAGCCAATCAAGGGCGAATGCTCGTTTCTCCGGAGGGAGCGCCCGAGGTCCGTTTCACATCTAACCAGCGATGAAGAGGCATATACAGTACACAGTACAGCGTAGAATGAACAGGCTACTCTGTACTCCGTACTCCGTACAAGCACGCAAAGGACTAGAGGGATGACGCAGTCCTTCTCGACTTCGCCCTCGAGGGTTGTATGTGAATGAAGTCCAGCATGTGATCAATGGCACTTCATCGACCGAGAGTCCTTGAACAAAGTGAGGCTTGAGACATGGGAGATCCAGGGAGCCTTGTCTTGGTCTTCACAGACTGACAGCAGCGATGGAACCTTCATTATTACCGGCAGTACAGAGTAAGTACGTGAAGGTGGGCATCGTCCTCGGAGAAAGTTCTTGACCGCACCCCGAGATCCTCTCATAGCCGCGTTAGGCGCCTGCCCAATCAGCGCCCTGCACAGCCTTGGGGCTTAACAAGGCGCTCTAGGCGTTTGCTCATGCCTGGAGCCTCCTCCATTCTCTGCTTTTGCCGACTTCCGCGCGTGTCATTCCACCATCATTCCAGATTCACCTAATCTCAAACCCTCTACAATCCGATCGCAACAAACACTATCCGCCAACGTCTCCATCTGCGGCGTTTTCACTCCATCCCACAGACAAGTGAGCTCGTGCGCTGACCTCACTTTCACAGGCATTTTGCCTCGCCACCAACCGCCCAACATCCGAGCCCTCACTTTCGCATTCCTCATCCTTCACCCCAACTTCTCTTGTACCGCGCGCCTTCTACCGTCGCTGCGCTCATCCGAGACCGCACACCAGCAACCGTCCCGGGTACCGTGCTCTCTGTAAACCACACGTCCACTCGTTCAACGCAGACTCGATCATCGACGCGCGCCTGACTGGAGGAGAAGAACAAAGGGATATCACAACTCCACAAGTCTGGTCGGCCTTGCGGTCGCACTCGAACGTGTGCCGGCCATGCATTGCTTGAGGGTTGAACGGTTTTCAATATGAACGGGGAAAGGCCCACGGTCAATGGAGCGCACACCGCAAATGGCACCCATCAGAGCATCACAGATTCTTCCTCAAGCGCAAACCCGCCGAAACCGGGCTCGCTGCCTCAAAATCTGCTCCCTCCTCCCCCACCACCAACCATAGATCGCCAGGAGAATGGAGACGCTTGGTCCAACCAGTGGGATGACGGCGGCGCCGGTCACAATGTCGCCAACATTGGAAACCATGCACCACCAGAGATTCTATCGCTTATCTCTCAAGATAGCTACTTGCCAATGGCGGCGCTCATCAGCCGGGCATCGCAAACGTGCTGGAATGGTCTGTCGGATCTAGTTGAACAGTTGGCTTCATTGTCCGTGCCAGATTTACCCCCCGAACAGGCGAAGCTCATGCCAAATGGTTTCACGAATAACCAGTCAAAAGCAAACCTGGATAAGAAGGATAAAATCTTCAAATTTGCGAATGAGCAAAAGGCAGACTTCATCAAACTGCTCGTGTTATTGCAATGGAGCAAAAACGTGGACGAGGTCAGCAAGACCATCTCAATCAATTACTGGCTAATGCTACGTCGGCAAGCCTATTGGGGTGCTATTGCTTCGATGGCCTCCCTGAAACAGGAATCATCAAATTTCCAGATCCCTAACCCTGATCTCAAGACAGCTGCTGAGGTACTGTCGACAGGTAGGGTCGGCAACTTTCCACGGCTAGGATATATTACGCGACCCGATCTGTCTCCAAAGCAAATACTCCGAGTGCTCAAGTCACTTGATCAGGCCCTGAGTGTCAGATTGGCCCTGTCGGACAATATACCACCTCAATTGCGGAATTTTCGAGTTCACGATGGTCGCGCGACATTCATTGTCCCCAACGAGTTCGAATTGGACCTATCCACGTTGGACGAGAGCTTCGAATCGCCTCTCCGGATGGTAGATTTCCGGCTTTCCTTCCAGCCATGTCCCCATCTACCGGACCGTCTGCAATCGGAGATCGAGCTTCTTGCGAATTCCAACATCGATCAGGGTGGCCTGGGAAGATGCTACGAGTTTCTCCATGAACTCGCGTTATCCTACAAATTGGCCGAGTTCCATACACAAGGGATCGAATTATCGCGGAATCAATGGGTGGGCAATCTGCGAGTGGAGCTTATCCGTCGAAACCTGATCGTGCAATACTGGCCGGAGAGACATGGCGGGAAAAGCTGGGTCGAAATCGGCATAACGAGTGGTCGAGGCAGACAGAGGCCCGAGGACTTGGAACCGCACTCGTCACTTGAGATTAAGTGCACATGGCATGGCAAAAGAGCCGAGACGTTGCATTTGCATGTCAATGAGTCGGTGCTGTGTTTCGAAGACATTCTCCGACAAGTGGTCGCGCAACATTCGACCCAGATCCTCGACACCATATATGACAAGCTAGTATCTACACCTCTATTTGCCGACGCCGAACTCTCTTTGGAGCAGTCTCTATCACACGACGACCCGGAAGTATGCTCGTTGGTGATGCAGTTGTCTCGCTCGTCAACACTGCAGCTGAAGGTGGATCCTGTGACAGGGCTCATCATGGTGAGTCCTGTTACGGAGCGTGCGGAACGGCTCCAGTTTGAAGTCAATCGAGTTCAGTCTGTTGCAGATGAGGTTGTCTCGAAGTTGCTCAACTTCAGGTGCAGTGTTAGGGAGAGTACGGTTCTTGCAGGCATATCGGGCACTCGCTGGGAAGCCTTGCGGTCTTTCAAGTTCACACAAGCGGAAATCAAGTCCTTGTTTGGCCGACCAGTGGTGAGGATCAATATGTTCCGTCAGAGTCAATGGGGGCTGGAGTACTCGCTGGCAGTCACGCATTGCCAGGATGGCGATCATTGGTGGCTTTTGCAACAAATCCCCCTCGGTGCGGCCAGTTCTCAGGCACGATACAAAGTTCTTCGCAGCCAGCGGATAGGGGCCAAGGAAGAACTATCTTCGGCATACTTCGATCGTCTGGCAGACTACTCCATGGGGTTGATCTGTATCCAACGCAACGCGGACTTCTTGATGGAGAAGAAGGAGAAGTTCGGCCTACGACCTTTCCCAGCGTTCGACCGTTTTTACGAGCTACCAGAACTATCCTTCGATCTCGATCTGGCCAGGCCTTTGCCTTCTGGCCAATCTCTACCAGCAGGTGCAGCTGATAGTACACTGACAATACCAAAAGCTAGCGAGATCCCCGCCAAGGATGCAAGTCTGCAGAGGAATATTCAAGTGCGGTTTGGTGGAGTCGACCGTTCGGACCTTTGGGTCATGACAGTCGCTCAATATCAGACTCAAGCCAGCTCAGCTGTGCTCGGACATTTGGACAAATCTGTCCTCGATGCCCGTGTCAAAATCAACCCTGAAGACCGAATGGTCACCATTCGGGTGGCGACACCAATGGCGGAGGCAGCGATCCCTCAGATTATCGCTAGAGTTCTGGATCTAGAAAAGGTGGTGTCGACTGTCGAGCAAATCCATTGCCTGTTAGGATTGAAGTTGAAGAGAATCTCAAACTCGACGATCTCAATGGTGTATCATCAAGAGGCACCTACGGAACTTGGCCTGAATATTACCCTCACCAGCGGAAGTCCGGCACCCCGACTTGAATTTTTCCCACACCAACTGAATCCACACCAGATCCTGTCGCAGGTCTACACGAAGACATTTGCTGCTAATCGGGCACCATTTGCCACAACGATGCGCAATCTGCTAACCTCGTTGACGGCGACCCTTCCGCTATTGACCATCTTGCACAAACTGCAGCAGAGGCACGAAATTTCGAGCAAGACGGACCAGCAACAGCCGTCGGCGGAGCCGGAAGATTACTTGCGTGTGCACGTACTTGCCAGGACTGAGACACAGTTCGCGGTTCAGTACTTCATGCCAGCTGGACAAGCGGCTAACGATACCAAGAATGATTCACCCCCACAGCTGCTTGCACGGTTTGAGATCTTGTCAGAAGCCAACCATTCCGGAAAAACAGGCTGGCTAGTGCGCCCAGCGCTTGAAGAATTCCAGTCGTATTCTCGACCATCTTACTCTTCCCCTGATCTCGCGGACAAGGTGAAACAGGAGATCTTCTCCCAGCGAACGGAAGGGCAGTCCAAATGGTTCCAGCTGGATAGAGGAGCATGGTGCACGGTAGATCGTCCGGAGCCTTTGCTGAACGCGCTGCATGACGTTGTGTGGAACTGGGCCAAACAGGCCAAGATGTCCGGGGCCAACGCTGGCAGCAAACAGGACTCGAACAAGGGAAAAGGGCCTCCGGGGAATTTGAATGCTAACAACCCCAGCGTGACCAATGGGACCAACAACAGAGGCCCTGGGCCAGCAAAAGGGCCCCCAGGCAGGCAGCAGGCTGCGAATAACGCCATGCCCAATGGTGCTAACATGAAGGTACAACGACCTCCGCTAAATGCGCCAGGTGGCAGACCGGCGCCCGGTAATCCGAAAACGAACGCCAGAAACCCACAGGGCAAGGACGTCATCACATTGGATTGAGCAGATGCTTGCCGATGATTCATGTATCATCTTTGAACTATGAACTAAAATCACATTTTCTCTTGTTCGCGTGGGGACCTGGGAAGGCTGCAATGGTGGGGGATTCACGATATACCTGAGCGGCACGGACAACTGATTAATGCGAGATGGCCATGGGTGGTCCGGCGCTTCAATGAAGGAGCTTCTCTTTAGCATGAGTGCAGGCATCAGGAACAAATGCCCGGCGCCTGTGACTTCCATCTTAATAGAAGACCTTGCGCCCTTCGCACCCCAGTCAGTTAGAGCGCCGGCCTTCAAAACCGAAAACGAAAGGTACATTGACGTATGGTTAACGCTCTCTACACGTTGAATGTCAGTTTCTCTGATGGCAGCCTGCCCCTGCCTGCCCCAGCGAGTCGCTTCCGAGGCTGAAGGCACTGGTGCCTTGCGAGGCTGGCGAGGCTGCTTATGTAACTCAACGCGCACCCAACGCGATAGGTGCGCGATATGACGCAAGTCTGAATCTGAGCGCGTCTTCCCCAGATTTGTGCAGACAGACCATCCTCACAGGTATTGCAAAACTGCGCACGTAGTACATCCCTGTGTATGCTGTGTTCCGGGTTGTCCTCTCGTCTTGCTGCGTCTGTTCTGGCCTCGAAGCCTCGTCTCTCGTTACACCTGTACCACGCATCATCTGTCATGTCTCTCAAACGCAAGAATCCACCTGCCACGTCACTCAACGACCCCAAGAAACCCAAGAAGAATGCGGACCTGACTTCGTTCTTCGGGCCTCCTAAAATCACCACAGCAAACGACGGGAAACCCGCGACTGGGCCCAACGGAGCAGCTGCGGCGGTGGCGGAACCGTCGCCCGTGAAATTCGACAAGGACAAATGGGTAGCTGGGCTGAGCGACGAGCAGAGGAAGCTCCTCAAGTTGGAGATCGATACCCTCGACCCCAGCTGGCTGGCCGTGTTGAAGGACGAGGTTCTCACGCCGGGGTTTTTGGAGTTGAAGCGTTTTCTGCAGAAAGAGATTGATTCGAAGCAGAAGATCTACCCACCCTTGGAGGACGTCTATAGCTGGTATGTTCTGCGCGGTGCCAGACATGGGCATAGTCGTGGTCACGGCCAACTCCACCCGATATACACAAATACTGACAAGATCTGTTCCAGGTCTCGCCACTGTCCCCTGCACAAAGTGCGAGTCGTCATCCTCGGCCAGGACCCTTACCACGGCCACAACCAAGCCCACGGCCTGTGTTTCTCTGTCCGGCCGCCGACCCCGGCACCACCGTCGCTGAAGAACATCTACCAAGCCATCAAGAAGGAGTACCCGTCTTTCAACCCGCCACCCAAGAACGGTGGCCTGCTCACCCCCTGGGCGGACCAAGGCGTCTTACTCCTCAATACGTGCTTGACAGTGCGGGCTGGGCAAGCCAACTCGCATGCCGGCCACGGCTGGGAGAAATTCACGCAGAAGGTCATCGACACGGTGGTGAAGCTGCGCACGCGCGGTGTTGTTTTCCTGGCGTGGGGGTCTCCCGCGCAGAAACGATGCGAGAAGATCAGCGGGGCGCGCCATCTGGTGTTGAAGAGCGTACACCCCTCGCCGTTGAGTGCGCACAAGGGGTTTTTCGACTGCGGGCACTTTAGAAAGACGAACGAGTGGCTCGAGTCGCGGTACGGAGCCGAGGGCGTGATCAACTGGGACTTGAACGTTCAGCATCCGATCAAAGGGCCGGAAATAAGCGAGCCAGTCAAGGTGACGGAGACACAGAAGAAAGAGCCACAAGAAGCCGGGCCGGTTACCGAGATTGCCGAGAAGGAGACGGAGAAGCAAAGGAATCGTGCGGTGGGAGAAGATGACGACGAGTTTGACGCCGCAGATGATGAGGACGCAATCGCTGCGATGGAAGAGATTGCCCAGGCGGAAGCAGAGACAGGGACGCAGAAGAAGGAAGTCTGAAGCGTCCACCACGGTAGCGGATGCTTAGGATCACAGACAGACCATGGAAACCACGACGGTGTCGACTCTAGCAGGAGACAGGAGAGAAGGGAGCGGGGACGGAACCCCGAGCGATGGATTGTTGGTTTTGCTTCGATCAGACTGCCTGGTTGACCGTTTGACATGCATCTTGAGCCTGGCGTCCAGAGTTGAAGTCGAGCTTGGACTGCGAGGAGCTGCCCAGTTTCGCGGGATTGTACAATAGGACATGGGAAGGAGAATGGAGAAATTTGGGCATCGTGTGGTCTATCGCATGTGGCAATCTATCCCGCTAACAGCCGTGGCACCGTCGCGAGCAACAAGACAGCAGGGTCCCCGGGTGCGTGACTGTAGGTAGCCATATGAGTGATGAGGGACCAGTGAGGATACCAGAGTGAGTAGCTACCGAGCACATACCTCGTCTGAAATGCCATGCCATGCAATGCCATGGCATAGGTGATGTTAATCCCTACCCTACCATGCTTCATGATACTTATTCCTCGTACGTAGAGCAGACACACACACACACAGAGCCAACGCGTACTTAGACACTCCACCACCTACGTGCTAACACAGCATCCCCAATACCTCGCCGACAGTACACCGCTCCAACTCATCCACGGCTCCTACAATCGTGCTGGCCCTCTCCCGGCCGACCACGGGCTCGACCAAGCCCCGAAACTTGCGCTCGACCAGCTCGCGTCCAAACGGCCGACCGACCTCGCCCAGCGGCACGGGGATGTCGACCTCCCTGACCTGCCCATCCGCATACTCGACCTTGATGCGCGATCCAAACTGGGTGATGCGCTCGTCGCCGACGCAGACGATCTTCTCGCTCAGCGCCCAGATGTCGCGGTCCGCCAGCCGGTCCGGGCGATAACACTGCACGCCGCGGGCGTCGTCGGCGCCGTACAAGAACGAGTTGGCCGTGGTGAAGTACGCGCTGAACTGCGCGTCGACCATGTTCCCCGGATGCAGCTTGTTGGGCGAGCGCACGCCGACGACGAGCACGTTCGACGGACTCAGACTGAGGGTGATGCGCCGCACGTCCGCCGCCGAGCGCACCCGGCCCGCGGCCACGCCCAAGGTGGCGGCATGTTCGATGAAGCCGTGCGTCATGCGGCACGCGGGAAATGGTTTGAGGCTCGTGGCGAGGAACTCCCACCTCACGCCCAGGTCGTGCGTCAGCCACGCCAGGTCCGCGGCGGCGATGGTGGGTTTGGACGTGTACGCGTGCAGAAAGCCCATGGGTCCCTCGAGGATGTGGGCCGCGCCCAGCACGCCGGCCTCGGCGAGCGCGACGCACACAAAGGCGTCGTGCACGGCGAAGCCCGGGTGCAGACGTTTGTTCCAGCTGCCGTTGGCCAGGTATTGCATCGACCCGGCGGCCTTGCTACCCGCGAGGCCGAAGGCATTGGACACCACCGCGGGGGACAGGCGTTTGAGCACGGCCAACGTGGCCACGGCGCCGAAAATGCCCGCCGTGCTCGTGTTGTGGAAGCCGCGCGCGTAGGCTTCGGGTCCCAACACCGCTCCCAGCCGGCATGTGATTTCGTAGCCTGTCGCGATGGCCACGAGGACGAGGTCCATCGACGGCGGTGATGGTGACGTGCTGCCCGACGACTCCGCCTGCGCGAACGCCGCCGCAATGGCCGTCACGCCCGCGTGCAGCGTACCCTTGGCGTACGTGTCGTCAAAGTCGAGCGAGTGGCCCAGCGCCGCGTTCAACAGGCCCGCGTACTGCGGCGTGTACGACTTGCCGACCCCCAGCACCGTGCACGCGTCTGGTCCCGTGCTGCTGCTGCTGTGGCCGCCTAGAGCCTTCACCGCGGCGAGAAACGCCGGCGTCGAGTCGCATGATTGCGTCGCCGCGAGCGTCACCCCGATGTAGTCGAGGATGTATTCCTTGAGCCGCGAGCGCACTTGCGGCGTGAGGTACTCTGCTATATGCGAGGGGGCGTCGGCGACAAATGAGGCCAGGATCTCTGTTACGGGAGGGACGGGAATATCATGTCCTGGTTTATGGGTGCCGTTGAGGCTGCCGTTCGGGGCGGACGAAGCGTCGGCGTTGATGGTATCATCGATTGAGCCCATTTTGGGATCACCTTCCTCCGCAAGCGAGTATTCAGTCCGTACTTGTCCAATGTACGTACGTATGTGAGTGGAGTGTTTGTGTATATCGACGAGTGTACAGTATGTTTAGGGGGATCAACAACAACCACCTAGAACCCAACACACGTCTCACTACGAAGGACACGCTTGGGATGTAATTAATTGCTCTGTCTCTGTAAGATGGGCATGCGTATAAATCCCACAGGTACCTCCCTACCCCTCATGAACGACCGGCCACTCGATCGCCTCACCTCGGAGTAGAGCAAAAGTTGGGGAAGCGGCACGCATGTCGTGCGTCTCGAAATCTCACTGAGCGCCAGCCGATCTCGGAGAATGCGGGCTTCCTCGGAAGACAAGGCTGATGGGTTGCTGGGCTGTCAAGGACAACTCGAACGCTCGCTCTTTCATTAACTCATCCATGGGTTCCCGAAACAGTTCCCGAAACAGTTCCCGAAACAGAGACGGTATCATTCAGAACATGTGCATATACATGTCAGACTTCCGTGCTCCGGCATGTGGTAGCCCAGACGAACACAGCTCCCCTCCACCAAGGACGTCTGCAAGAAAAATGCCATGCTGAGCGTCGTTCCAATCCTTGCTATTCATACGAACAAGCACACCGACGGCGTCCGGGGGTCATTGCGTCGTCGCGTACTCGGCCAGCGCTGTCTGATTCGCATTCAAATCACACGCGTGTGGATGCTGCAGACAGTACTTCGGCACCAGTGGCGCCGCTTGCACTCCGTTCGCCACGAGATATTCTCGGAAATTCAGGATCCGCTGCGTCATTTGCGTGGTCCTCTTGATGCCCGTGGTGGGATCCGTGTTGCCCGACCAGGTGAGTTCAGCGAGTGCTGCAGCGCGAGGCCACATCTTGGAGGAAATCACCGTGTCGTCGACTTGTTCAGACCAGAGCGGCACCTCGGCGCCGAGCACATGGCTCTTCTGCGCGTCCGTCAGGTTCAACGTGAAGTCGTAGTCGTAGATCCGTTGCCACGTCTTGTACGGGGCGCACCACGACCCGCCGGTGCCCAGGTAGTTGAAGTTCGGGACCGAGACGTTGGGGTTGACCATTTGGTTGTACCGTGGGTCGTTGGTCACCCAGCCACCGAAGCCACAGTCCAGGTACAGGAAATCTGACGATGAGACGACCACGTCGTAGCCTAGCTTGGTCGCGTTGTCAACGTCTTGCAGACCGTTGTTCCACGCTTGGATGATGACGTTCTTGGGGAGATTGCTGGCGTGCGGTGTATTGAGCAACACGTCGCCCCACATCATCAATCGCTTGTTGGAGACCGACTTGAAGATGGGGATGGCCTTGTCGACCCAGACTTGCAGTAGATCGTCGTAAGTTCGGGACGAATTTTGCGCGAAATACTCTTGCACCAAAGTGCTGAAATTGTAGCAGCCCACCTGGATCTCATCGGCACCGACGTGGAAGATATCGTCGGCGAAGAGGCCAGACAGCTCGGTGTAGACGTTCTTGACGACTTCGTACGTTTTGTTGTTGAGAATGTCGAGTTGACCCGGATTGGGCTCCACGGCCGTATGGTACGCCCAGACATCGTTTGACCACCAGGAATTGGCACACGCAACGATACTGGGATCAACTGCAGTCCATCCCTGGGATGCATGGCCTGGCATATCAACCTCAGGAATGATTCGAACGCCGCGAGCTCGAGCATAAGCGATGATGGCTTTGACGTCGTCCTGCGAGTAGATCTGTTTGGCAGAGTAAGCACCTTGAGTCATCTGCGGGTAAGTCTGGATCTGGAGCGGCCACGACTGGCTGTCCACGATATGCCAGTGCAGAACATTCAGCTTCGAAAGCGCCATCCCATCGATCTGTTCGAGGATTTTCGGGATGCTGATGAAGTTCCGTCCCGTGTCGATCATGACTCCTCGGTAGGGGTAGAGTGGAGCATCCGTGATTGATACCGGTTGCTCGATGATGAGGCCTCCCTGTCCGTCAGAGATGATGAGTTGCTGCAAGGTGGTGAATGCATGCAGAGCGCCCCAGACTGTTTGCGCGGTAATGCTGATGGCTGAGGAATCTGAGGTGATGTCGATGGTGTAAGACTCGTCCACGCCATGTTGAAGATCAGCTGAGATATCCGCGATGGTGAGATCAACTTGGCTCAAGTACGAGCCCCACCGCTTGATCCTGGACGACGGCGTGGCTGTTGGGAAAGGCGGATATGAAGCAATAGGCGATTCAACTGCGGCGGGAACCCATTGCAATGTGTGGATGGTATCCCATGCACGCGACCAGGCCTCAACGACGACTTGGCTGGCGGGCGAGCTCAAAACCAAGTACCCTGCAATAGACAGTGGCCCTGATGTACCCCAGGTGATGTTCTGCGGGGCTGGGAGAGGGTTGACGGCAACAGCGTCGACGAGGCTACCCAGGAAGCTGGCAACCACAGCAACTCGCGGGACGTATTGGTGGAGATGCATCTTGGCCTGCAATACGCGCGGTGAGGGAAGACTGGATGGCCGAAGACTTGCTCTGATCAGAGGGAGGTCTGAGGATATAATGGCGACGTGAAGCCCGTCGCAGAGTTGTGGTCACGGCATGTGCACGTTACACAGCATCTGCGGCGTACCGGATGCTCGTGATGGCGAGGTGACCTTGAGGAGACGGCCATGTTGAGGCTAGGGTCGTGATAGACGAGATGCGCTCTGATGTAACTCCGGCCGTTTGTCTATTGTGTCAATTGGTGTTGCGACGGTGACATTGACAGATGGTGGCTGTGAGGCTGGTGAAGGCGGATGTGGCTGATGTGGCCGACTCGGTGTGTGGCATGTGGCTGACGAGGATATTGCAGTCAGTCACGTGGTTGTCACGTGCCTTTCTCGTGGCTTGCCCCATGCAGAATGCGGGGGAAGCTCGACCTTGAGCTTCCTCTATCTCCAGATGGATCTCAATACTACCTTGCCATTGATACGTTACGACCACCTTCCTTTATCAGCAGCCAGGAGCCGCACGGGAAGATACGATGGTGGCGCATAGATATGAAGCAGCGAATTTGAAGCTTACTCAAAGTCAACGCCCTATCATCCCACTGATGCTGATGTCCGGTCTGCCCATGATGAAGATATATCCCGTCGACCATGAGCTCATGCCCTGTGATCTACTTTTGGCAACAGGGCGATTACGGCATCCGTCGATGTTCGGGGCGCTTCGCCGCGCCAGTTCTTATAGATGCGAGGTCTTTTCTGGACAGAAAGCCCAAGCGTCGAGGTCCAGGATTTGGCAGCACGATTCCTCGCTATGTATGTCGACTTGAGCTCGCTTCACCCTTATCGCTGAAGCCATCGCGGCGCCGTTACCAGCACTTTTAATAGCATGTTCTGCCGATCCCCTGTCTAGCCAACGTCAACTAATACTGAGCAATCCCTTCCTCAAGAGCCTTGATCTGCAGCGCCAGCAATTTCGAATAGTATCGACACAGCGCCAGGTTACCTCCATGGAACCAAAACCCAGGATGGCCCGTCTTCCGCCAGATCGTCCGCATCTCCCCCTCCGAGTCATACCCCCAGATGTCACCGACCCGATCCGCCACTTCGTCGCCAAACATATCTCGTGCCGTCGTCCTCATATTCTGGTATCCCGTCGCAAAAATGATCTCATCGGCTTCAAGCTCGCTCCCATCTGCGAAACGCAGACCATGCGGGAGAATCTCATCGATCTCTTGCCCCTGTTTGATCTTGACTTTGCCGTCAATGATGAGCTGTGATCCGCCAACGTCGATGTAATACCCGCCCCCTCGCTGGAAGTACTTGATGAACAGCCCTGCGTTTGCGGGCCCCTTGTCGAGCCCGAACCCGACCTTCTCGAGCCCCTCGAGGATCTTGGCGTCATGCTTGTTCTGCAGGGCCGTGACTTTCACCTGGAATGCCTTCAGCACCTCGCTGGGGAACGAGTGCAGCCACAGATCCGCATCATCCACAGGGGGCCCCATCTCGTCGTACACACCCTTTAGCCCAATCTCAGTGATGGATTCGCTGGAGATGACGCACGTGGTCGATCTCTGCACCATCGTGACGTCGTAGCCCTTTTCGTAGAAATCCTGCGTGATGTCGTGGCCGGAGTTACACGACCCGACGACCACGGCCTTTCTTCCCTTGCCGTTCGGCTGGGCGCCCTTGAACTCGGACGAGTGGCAGAGGACATCGCCCTTGAAATTCTCCATCCCTTTGATCGTGGGATAGTTTTTCTTGCCACTGTGCCCGGTACATTGGATGATGTGCTTGGGATGGAAAGTGCGCGTTTCGGAGCTGCCGTCGGCCTTCGTGCGCTTGACCGTGACGGTCCATTGCTTCTTGGTCTCATCCCAGGAGGTTGATTCTATGCTCGTCTTGACCCAAACGTTGAGCTCCAACAGCTTGGCGTACGACTCGAACCACTCCCCCAGCTTGTCCTTCGGGGTGAAGATGGGCCAGTGCGGCGGGAACCTGAGGTAGGGCATGTGGTCGTACCACACCGGGTCGTGAAGCACCAGCTGGTGGTACCGTCTCCGCCAGTTGTCGCCTATAGTGTTTTCCGAGTCAACGACCAAGGTGTCGACACCGAGCATCTTCAGGCGGGCCGCTGCTGTTAATCCAGCCTGCCCGGCACCTACACCAGATTTATTTAGTTGGAAATTATCACAGGTACTTGAAAGGCTCGCTTACCGACGACCAAAACAACAGGGTCGCGATCTTTGAATTCAAATTCGTCTTGTCTCCTCTCTGCCCAGTTCTTGCGGTTGACCTGGCCGCCGTGGACCACACCTTGAGGTCTATTAGGGCCTGTAGTCTCTTCATGGCCTAAGAGGTCTTTCAGTGTGGTGAAGAAAGTGAAGAGCTTCCATTGCCCGTCCTTTTCAGCTAATCGGCCAACACCCTGGCCTTTTCCGACCTTTGTCGTGAAATTGAAAAAGAACTGGATGCCTTTCACATCTCCGACACCATCATATACGCCGAACTGGGGTGAACGGTAGGCCGAGCTCTTATCGATCTCGATATTTGTTAACGGGAATCCGTTCTGAGCGAGAAAGTCGGCAATTTTGTCCTTTCCCTTGATAGTGTGGAAATCCCACGACAGTGCCAGGTGATCTCGGAGATAGCCGTCATCGAGAAAGAGCTCGGCGATAGCCTTGGTATCCTCGTTGTTTAGAGCTGTCTTGATCGCGTCCACGACTTTGCCGGCGATAGCATCAGGGTCGGCGGAGGTTGACTCGGCGGTCTTTGGAAAGTTGCAAAGTGGAATATTGACCGATCCTGGCTCACAACGGTCTTTCGACAGCGTAAGGCTCGGATCGGTCGGTGCTTGAACTCGAACACTCATGGTTCCAATGTTGACGTCAAACCAACCAAGTAATGTTGCTCTTCAGCTGTGAACCTTGTCCAGCACTCCTAGTCAACGTTGTTGGTGTCTCTGGTATTGTCTTCCTAGGTCGACGTCAGCTTCGACCCTGGGGGCTCGAGAATTTGTACTCCGCCACCGGCCGCGGGGCGGTGGGAAGTGCTGCGGGCTGACGCGTGAAGCGGATCAGCATGTTGAAAGTCGAACAGCTGCGCAATGGCCCTTGATTGGACCATGTCGTCAACCCCGCACATTGTTTGCAAATTTTGACGGCAGCACTTGGACGACACAGAACAACAATACGAGGGCGGGCATAGGCTTCCTATGGGCCATCAACCATGACCCATACAAGGGCGAGGAGCCAGATGACATCAAGTCCTAGCTCCTTTACTCCCGGCTGTGCGATCCACTCGAGATGAGCCAAGCTTAGCCGAGACAGCCTCTTGTGGTCTTCGTGGTCGCGGATGATGCCGTCACCTTAGCTTTCTGCAACATGATATAGGGTTGAAAGCAACTCGAAATCCTTAGCGATGGTTGGGCTGGACCCAGGGTCAGCAAAGTCATAGATGAATCTTAGCATCTTGTTACACCAGCTTTCGTATCCCGCAGGCAGCGTATCTCTCAACCGGCGTTCGGACGAGGTCTTGAATGCGTGGAAAATGAGCAGCTGCCCAAAGAACTGACCGCAGCAAAAGTACTTGAGTGGGGCGAAATTCTTCATACTCGAGCACACTGGCAATGTCATGTGCCAGTCCATAGCGTATTCAAGGGCCTCTGCACATAGTTTCAGCTCGGCATCTGAAACCGCAGCCGGATTGTGGATAGCCTTGTACAGGAACGGTCGACCGAGATGGAAGATTGATACTCGGTATCGCATCTGCAGGAGGGCTACGACCACCGCATCAGCTGGACAAGGAAAGTCCTGCTCGCCAGAATACCGAAGGGCTTCGGGTAAATTCGAGCGCCATTGTTCAAGCTGATGACGGAGTTCTTCCGCCAACTTTGTCGACGGGTTGCTGAAGAATAATTCATCTCGAATGCGATTCAAAATAATGCGTTGGGCGATCTGCGCCAAGAAATGATAATGGTAGATCGAGTCGTCAGCTTGATGACCGCGGGAATTGCTGATATAAGGGTAGGTGGTGAACTTCGGAAGCGGCACCTCGTCTTCAAATGATTTCAGGCCAGAAGGCGGCAGCTCCAACTCTTGAACGACAAGACTTTCCAGCATCAACGAGCACCAGAACAATCTTGCTTGCATGTCTGCCACCCACTCGTCGTGAGGTTCCGATGGACATTTCCAGAAAGCGGTGCAGATGACTGCTGCCCGATTGGTCATCATCCATTTGTCGACAGGGCGCATAAGCTGTGCGAAGTACGATGCTGATGTCAGGTAGTATTGGCACGCCTCAATTGTTCTCTCGCAGAGGCAGAGACCTACCCGCCTCCGGGCCTCGTTGAAGAAGCTCAAGCCGGACATCTCTTCATCCATGATGTGACGGATGAGGGGCGTGATGGCAGTATGGTGTGCCGTAAATCCGCCCTCTTCGAACGATTTCAACCCCATGCACCCCAGGGCCATAATATTGAGCACCAAGCAAGATTCGATGTCAAACCCAAAGCCCTCTCTGACCACCACAGAGAGAGTGTTCGAAAAGTAGTGATCACGGTCAACGAATGGGTAAACCCGGTTGAAAGTGTCGAAATAAGCGTTGGACAAATCTTTCACGCAGGCGAGGCTGAGAGAGGCAAGCCAGTCTCCTGTGAGAGCAACGGCCTGGGCCGAGACGGTCGGAGTCAGCGAAAGCCTTCCTGATTCCAGCTGGGTCGGGTAACTTTTCTCGAGACTTCGGGCGGTGGAGGCTAGGTTCTGAGGTAGTAGAGCTTGCACCCCGGGCCAGTGGATCGTCTGGTGGGCACTAAATGAAAGGACAACTTGGCCGTTCGAAAGTCGGTGTATCTGTCTGGTACTTGAGAGTGGTGACGACAACGAGTGATGTGAGGCGACCGAATCCAAATGGTATGGAGGAGACTCTTGCAAGCTTGACTCCCTTCTGTTGACTTCAGGCTCGGAGCCGGATTTCGCGGACACTGTGTTGGACAGGCCATCGAGCTTTGACTCCATTCGCCTCAGGGCGCTGAATACCATGCTCATCGAAACTTCGTTCCTGATGTTGCTCGTCAGCCTCTGGACAGGTACCTATCCGTCTCACGTACTTGGTTGGCTTGCGCTCTGCATAAGTACACTCGATACCCAAGCTTCGACAGAGACGGCAAGGCACATCTTCATCACAACGCGTCTTCTTCAGTCGGCATGCCTCGCATGCTTGCCGGGCGATGAAGTTGCGTTGCCGTTTGTGAGGTCTTGCTTCATCATTGACCTCGGTGCTCCCACCACGGGAGTCGCGTTTCTCGTCATCCATTTGATTCGTTGTTTCTGCCTCTTCCGCGTCTGCAGTTCCGATATACCGCCAATGTCATCATCAAATAGCCAAGGAGGGTGCTGGCTACTGGAAACCGAGGTGCTCTGATCGGATAGTGAACTGAAGGTCGAGCAGAAGATTGCTCACGCGAAGTCGGGCATCGGCGTAACTTTTTTCCACACGAGGTCAGATCCGCTTCACTTCACTCCAAAAAGCAGTGACGATTCTTTCACACCCTTTGATACCCATGCACAGAGGCACGACTTGCTGTCCGAACGGTGACCTTCGCTGGCTGAGGCAAGTGCCTTCACTGATTCCTTTGTCGAGGACGTCCCAAGGGATTCAACTACAGAGAGCCACCCACAGTCATGCAAGCGAAGCTCTCGTTGGCATGATATCTCGTCTACCTACCAGGTAGAGAGATCTGCGATACACATCGCGCTTGATGTCTCGGGCCACACTCTTCTTAAAGCGAGCAGCCACAGTGTCACGTCACCGAAGCTATCATTCAACCAAAGTATACAGGATGGCAGCCCATGCCCGCACCGGAGAGTCCATCTCTGAGAGAGCCCTGAGCAATCTCAACCCTCCGAATCCACAGACGAGCAAACTTCACGCCATACGCTCTCACTGCTTCCACAACCAGTACGACCCCACAACTAATCCGGATGGCATTGTGGCCCTCGCGATTGCGGAGAACAAACTCATGCGGCAAGAGATCGTCGACCACGTCAACAGCAACATGAACATCACGCCGTGGCACTTGACCTACGGGCACGGTCCTGCTGGGTCTATTGGTTTGCGGAGAGCCATTGCCGAGTTCGTGACAGAGGTCTTCAAGCCGAGAGTGGCGATTGGTGAAAGCCATGTAGCTGTGTGCAATGGGGCGGGATCCGCCGTGGACAATCTATCCTTCTGTCTGGGTGAGCCCGGAGACGGTATATTGGTCGGTAGGCCATTGTATGTGGGTTTCTTTCCCGACATAGAAGCACGGGCAAAGTAAGTGTCAGTGTTGCCTCTGAACAGCCCGTCGAGAAGCTTACACGGTTCGGGAGAAAAGGGTAAAGCCCGTGCTGGTGTCTTTCGGGGACATCAACCCTACCTCGGCGGAGGCGGTGGGCTTCTATGAAGCAGCCCTACACGAGTCAAATGCGGCTGGCGTGAAGATCCGGGCCATCTTGCTTGCAAGCCCCCATAATCCGTTCGGGCGACCCTATGACAACGACTTCCTTGTGGGTATAATGCGTCTCTGCGCAAAGTATAACATCCATCTCATCTCCGACGAGGTGTATGCCAAGTCACATTTTCCCAGTAACGATGTACCCGCCCCTCCACCTTTTGTGTCTGTCCTATCTTTCGACCTGCAGAAATATATCGACCCGACCCTTATCCACGTCATCTATGCGATGAGCAAAGATTTCTGCGCAAACGGCGTAAGTTATTCTTGGCTACCCCTGCATCACGAGGACGAAACATGCATCCATTTGCGACGCTTTTGGGGCACCTTTCCGCTTCCCCTGTCGTTCAACATCTGGTCGAACTGAGCAGGCCTTTGACGTGGTTTTAGGTTCGGATCGGTGCGGTCATCTCGCCCTCGAACGGTAGAGTGCTCAAAGCATTTCGTGCAGTAGCAAGCTTCACTCGCGCTTCACAGCTCGCCGAGCATGCCTGGCTGAACTTGCTCACCGACAAACCTTTCCAGCAATGGTATTTCCCGCTTCTCCAGCAGAGGATGACGGAATCTTACGAGTTCACGACGTCATACTTGAGGAAGCATAATATTCCGTACAACAAGGCTAGTGTTACCAGTTTCATATGGCTCGATTTGAGTAGGTATCTGAAGGAGGACAGTGTCGAAGCCGAGATAGAGTTGAATTGGAAAATGGCCCACGGTGGTGTATGGGTGGCCATGGGCGCGAGCTTTGCCAGCGAGAGAAATGGCAATTTCCGAATAACATTTGCGACGCCGAGACAAGAGTTAAGCATGGGTCTAGACAGGTAAGTCGTCAGTCGTGATGTGAGATGTGAGATGGGAGATCTTGTACTGGTCGACTTGGTTGTTGGCTGGAGGATGCTAACTCCACCCAAACAGGTTGACCAAGGTTCTACGGGAGGTCGAGAAAGAGATGGGTCTGGCGAAAATGCAGGAACGTTAACCATCATCAGGCCCCTTGGCAACTGTAAGTCGTCAGCCTCAAGCCTCAGACGTTGCTTGGTGCCACCAGAGTGAAATCCAACGACGACTATTGGCATCTGGCGAAGCACTAGCATGCATTAAGATTGTCGGGTGCTTCCTGGAACCGTGTCGTACGTATGAAGCCAAGCACAGCAGTTATCTATATCGATTCGCTTTCACTGGGAGTCAATCCATAGGGGGATCATCGGACTATTGTGGCGTGGCCGGCTAGTTCTCGTAAGGCCGACGGATGCAGGCAATCCGATACCCGTCTCATATGAGAGACTCACGTGGTCTCTGACGTGCAGAGATGTCGTGAATGAAAGCTCTGGTTGAGTGCTCGAGAGCCCGCCGTTGTGGAGAAGTGATGGATTCAAACATGTGCAAGGCTCGATGCACAGAATGCCATACGACGGGAACCGCGGCCCGCAATAGAGCTCGAGCTAACAGCTGGCTATGGTGCAGCGGTATCACGTCATCATCGGTGCCATGCGCAATCAAAAAGGGCGGCGTTTGGGATGTTAGAGCGGAGATAGAGGCGCCATTTGTGATCTCCAGAGGATGTAGCTGGCTTTGTGGCAGGCGGCGGCCATACAACTTCTCGATATCGTAGGGGCCAGCGCTAAGAGTCCTCGTGTCAGCTCTGGGGACGGCGTGAAGGAGGGCCGAGGAAGTTGGATAAGTGGACATCATTCGGGGCACTTACTACTAGGCCATGACGCCTTGCACTGCACTAGACGTATTGAGGTGGTCTCCAACATCGAACACACGGAGGTGTGCTGTAGTGCTCAGGATGGCAGCCAGCAGACCGGCGTCACATTTTCCCCAAACAATGAAACAATCTGGGTCGAGCTTGTAGTGTGCGGCATGAGCTCGGAGCCAACGGATAGCGGCTTCGCAGTCGTACACAGCGGCGGGCAAATCGTCGTCTCGGTAATCGACAAATGCGAGGGCATACTCTCCAACGCTCTGGACGAAATCACGGAGGGCGCCAGGGTTGTCTGGCATGCAAATGTCGTACCGGATGTAGATGACCACAGGCGTGAGCTCGCTCCTGCGGCCGTTCAACGGAGGAAGGTAAAGATCAAGCGTCTGCCTGTGCTGACCATTCTTGACATATTGGATGTTGTGGTTCTCCTCGCTGAAGTCTTCCTGCTCCGTCTCTTCTTGGTCTGAACTAATCGAAGTTTCTCTGTCCAAGCACTCTTGGTCAGGATTCTGAACGGCCTGGTCGAAAAGTGCGCGCATGCGCGAATACCCTCGCTTCAGAGATTTCCCAAAGCTTCCAAATATCGCGCACGGGCTATGGATGCAGGCTTTGAGGACGTGCGGAAAAGAGCGGCGTTCATTGGCAATGTCCGGTCCATTTATGATTCGATAGACGTGTAAAATGAGAAACGAAACGATCAGGTGCTGGCGGTAAATCAATGACGCCAAAACAATGCTTGAAAAGAAATGTCATGAAGCTGGTCAGCGTCTCTCAAAAGCGACGATAAAAGGGGACGTGGAAGACTCAGCGGTAGATTGCGGCCCCAGCTGAAGACAGTATCAAGGCAAGGGCAACTCACCACAATTGTGAAGCGAGCAAGCTACCAAGCATGGTCGTATCATCCATCGACGGCTTTTGGGGAAGAGCCAGCATCGAGTCGACTGACCGCGAACGACGGCACCAGAGTAACTTCGAGACAGGCGACAGTAATGCATTTGAAGCCGGGATCATTGTACGCACACTTTGTTGACTTGAACTTTGGCTTCGGCATCACTTCTGGGGTCGGCGTGCTGGACTTGTTGCAGAGGACGCCCACGATTTGGCCATTGTTGTCATACATGACGTTGGAATGCCATCTTTTCTATTCTCTTAGCCATCTCTGGCGGTGTCTGGTGAAGGGCCGTGAGTTTCTCAGCAACAAGTCACCTGCAAATGGTGCGAACCGCGCTTGAGTGGAGCTAGGCCGAGACTGGACTAGCGTCTTCCTGTCAAGCTCTCGTCTTTTTCGAATGAGAATTCAGTGAGAGTCAAGAGGACAACACCAGAGGGGATTGACTAATCATGACTGTTTTCTGCGTACAACATACAGATGGGCGACAGTCGACACTGATTGCGGCCACGAACGGACAGTTGTTTATCGTGTCTGATGCTCGTGTGTACCCCGTTGCCGGTCGAAAACGGGGCTCTCGAATCCGCCCATGATCGCTGCCACTGCCTGAGCGGCCTCTTCCACAGAAAGTGGATTGGGAAAATCAGCTTCGAGAAAGAAAGGGTCTGTTTATGCTGTTGTCTGAGTCTCTGATCGAAATGACAAGAGTCCTTTTCCTCTAGCATCGCGCCGCTCCGCTTTAGCCGATGTCTGTGTAACCCCCAGACCCATTCCCGGACTGGCAGTTCCGCCTCCAAGTGCGTTCATATCATGGCCGAGGCTTATAGGTGCCGATTCGTGCTAGCTTGCAAGCGCCATGCATCCTTCTGCAGATCTGCAATGAATGGGTGTGGGCCTTGCGACCTCATGCTGGCAACAAATATACTGTGTACATGTGGACGCTCTGAAAAGGGCTCACATGCAATCAGGCTCGTCCTTTGGGCCTGCCACTCCTTTCTCTGGGATACTCGTTTACATATTCCGGGGCTTCCTGGATCACCGACGACGCGCGAGTGCGAAGCGATGGACGCCGGACTTTCCCTCGTCAGCACCATCGGAGATTGTTGTGGTTCATGCCGGGCGCCCAGGATCCAGCGTTTTGCTCCACAAGCATGCGCCTGCGGCTCTCCACGCCCTGTCGTCGTGCAGTGGAGTTGTGATGTTTTTAAGAAGAATCTTGGGGCCCATCCAGCCCACTCGTGCTGCTCTCTGAAGCCAATCAGAGTCTCAACCCGGATGGTGTCCATGGTGTCTCAAGTCCTGTTGACAACGTCTGCTCTCGTTCTCCGTTGGAAAGAAGCGAAAATGCTTGAACAGGCCCAAGCCCGCTGGATTGACTAGTACCGCCGCTTAGGCCGGCCACCTCTGTGGGAAAGGCGCCCGTGGCTCCAGCCCCCCGACACCCCCTACCCCGCAGAACCAGGGCGTCCGGAATTTTCTCCAGAATCTCATCCTGGCAAGATGCTGTTGACACCGCGGAAGTCGTCCCTTGGGCCGTTGTCTCCTTCTCATAAGTCTTCTGTGCATCCACCGTGCCTGTGTCGTCCCACCGGCCACTTCCAACAATCATGGCGACTGGCAAGAAACGCGTCTCGTCTCATTCGAGCCCCTACAACAGACTGGTCACGGTCGCCGTGGCCTTCGGGTCAATGGTGAGTACTTTCCCTAGCTAGCGATGGCGTCGAGCTTTCATCCTGCATATCGACAACTGACCGAGATAGACGTATGGTTACTGCTCAGCTATCATTGGCAGTACCATTGGGCAACCAGGCTGGTACCAATATTTTGACCTTCCCATGCAAGGTGAACCAGGCTATGGTGGAAAGACGACCGACGCCATTGCAACGGCGAATGGCCTTTACAGTGCGGGAGGAGCGGTTGGAAGTCTCTTCATCGCTTGGTCCGCTACCGCGATCGGCCGCAAACGGAGTATTCAACTTGGAGCCTTGCTTGCGATTATTGGTGGTGCTTTTCAAGGTGGTGCGGCAGCTTTGGCGTAAGTGGCCATCCAGCCTCTGTGCTGCTGCATTGCGCAAGATGCTGATACCGACGTTAGCATGTTCCACGTTGGACGAGTGATTAGTGGACTGGGCATCGGTATACTCGTCACCGCATGTCCCATGTATCTGTCGGAATTGGCACCGCCACAGAACCGAGGATGGCTCGTCGGTCACCATGCCATTTTCCTGGTGTTTGGGTACATGCTTTCTGCCTGGCTCGGATACGCTTGCTATTTCGCGACCGCGCACAATCCGTCCTTTGCATGGAGATTTCCACTCTGCGTCCAGACACTACCCCCTCTGGTCTTGGGGATCACCTCGATATGGATACCCAAATCACCCAGATGGCTGCTTCAAAAGGGCAGGATCGAAGAAGCTTGGACCGTCATCCGCGCGTTGCGCCGCTCAGCGGACGACCCAGACGATCTCGTCGCCAAAGAGGAACTCTACCAGACGAGAGAACAACTGGCTCTCGATGCCGCCAAGCTCAAGGGTGTGGGCTACGGCCCTTGGATGGCTTGCTTCAAGAAGAAGAGCTATCGCAAGAGAATGATCATCGGCTTCCTGACACAATGGGGCGCCGAGTTCGCCGGCCCACTCGTCATCAACAACTACATGGTCATTCTCTTGACCAACCTCGGCCAGACCGGATCGATGCCCCTGCTTCTTTCTGCAGTCTGGCTCACCACCGCAGGTACGTAAATCCCGGCGCACTGTTTCCCCCCCCCCCCTCCCACTTCGACCCCCTCCCTCCGTGCAACCAACGTTAACTCCACACCAAGGCGTCATCTACAATCCCCTCGGCGCCTGGCTGCACGACCGCGTCAACTCGCGCCGCTTCATGTACATGTTCGGCACGTTCGGATGCCTGATCACGACCTCGATCCTGTGTGCCCTCCTCGCCACCTACGCGGGACACCCGGACGCAAAAGCCGGCAACGCCGGCGGCGTCTTCATCGTCTTCCTGTACCTCACCTTCCAAGGCACCTTCTGCGACACGACCATGTACCTGTACGTGTCGGAGATCTTCCCGACCGAGATCCGCCCCATCGGCATGGGCTTCAGCCTGTTCGGCCAGTTCGCCGCCACCATCATCCTCCTGCAGACCGCGCCGCTGGGCTTCGTCCACATCGGCTGGAAATACTACCTCGTCATCGTCGCCTGGTGCATCGTCTACCTGCCCATGATTTACTTCTTCTGGCCCGAGACGGCCCGCCTGTCCCTCGAGGAGATTTCCAAACAGTTCGGTGACGACGTCGCGGTCCATGTGAATGATATCAGTGAGGAGCAGAGGAGGGAGCTCGACGAGTTCCTCAAGGCCAGGGATCTGGTGCACGACAACGGAGCGCACAAGGCAGGCGACGACCCGGGTTTGCTGCCCGCGACCGAGATTGAGGAGAAAACCAGAACGAAGGTCTGAGGTCATGTAGGTGGTGTGAGAGAATGAGGAACCCCGTGGCCACAGAGGAAGGAAACAAAGTGGAAATCAGCCTTGTCATCAGTATCACCTGCAAAATGTCGTCCACTGACAGGATAGAACCCTGGCCCTAGCGCGGATAGCCCGCAGGTCGACAGCTCTGTTAGATTCAAGCCAAGGCCAAGATGGAGGTCATGCTCAATTGCATACACTGGAGGTTCAAGGAATAAATGCCTTTCTGCTCTCGCCAATCGACTACACTCGTCGAAATTCCGCCATTCTCTGCCCTAGCTTTGCCCCAGTCAAGTCTCTACAAGTCTTCTGTGCCCCATCATAACACATAGTATGGATGGAAACTGAGGGCGCGCCTATCCCATCGTAACCCACCATCCGATTCCATCGGTGGTTCATCTTCCGTCCGTCCAATTTGAGCTTAAAGTCACCCCATCTTGCTCTGAGCGCTCAGAAGATGGCGATACAATTTGGTGGACTCGATACCCCGCCCGGCATATTGAACGGCGCACTCGCGACAAAGAAGTCCCATCTCTGTTCTCTGGCGCACATGTCGCTCAAGGCCTCGAGGTCGAACAGCTCACCAACTGGCATTCCCCAGCCGGCGAGGAGATATTCGTGCATGAAGACACTGTCAACTTCTGCCTCGCCTTCACCACGAGAATAGCTTTTCTTGGGAGGATAGACTTCGAAGGAGATGGCGTCGCTGGCAACCGCTGCGAACCCGGTGTTCCATAGCCAGCGGAGCATTTCTTCTGTGCCTTCCACGCCGGCGTGTTGAGGTTTCTTCGTCATCGCGTACTCGGCTTTCTCGTCAGTCGTCATCTGCGTATCCCATTCCTTGGTGACGCCTACGCGCACGAAAAGGATATCGCCTCTTCTGAAGGTGAGACCCTCTTCTTGAGCGATCTCAACAAGTACGCTGAGAGGAATCGAGTGGTCGCTGAACGTCGAGTATTTGATGCCCCTTTTCTCGGCATACGCCACGTAGTCTAGCAGCACGCCGCGGCCGCAAATGCCCTCCTTAGCCCAATACTGTATGCCGATTCGGTGATTTGTGGGATCCATAATCTCCTGCTTGGTGACACCTCCGTAGAATAGTCGCCTCTCGGGATCATCCTCAGTTGGTCTTGGTTGTGAGAAGTGCCGGAGTCCATCCCACTGACTACTTTGTTGTGGGTTGAAAGTGTAGATGTCGTCAAAGGCAGCGCCATCTAACAAGCCCACTATCTCATGTTTGCAAGGCGATCGGCCAAAGTTGGCGATTTCCAGCTTGTTCAGCTCCCAGCCGAGACTGACTCTCTGGCCAGAGCGTATGCAGCTCGCTCCAGCGAACGCAACGACGTCGGGAGTAAGCAAGACCAGGCGACCGAGGCCTTCTTCCCTGCTGTTAGGCTCATTTGGCCATACTTGCTTCCTGTTCGGCAGGTCATCGAATGGCGTCAAGTGCAGAGAGTGAATGGATGTTTCCTCGCGGCGGACGCCATTGGCAAGCTGGTGCGGCAAAATGTCACCCATAAGTGAGATGAAGATGAGATCGACCTGTCTGGCGCCACAGGATCCTAGATCGCCTGGAACAACCACGATAGGAAGCTGAGGGCGTATCGATCGTCAATCTCGTAGATAGTCCTGTGGTATGGCTGTTGCCGAGGGGCGTTGGAACACGAGGCCCCGTGACCGATAGACGATATGTACCGGGTAATATTCTTGGCCAACACCTAGGGACGTGGAGAGCGAAGCGAACGGGCATTCTCCGCCAGAAGCGAGTCCTTCAGTGACGACGAATCTGAAGGACGGAATGGATCTTGCAGTTCGTGACTGCCCCGTAATCACTGCAGTGCGACTTTTGTCAATGGACCCCACTTGGTATTCACTGCTGTGAGACTTGTCGACCTTCCCAATCAGCGGGCAGCTTCGGACTTCGGAGGCGCCGCAAGAGGACTTCCGGATGGCAGACTGGAAATGCTACTCACGAGGAGCAAGCTCGAAGATTCCCCTGTCCCTGCTGGGCTGGTTGGTTACCTAGGTCTTAACCTCGGGAATAATCTGCTTGGTTGTGTGAGAATCCGGGGTCGAGAACAGATTGCGGTCCGCCCGATACTGGAGGCGTACCACTTCTCCGCTTTGACTGCAAGCGAGCTCCATGGGACACAAAGTCAAAACTGACCAATGCGCTGCAAAGGCGAAGTCTTGGAGAAGTCCGCTGGTCTTCCATGCTGGCGAATGTGTGAGCGGGTACAACTTCAATCGGCTTCGAAATCGAAACTCTCGAGAATTCGACTAAACTTTTTCGCAAGACCCCAAAAGCGCATCTTGCGGAGCATTGCTCGTGCTTCCTCGCTGATTGCATGGAGGCTACCGGGGCTGTAGATGCTCTCAACCGAGCCAATGCCCCAGGGTCCGCCGTTCTCGATCCAGGTCGCGATGGCCGTTCTTTGTCCGTCCATCCGATTCGACAGGTCGAGACGCACAGGACAGGAGGCGTAGTTCGTTTCCGGAGACGACTGGGGTCCAAACTTTGCAAAGGCGAGGATAAAAATATAGCCCATGAAAACCCGCATGATTTCGCAAGGCGCGGAGACCAGGTACTCTGTGGACATCTCTTAGTACGTGTTGGGATGAGGACATGAAGGTCTCACCGCTAGCCACAGCGATAATCTGTGCCGCATGCCATGCCAAATTACGGGCCTTGTGAGGATTCTTCGCCAGGATTGCAGCAAGGCGCTTCTTAGCGGAGGACAGACTTGGATCACGCTGCTTCGAGTGCGAAGCCGATGTGCGAAAGATGTGCACTACCAAGTCCATGGCTTCGTCGGCGCTGTAAAGATGGGAATAGTGACATATAAGGGAAGTCAGGCTGAAGGCACAGGTCAATCACTTCGTATAGAGCATCAAGGCATGGACTTACTTGTAGTGGATCAACTCTGCAGTAGAAGACAGAGCGTACATCGACTCGGTAAGCGTGTTGAGGCCTTGGAGTAGAGTACTCTTTGTTTGTCGCTGGGCTGCAGCTAGAGATGGCAGCCGTAGATACTCGGAGGTGGCCATAATGTCGAGCTGTTTGATGTCCCAAAGGAGTCGGCCAATGCTCTGAGCACACAGCCTTTTGCTCCATGCCGGCAGATCTTCCGGCACACCCTTGCCAGCAAGCAGGTTGCGCAGCATTTTGGCCGTGGATGCTCCCCGAGCTGTCGGCGTCAGACGCGTGTAGAGCGCCGCCCAAGCCTGTGGCGTCGTCAGGGCCTTACTGGTCATAAGGGAAAGTTTGGGGGAAACAAGGCGAGAAAGTGAAAGACCAAGCATGTTCTCATACGCGCGAATACAGGGGTGCACAAAACAAAATTTGAAGATTCGGACACGTACCTGGGGCGATGGGGCGTCCCACAGTGGTTCGGCACACGGTAGGAGATGAGGTAGCTCTGGGAGGTCGACCGCTCCCCGTTTTGCGGTCAGTGTGCAGAGGCTGCAGTCATACTCAAAGGAAGACCAAGCAATACGTTTCTCCTGCTCCTGGTCCTTCCATCGCAGCCACTCGACGGCCACATTTTCGTTCGATATTGTGTTTTTGAGGTCCTCTCGCTCAAGTTCAGTGCTCACTCGCGGCTGGAGTAAGCCCATGCCGCGAAGACAGCCAATCAATATGCCCCGGGAACAATCTGCATTCTGATAGAGCCGACGGTTACCCGAGCCTAGAGAGTAGATCTGGTGGAGGCAATTTGCTATCAGATATGGTGAGTTGTAGAAGTTCGTGCTATCACCGTTTCCCTGTAGCACAGTGTCAGTGACAGTATACCGGCAGGCGCAAACAGAGACCCACTAGATATGCAATCATTTGGATACATATTTCACTCAGTGACCACGATTGCTCTGTCCCTTGTTGATCATCGGAATACATCGCTCCAATGCAAGCCATGGCCGCAAGAGTGACAGTCGGAACTTTGGTCAGCTGGAACGTAGGGATATGTACAAGAGGTAGGACGGCATGGAACTCGGAGAAGTAGAGTTCCAAGGAATTCTTCAAAAGATCCAAGGCAGACATCATGCTCACGTCGAGAGACAGATCCATCTCGGGTAAATAAGGCGAAGACATCAGTTGTATCAGGCTTTTGATTATCACACCATTATCGGGTTCATTCGACAGTACAGTACCGTGCAGGATATCTCGTAGTGGCGGCAGCCGACATTTTTGGCTCTCGGGGTTCCGTGTGTGATCAAAGGGCCATTGCTGAGCGGTCTGCACTTCGGAGGACTTAGGAGCCTTGCGTTCTGAGTCCTGATTTCGTATTGGCATCAACTGCGCAGGTATTGCTTGCTGGTTCCTGTTATACAAGGCCTCTGCTACCGCTGTAGACATGTGCGGGTTAGGATAAGCGGCTTGCAAACCGCCCGTCTGATACTGAGCTTGGAGATCAGCGTTGTTGGGCGAATCAAACTCCAGGTTGAGCCAGTCGACGCCGCCTTCCACCATACCCACGATTCGTGGAGCTGAATTGGAGGGCATGAAATTGAAGTCCCCAGGCAGGTAGGCGTCGAAATGACCCATGGGATGACTGTACTCGGCCCCTGCATTCGTTGGGCTTGTGTTGAAGGAAGATACGATCTCGGGGGAAATCATTCCCATTGGGTGAGGTTCAGGAGCGGCTTGAAAAAAGGACGTATTGCTGCTGAAACTCGAGGCAGCCATTGGTCTACTATGGTGGCCACCATCGGGAATCATGGCGGGGGCGCCCTGAACAAGTGCCAGATGCTGCTCAGGGCGGCGTTGACAGGTCCCAGAATTCTGGAACGGGCCATCCTGATAATGATGTTGCTGCTGCTGTTGCTGCTGCTCTTGCCCTTGGCCTTGCTCTTGCTCTTGCCCCTGCTCCGGAATTTGAGGCGATACCTCGTCGGCCGACTCTGCCTTGGCCTCGGCTAGGCCTGTGTCGTCAGGCCCTTCATCGGTCGGATATTTGCACGATGTGGCAGCCTTCGTGCACGGTGTACAGGGGTGCGACCTGTCGCACTTCAGCTTTTTCTTGACGCAACGAAAGCAGGACTTTTGGGCCGATCTCTTCCGCGATATGGTCGCCTGATGGGCTGTGCGAAGATGACGCAACAAGACATCGTTCCTGGAGAACTGGCGGCTGCATTGGTCGCAAGAGTAGTGCTCACGTTGCGACGGGTGCAAGTGTGATTGAACATGGCGAGCGAGGTGACTTGGCCGAGCCACAACAAGATCGCAATTGGGGCATCGGAGGGTTCGAGCATCTCTTGTCGAGGTCTATTGGGAAGCCATAGTTAGAGTCCGCAGAACACTTGTGTGACCTCTTCTCATGGCATGTCTAACCATTGTGAAAACATCGACGCCGCTCTGCCTGAAACCTCGCTGTCTCGGATCCTTGACGATGTGTGGACTTCGCGGCGGGCGAGTGACCATGCATGGCCGTGAGCTCCTATTTAGACCTGCCGTGCGATGGAGCGAATGTGCCGCCTGCGATGAGTAAGTAACGGTTAAGCGAAGTGTAGGCGTGGCAGCCGTCGATCGAACACAGGCGCAGAATGTGAGCGGAGGATGAATGATGAATTGATGCGGGAAAGCTGCAGCATTGGCGGAATCGCAGCCGGAATCTGGGGAAGGGAAACGGCGCCTGGCCCAAACTGTCGGGCACCAACGTTCGGCTAGACCCTTGGCCTAAGCTGCTTCATTAGGCGGTACCTATCCAAATGGGTTCGCCCACAGCTGGCCCAGAGGCTGGGCGAAGATGAATGTAGAGTACTATGACTAGCCAAACCGCAGACCTTGAGCTGAAACATTTCGCGCTTCCACGCTTTCGTTTTCAGTGGTATTTCACACAACGATCGTTCTTTTCACCACGCGCCACCTCTGGGCAGTGCTTAAAGACAGCCACAAGAATCAGGCGCTTCAGTTTGCCAGACATAAGAGGTTTTGAAAGATGACCGAAGGAACTCCTCGCAGTCATTCGCGTGGACACCCGCCACGAGTGCACAGTACTCCGATTACCCCAGATCTCCAGCACCACATTTCCCCGTTACCCTGAGCGTCTGGAGCATTCGGTCTCTGCGCAGCGAGTTCCATGCCACGTAGTACGGAGCAAACGCCGTCACCTCCAATGGCCAGCCAGCAAAATGCAATTATGGCCACGGCTCGATCGGCCACCCGAGGCTCGACGCCGATGCGGGGAAGTTGAATGGATACTTACTGTACGGCGTACGAGGAACAGACACAACGGAGACAACGGATTGCTTACGCTTCCTCCGTGAGTTGGAGATGCAGCTATTATTACTGTAAAGTTGTTGCAGGGAAATTAGCCGCTGCTTCACGTCATGACCTTGATTCTCATCAATCGTAAACTATCAATAAAGTTCTGACTCGTGCACTTCATACAACGTGTCCATATTACTAGAATCATGTCTTTTATGGCGGCGGCGAGCCTGCGACCTCTGGTAACCCGATGTGAGCTCTGAGTAACCGCTTCTTCTCCGCTATATTTGCACCCTCCGTAGGAATACCCAGTTGTTGCAGTACCGAATCCAATTGTCTTCTTGCAATACGTTCGATTTCGAATGAGGTATGAGGGAACGTAGGGATAGCGGCACCGGTAGTAGCGTTAATAAACGGTACAAGATTTTCGTTTTGACTTCGAAGGTATGTATTCTGAACGCGGGCTGCGTTATTATGATTCCTATAGAATTAGTATAGTAATATTACAATAAGTCGAACTGTACATACGACGCAGTAATTGTAGTTATAAGCTCTTGACGAACATCGATAAGCTCTTGACGAACATCGATAACTTGCTGGCGGACATTTGCAATGTCTCGTCGTATTGCCCTCGTGTCTTCCGTTAACTGCCCCCTTATTGCACGGAGCTCGTCGAGAAGTTGCTGACCGCCGGCGAGTGCAGGTGTATTTGGTATCTTCAGTATCTCAGTAGCGATGATGTTGAAGTAAGCCTGCGGACCAAGATCGATTTCGTCAGCCATCGTAATAGTGAGGGTAAGGGTGATTATAGTGACAGTGATTGTGGTGAGGGGAGAAGTGTTTGTTTTGGGTTCCCGGATGGGTGTGGGCGAAGGAAAGCGCGCCTCCAAAAGCGGCGGTGCTGGTCGCCAAATTGGGCGGGAAATTTCCCCGCAGCCTCCGTTTGGGACTGTACTCCGTAAAGTCTCGGTCACTCGCCCTCCAGGCCATCGCACGCCCACCGCTTAATTACACGGTGCACGACTGAACCTCTAAATCGAATTCGAATCGTGTTGATCAAGGCGCTCTCATCGATCGGGCATGGCTAACTCAAGGAACCTGATATCAGCTGCGGCGGTGCAGTCCCACAAAACGCGAGATGATTGCTGGATTGTGGTTGGGGGCAAGGTATACAACATGTCGAGATTCGCACCAGAGCGTGAGTATAGTGTCCTCCCAGAGACTCCAGTCGATTCTTGTTGGTGTCCTTACTCTCGATGAAGTCGCCACGTGGGACTATTACATCCAGGCTACGTCTCGATGCCTCCGTCCCGGTCTATGAATCTGCTCGCTGATACGCCGTTGGAGCACGGCAGATCCCGGCGGAGCAGAGATTATATATGCTTATGCTGGGCGAGATGCCACCGAGGCCTATCTCGAGGTCCACGAGCCAAATCTGATAGCTTCCACCCTGCCGCCGAACGAACATATCGGCGATCTGGATCCGGCGACCGCGCTCCCAGACGAGCCACCATCGAAGCCCGAGCAAAGGCACGCGGAGAAACCGCCCCTCGAGACGTTCATCAATGTATACGATTTCGAAGATGCGGCGAGGAAGTCACTCTCAGAGAAGAGCTGGACGTTCATCTCTGGAGCTTCGAATGACAACGTCTCAAGGGATGTAGGTTCTTGCCCCATTCCCACAAATATCACCTCCTGGATTCAGCCTTGGCAATCCTGTCACTGTCGGTGGGAGCTAATGGAGCTTCACAGGCCAACCACGACATGTTTCGGAAGATATGGTTCAGGCCTCGGATCCTCCGAAACGTGGCGACTGTCTCCACAAAAGGTACAATGATGGGTACCCCTGTGTCACTTCCCATCTGGATAGCGCCTATGGGTGTGGGTAAGACGGCTGGACCAGAGGGCGAGCTGGCTCTGAGCAGAGGCGCTGCTGCCAGTGGCATTGTGTATACTGTGAGGGCCGGTTTCCCAGCATGATTGTTCCCAACTCACTGGACCAGATTTCGACAACGTCCTCGTTCCCCCTCCTTGAAATTTTAGATGCCGCACCGAAAGGTCACCCCTTCTTCTTTCAACTGTACATCAACAAAGACAGGTCAAAGACCGAAGAACTCCTTGGGTTAGTCAACAGCCGGCCACAGATCAAGGCGCTCTTTGTCACCGTCGACCTACCTGTCGTGTCGAAAAGGGAAGCCGATGAACGAATCAAAGTCGACACACTGTACTCCAGCGGTCTGGGCCGCCCGACCACCACCGACAACAAGGGTGCTGGCCTTGCCAGGTCTGTAGGTTCTTTCATCGACCCAGCATTCTCGTGGGACGATCTGGCATGGTTACGTCGACACACAAAATTGCCGATAGTCCTGAAGGGTATCCAGTCAGCGGCTGACGCCAGACTCGCAATGCACATGGGCTGCCAAGGGATTGTAATCAGCAATCATGGGGGAAGAGCGCTCGACGGGGCGCCGGCGTCCATACTTGTGCTTCTGGAGCTTCACCGGGAGTGTGCCGAGGTATTCGACCACATGGAGGTCTTCATCGACGGAGGCTTCCGACGAGGCTCCGATATCCTCAAGGCAATATGCCTGGGCGCCAGCGGTGTTGGGCTAGGTCGACCCTTCATGTATGCCATCAACTACGGAACAGAGGGTGTGGTCCACCTTGCAAGCAGTAAGTCTGGATCCTACCCACTTTTTTTCACCTCCATATACTGACCCGAACCCACAACCCAGTCGTGAAAGACGAAGTAGAAACAGCGATGCGATTAGCAGGACTCCAGACTTTGGATGAAGCAGATCCCGCGTTGGTCAATACCGCCGAGCTGGACCCGCTTGTCCCTCGCGGCTCTCTACACCCGTATGCTCGCAAACGTGCTGGGCTTCGTAGACAATACCGTCTCTGAACATATATAGATTGTATAGATTGCGGGTAGAATGCCAACTCATGAACATATCACGGGTGACGAGTGTCCTTCAGATTGCTCTCATCGACTTTGACTAGAGTCGGCATTCCTCGCGCTTGGCCAAGTTTACCGAAATGCAGGACGCACCGCCGCGTCTAGAAAAGACTTTGCTCGCATAGAGTGTCGGATATTGATATCTTTGAGATCACCCATGCAACCTGAGCACGAAACTTGAGTGTACATCAAAGTAACTGAATCGCTAGCTTGACTACTGCAGAAGCTTGAGAAGCCTCGACTGGATCCCCCTGATCGATCATTTGCTGCATAACCCGCCAAAGGATCCAAGCACTGCGGGAAGCCATGCAGGAGACACAAAAGATGCGGGCCCTGGCTTGAAGGTGCAGATGGCGTAGACAGTGCAGCAGCGCCACGGCTAGGACAGAGAGACCCAAGGCATGACAGTCCAGCCGGAAGACGCATCCCTACGGAAATTACTTGCACACATATACAAGTCCGTCTGTGTAGTATCTTGCCACATACGGACAGGCAGACACAATCATGCAATACGATTGCCCAGCATGCCCCCCGCTCAATCCGACACTCCCACCGCGTTGACTTGGACAGCCACTTCGGGCTCTTTCGCCCCGGCAACCTCGCCGTCACGACGTGCCGCCTCGCTGTTCAGATCCTTCTTGTTGTAGTACTGCGTGAAATCATGCTTCAGGACGTTGACGCCGTTCTGGAATTCGCGCGCAAACGCCTCGTCCTCCTCGGTCCGCTTGCATAGCTTCAGGAACTCGTCATTTTCCAGCGCCTTGTCCGGATCCTGCCCGAACAGGCGGACGATGTTGGCCGACGAGATCGGGTCCACCACCTCGGAGTACTTCTGCCGCCGCACCTGCGAGTACAGATCGAGGATCTTGTCGTCGGCCACGCCCTCGTAAATGCCCGCCAGACAGTCGTACAGGCCGCCGATGTCCACGATCCCGCCCGTCAGCCCCATCCCGCCAAAGGGGTTGCACAGGTGGGCCGCGTCGGCGGCCAGGCAGAAGCGGCCGACGCGCATGCTCGGCGCGAGGCGCTGGTGGATCTTGTACGGGCTGAAGTTCACCACCTTGTACTGGTCCGGGTCCGGGTGGCCGGGGAGAAAGGCCTTGAATTTCCCCGGCAGGCGCTCCCTCAGCTGCTCGGTCGTCAGGCCGGGGATCTCGCCGTACGTGATGCGCCAGAGGCCGTCTTTGCCAATCCGGGCCGCCATGAACCAGTGCTCGGGGTGGATGATGAAGTTGGAGTCTGCCCACCCATAGGGGGTGAAGTCGTAGTATGTCTGCGAGCGAGTGTCAGCGGGTGAGCGTGAGTGTGAATATGAGCGTGGAGCATAGACGGGGCCACATCAAACGCAACCGATGTGCTAAGGGACGGCAACTTACATTCGTGGCGACAATCTGCTCGTCCCATGTCTTACCCGGGAACTCCCAGTCGCCGAACAGTGACCGGCGGACTTGGCTGTTCGCACCATCACACCCGATGATATACTTTGCCGAGAGCGTCTTCTCGCCGTCGGGCGTCTGCACGGTGACCCAGGCCTTGTCCTCGTCTTGGCCGATCGATTTGACCTCGTGGCTCCACGAGACCGTCGCGGTCGGCTGCCGGCCGATATGTTCCATGAGGATCTTGCCCAGTCGGTTCAGCGGCAGGCAGACCATGCGGTCGGGATCGTCGGCCATAAGCTTCAAGTTCAGCCCGGCGATGTATGTGCCGTCTAGCTTCCTCCAGCACACGCCGTCGGGCTGGAATCCTTGGGCGCGCAGATCGTCGGCCACGCCGGCTCGCCGCAGTTCATACATTGCTGGGGGTCCGTAGTGTGTTGCGCGGGGTTGCTCGTCCAGCTTGTCAGACTTGTCGATCAACTGGACTGGGATACCGCGTTTCGCCAGCATCAGGCCGAGCAGAAGACCGGATGGCCCAGCTCCGACTATGATGGCCCATGGTTTCGGCGGTGTGGACATGATGCCCTAGGATGGAGTGTCTGACTGTTACGAGGTGGGTATAGAGCCTGATGCCTAGCCGACAAGGAGGAATCTTGAGGGTGAATAAGAGGCTGTTCCTGCATTTTTGAGTCGAGATTCATATCTTGGCTCTGGCCCATCCAGTGCATCGGCAGATGCACTTCGGATCCCAGGAGGCGAATCTTTGGCTCCAATTGCGGGGTCGATGTGATCTGGAAAAGAGGCAATGGTGGGGTAGGTCCACTGGTATGTAAGGGTATGTAAGTAGGGGAGGGCTCGGAGAATAGAAAGACAGCATATAGTACTCGTACAATGAGAGATCGTTCTGCTAAACGTGAGGCGCGTCGACGTGCTTAATCCTATGCTGTCGCTGGTTGCATATATGCCTGGGCTGAGCAGGGTTTAGAGGTGTTGCAATTGCACCGTGCTGGACTTAGAGAGTAGACTTCTTTGTAGAGGACCCGTATCGATAGTCACGATTTCTCACCGGCATTGAAGAGTGTCGAAGTGAGTTAGATTTCCTTCGTCAACAGTATTGAAGAGCCATTGTTGGAGGTCACCGGCTGCAATACGGAAAGGCTGGCAATACTTGGCGACCGACTTCTCGACCTCTATGGACACATAAACGTTTTTCCTTGAGGCCTCAGTGTCCGTTGATATTCTTCCTCGAGATGCCATTTCCTGAAAGTTGACAGGCTGACTCGTGCAAGATGCTGGATGAATGAATGGACAAAGAAAGTGCCAACGGCGCCTCTCATACTTTGCTAATGTGGCTGACGAAGCAAAGTCACCAGTTCCTGCGGGTTGAGCTGCCGTTTTCTGTAGGAGGGTCTGCTTGTTGGCGGCAGTGCCTGGAGGTTTGCGCAATTTCTGAGTGTTTGGACTTGCACCTACAAATCGAATGTCAGTGTTGATCGGTCATGCCAACTTGAACAAATGCAGCCTATCTAAGCTCCTATACCACTCCAAAACTGTGTTAGTATAAGGCAGCGGTACATGTTGAAGCAACAGAGGCATAGCTTAAATGGCAACATCACCGCGATCTGGCCGCAGACCTCAGTGGCCATCCTCCACAAGTCTAAAGGGAGCGGGTATCATCAGATATGGTTCCCTGTGTGGTGTCATTACTTTTTGGCTGAGGTCAGCTCTGCAGAGGCCCAGTCTTTCAAGTGTGCTGTGAGAGGATACATGTCAATATCAAATGAGGGAAGGTTGATCAAAGGATCCTTCGGCGATCAGGCTGAGACACGGTATCTTGTGCCAGAGAAATCAGATAGACACCTGGACATGGAATTGCGGCAACCGCATTACGAGTGTAGGATTCCAATGCTCGACACGACTCGCAAGGTGTGGCGTATCCGGAAGGATGCTGAAGGCGTATGCTGACTCTTTCAATAAAAGACCTTAATGCTCGAAGTAAGATAACCCACACTCGATGCCAGCAAAGGTAACTGCCCAGCATGTTAGATCCCAATTTTCGTCGACTGAGATCCGTGATATCCACATCGGTAAGGTAGTTCTGGTCAAGTCACAGGATAACCTGAAGGACATAATTCAAGATACGGTGTGATACAAGGAGTGGAAAAGAATCAGATGAGATTCGCTGACTGCAATTTCCAAGTCTTGGCAGAATCACGTGCATTGCCCCACCGGGCGCAACTTTCACTTCTCTGTCAATCAATTAATTACAGTACCATCCACCCACCAGCAACCGGATTCTGGTATGGTTACCAGTAATCATGTCCACTGAGTCCAACCTTGTATACGTCTGGATTCCGTGATGGCGCTGACCATGTACATCCGGATGACTAACTGGTCCGAACAGTGTTCGGGACCCGTTTATTCGTCCGCATTTTACGAATACAGCTTGTTCATTTTGCACTGGAGCAATGACAACAGGCAGCAGAGCGGATTGCTCTTTTTCTAGAAAGTCTCCATGCTGTTCACTTCGCGCCGCTCGAAGAAACCTATCTTTTCAGGTGGGACTGCGAGTTCATCACACAAGCGTTCGAGTTTCAGAACCTTCCGTTGGCTATAGTGTCTCTGACTGGCGACTTGATCCTCGGGATCTTGTCTTGGCCCATGTGCTACCATTCAAGAAAAGCAGCAGCGGCCGCCGCTCAAAGACATGAACCATTGGCCTGTGATGACAAGAACGAATGCCTAACTGAGGCTAGGCGAGACAGTCCAAGATTACTACCGTCCCTGAGGCAAGATCCCATGGCCTAGATCTCAGGGTCTGCCATCTACGATGGAAGCCCAGCCCGACGGCAATCACGAACGCGGCAGCATTATGTCTCAGCTCCTCAGCTTTTGATTTCAGGGCGTGCGCTCCTCCAGTGATTGGCAATCGGGTGGCGCTGTCATCGTGTTTTTCGGATCTGGGAAAAGAGGTGGTCGGCCAGTTAATAGGCTTACTCCTTCGTATGAGGCTGAGCGATACACTGAGCTTTGTGGGTGCATGCATGACAAAGTCGAGTCCACGGCTGCATGAGTACCAATTCGACGGGGCTGCTTCATCGATCAACATGACATGCCTGCTGCTCCAAGTATCCGCGGGACTACTGAACATTCGGGCTGAACAGTATTTGAATAATAGGCGAACCCTCGTCATAAGACTAAGCCGGCATCTCAAAAAACTTGAAGCGTCCTGCTTCTCTCTATAGTCTCTCCCGTGTCACTCCTAACACTGGTCTCTGCGAGTATGGCTTCGACCGCATTCAAAGTTACCATTGTTGGTGGTGGTGTTGCGGGCCTCACACTGGCAAACGCTCTCGAACAGGCAAAAGTCGAATATGTACTTTTGGAGAGCAAGGGACAATTTGCACCTGCTGTAGGTGCCTCGATAGCAATCGGCGCGAACGGCAACCGCGTCCTCGATCAGCTAGGATGCTGTAAGTCTTCTCAATCGGTCTCTTCCCTGGCTTCGCAATCTCTGAGTATGTTGGTCTGACGGCACTGCAGATGATACGTTAGAGCGACACACGGATCCTCTTGTCCACACGAGGACGTGGAAGGATGGCAAGGTAGTGAGGTTTTCCGATCAGCCAGTAATCCATCATAAACGTTCGTGGATGCCGCCTGCCGGCAGACGCATTCTGACCTCGCTCAGGGTTCGGCTATCCCATCTATTTCTGTGACCGTCACCTTCTCCTTGCCACGCTTTACGACAACAACAATGACAAGCGTAATCTGCTGCTCAACAAGAGAGTTTCGAGAATCGATCACAACCACAAAACTGCAACCGTCCAGTGCAAGGATGGAACCACATACACTGGAGATGTCATTGTCGGCGCTGATGGAGTGCATAGCATCGTACGGCAGGAGATGTTCCGTCATTTGGAGGTCAACGAGCCACATCTGCTTGATCCCTCTGACAAAACCGGTATGTCAACTGTGTCTTGGCCCTCGTAGAGCTCCGCTAACTGTCGCAGCCATGTCATCAGAGTACAAGTGCATGTTTGGCGTCTCGAAGCCAACATCGGGGCTCGACAGGCCAGGAGATGTGGGTATATTCAACCAAGCCCTCGGCCATGACCTTTCCTTCCTGCACTCAAACGACAAGTCAGGCCGCATTTTTTGGTTCGTCTTCGAGAAGCTGGACAGAAAACACCAATTCCCGAACATTCCCACATTCACGGATGATGATGCTGTGGCTCTGGCACATCGATGCTCGTCGGTCCGGATGAACGACAAGGTGTCGTTCGCCGATATTTGGAAGAACCGCTTGGCATACAGATTGGTCCCTCTGGAAGAAGCACTCTTTCAGCGTTGGACGTGGGGACGCCTTGTATGCATTGGAGATTTGGTTCACAAGGTATAGGCTTCCCATGCTGTTGCCCAAAGCGAGCTGACGATGACAGTGGACGCCTAATATTGGGCAAGGCGGTAACAACGCAATCGAGTCCGCCGCTCTACTTGCCAACAAGTTATTCCAGCTTGCGCACCAAACTCCTAGCCCTTCGCAAAAGGAGGTGGAAGAAGTATTGAAGAGTTTCTACCACCGACGGCTACCACGAGCGGCATCGACCTTCAAGCTCGCAAATCTTGCAACACGACTAGAGGCACTTAAAAGCTCCAGGGAGGAATTCTTAGCCCTATCCGTCATCCCTCGGGTTGGTGACTGGCTCATCAACCAGGTCACACTCAGCACTGTAGGAGCCGAGAAGGTCGACTACTTACCAGTACCAACGAGGTCCTTTCAAGGCACCATGCGCTTCAATCAGGCAAGTCTACCTTCGGATCGATAAATATATCCCAGAGCTTCCCACTCTGTTTGCTCCTTGTGCAATGCTAACAGCCAAGCAGAATTACGGACGCGGGACGAAGCAGCCCTTTACCAAAAGGGTGTTCTTTGCTCTCCCTTTCCTCGTCCTCAGCTTCTTCGCACATCGCATCTTCTCCTATATCTTGGCTCAACCTGCCTCCAGAGTACAGTCGCTAAGAGCCTTGCATCGGGCCAGCTCAAATTCAACGGTCAGGCCTGGAAACTTCCGACTCAGTTTAGCCCGTTCGCGCTGCTTGTGACAGCGTTCTCTCCCTCCACCCTCGACATCGACCCGATGCAGAAGCTTCAGGCGGTCTCATTCATCGTCGATTTGTCACCCTTGTGGCTGATCTACATCCTCGAAGCCCATCGAAGGGCGAATGAATTCAAAATCACGTTCACACTTCCGCTTCTCTATGGAGTTGCCTTCCAGCTCCGCGGAATTGGTATTGTGGGACCTATTTGGTTCTTCGCGCACTACGTGCAGAGCCCAATCGCTGATTATGCAGCAAAGGACTGGCGACTCGTCAATGTCGCCGCGGCAAAAACGGGCGGAGTCGCTGTATTCCTGGCGTTCACAATGCCAACATTGGCGATGTATTATCTGCCGAACCCTACCCACCGCTTGACCGTCAACGCAATTTGGCAAGCGTTCCCAGTTCTCTTCATCCTACTACACTACGTGCTCCGAAAGACTATCGTGAAGGATACGACGAGACACGACCGAATCTACCATGTCGAGGCCGATATGCCATACACTAGAATCGCAGTTTGGTCGTTCGCCAGTATTTCGGCGTTGGTATTCAATGCAACCCGCTATACCTCAAGTACTTCCCTCACAACAATATACTTTCCGGATTGGATACTTCTCAAATCTGCCATCTCCTCCGTGGACGGGACTCTCGACTTGATCTCCGGCATGAGACTCTTCTTGCAGGTCGATGAGATTGTGTGCTTCGGCGCTGCATTCCTCTGGCTGGCGTATCTGATCGGGGACCTTAAGGAGGCCGAGATGACGTCTGTCAGCTGGGCAAAAGTAGTCGCTCTTGCTGCCGCAGGCACATATCTGATCGGTCCTGGAGCGGTTATCCTGCTCAGCTGGTGGTGGAGAGAGAACATCCTTGCCACAAAGCATGCGAAGGGATCGGTCGGCCCTGATACCTGAGCGGTTTAACGTGGCGGTGTACAGGCAGCTGCGAGGGTTGCTGGACAGTACTCCGCCTTATGCTTGTCAGGTGTCCAGCCACGGCATCTGTGCTTGTCCGCCTTTCCTGGCAGGGCCCGTCAGCTCCATTCACAGCCTCCTCCCGAGACCATCTCGTGCTGATTGGCCTGCTCGAGAACTAGTATTTGCTGCAGTCTGGTCATGCAATCAGCAGAAAGACTTTACTGTTAGAGGTTTCACAGTGCATCGGTGGCCATCTTTCTGTCAAGACATTTTGTTTTCTTTGAACTTCCCATGTACACTGCTTAGCAACTGAGGTGGCATGACGGGACCAGGGTTATAGTCGTCACATACTGTAGCTGGGATGATCATGGCCCGTGACCTGCGAGCAGTAGGTCTACAGCTCGAGGCCGTCATGGATGAATGTACATGACCATACTAAGGGTCCTTTCGAATCACGATGGTCCACGGAAGCCACTTACAGTGGCACTTGCGGCCGGTTCCAAGGTAAGTATCAATTCAAATACTTAGATCGTGCTTGAATTCGGAGAAGTCAATAGATCGATCGATCCGTACCAGTAGACCTACAGGGTCTCCCAGGCCATGAAGTCGACGCGCGCATACGCTGTACGCCTTACGCCTGAGATTGGTCATCTGCACCAGCAGCAACATCAAGATAGATACGCGTTTATTAGCCTGGTCAGTGATTATGGCACCGCATGAACCCGCACCGCATCGCAGCACTTTACCGCTGTTGTAAGCTTTGAACCCTGACCCTGTAATTGGGTAATTCAATAATGGGGTCATTCGTCGGGTTGATGCCCGGACGCCTGAAAGCCAGACTTCATTGAAACGTTGCAAAGATTCGCCGTCATGCCAAGCACAGCCCATTCCCAGCATACCGCTTTAGTCTTGCGCAAGGGCGTATGTAGTTTCCCGGATAGGTATGTACCAAGTCATGGGCGTGTCGACGTTGACAAGCCTACAAGAGTTGTTGCTCCCAGTCTAGGCACCATTCTATCTAGGTAGGTATCTGGTCATCATTTTCCTGCGTGATATTCGCTGTGGAAAGGTGAACACCATTCTAGGTTGATATCTGGCCATCCTTTCCTGTGTGGTATTTGCTGTGAACAGGTGAAAGGCCCGAACATTGCATTCGACATGGGGCAGTTGGCGACGTTCCATTTGCCCAAAGTGAGTATTTCATCCTGACTCCAATGAATGCATCTCATTCTGATCGCGGACGCGCACAGTGGCTTGGGGAGAATGCAGCGAACGCGACACACGTCCTCGCCGGCAGTGCCGCGCCAGGCTTATCGCTCGACGATCTTGTTGCGTTGTCCAGCGACCCGGCGAAAACCGAAGAAGCGTTGCAATGGCGAGGCTTGAAGCTGGCGAACTATAGCGCGCAAGGCTCAGAAGCCGTCCGCCGCAATATCGCCGATCTGTACAGCGAGGATGTCTTGCCGGAGCATGTCGTGACTACGACGGGGACGACTGGAGCCAACATGACTGTCCTTCTCAGTCTTGTCCAACCGGGCGATCATGTCGTCTCAGTCTATCCGGTATATCCCCAGCTTCTGGGTCTGCCGAAGCGGCTGGGCTGCGAAGTGTCTCTCTGGAGGCTCGATCCTTCCAATGGGTGGCGCGCCGATGTGGAGGAGCTGCGCAAGTTGATCAAGCCGTCGACCAAGCTGATTATTCTGAACAATCCTGGCAATCCAACTGGTAAGCAAACATGGGGCCTGGCTTCGATTCTATGTAGACTCGTGCGACGAGATTGTGTATCTGTCCCAGCCGAGGCACGAAGGCTACTTACGACCTAGGTCACGGAAAAGAGAGCACGTCTCTGACAGCTAGGCAGGTAGTTATCTCGATCTGGCAACTCAGCAGAAGATCATCCAACTGGCCCAGGAGCACGATATCACAGTATTGGCGGATGAGATATTCCGGCCGCTCTACCATGAAGGTCCAGCTCCACCGTCGTTGGTGGAACATGACTACACCAAGGTGGTGGTGACAAGCTCAATGAGCAAAGTCTGGGCCATGTCGGCTGTGCGGATCGGCTGGATCATCTCACGGGATCGCAGTATCCTAGACATGATCCTGAATGCTCGCGAGTACACACTGCAGAGTACCAGTGTCCTCGACGAGATCGTGGCCACCGAGGCACTGAGCACGCGCTGTCGTAACACGATTCTGGACAAACACATGCGAAATGCGCGGGAAGGCCTCCAAATTCTGGACGCGTTCGTGGAACGCAACAAGGGAGTCTGCTCTTGGACACGCCCAACGGCGGGATCAACTGCATTTATAAGATTTGCCGATTCGAATGGAGATGCGGTTGACGATGTTGAGTTTTGTCGTGGGCTTCTCAGCGAACAGGGTGTGCTCATCTCACCTGGCAGTCTTGGCTTTGATGACGATGGCTCACCGAATGACTTCCGAGGTTATGTTCGCATCCAACTCACGCTGGATCCAGGACACTTGGCTCGGGGCTTGGAATTGATTGATGCCTTTCTTGACACGCGGCGCAGGACTGCGGGCTGAAAGAGGGTACGCGGTAGGTACCAAATACAGGAAGAGCTTGGAGTGGCTGATGAAATTAGCGATAGCACGCCTGTTGTTGGGCGGTAGCACCAGCTAGGAGAACAGAGCCTGCTATGATCGTCGGCGCAGGCGGTGCAATGTGTAGAGCAGCGATGAACACAGGGCAAAAGTAGGACGCAAAGGGCAGGGAACAGCAAACATCAGAAGATGAGAATGGGGCCGAAATGTTTAATCACGTGATCTGTCCGAGCGGCACCAATCAACCCTTGCACAAAAATGGGGCTGCGGCTGCCCCTCAATGTCTCCGTCTTCTGAATCTCCCCTCAATCGTCCTTTGCAATTATCAACTGAACAGGGCGTCCGCAAGAAGGACACTAAGTCGAGTAGCCCAGCGGCCTTTTCAGAGCGGCCACGTCGGAATGCAGGCTCCGGCAGCTGAACACTAACTATACAAAGATCGGCGGCTGTTCCATACCACAGATGCCGGCGGTGGCTTGTTCAGCCCGCCGCACGATGCACCAAGACAAGATTAACTGTCCATGTTGGTCACCATGTCCATGCAGCGCTCGACATATCGAGTCAAGTTGACGAGCTAGACGATTTCGCTACGTATACAGGACCATCGATGGGTGCCTGAGCCCAGGGACGCTGTTGGCTGGCTCGGATCGTGAAGCTCGAGGTTTGTATATATGGGTAGGTCAACCGCTTTCTCCCATCACTGCAGCCGACTTCAATACACTACAGCACTTCTATCGCAATCATGGTGTTTTCTATCGCTTCGCTCTTTGTACCCTCTCTACTGGCACTCGTTCCAGGCATTGCCGCCGTTCCTACTTTTCCAGAAGGGAATGTCATCCGTTCGCTACTTGATCCGAAGGTCTCCTTATCCTATAAACAGGTGACGCGCCATCCACATCCCTCGGAAGCGTTCATCGTTGCTAACTTCTGAAAGACCACCATCTGCGAAACAACGCCCGGCGTCAAGTCCTACAGCGGTTATGTAAACCTCCCGGCAAACGAAGCGGAAGGACGCAACTACCCTACCCACACCTTCTTTTGGTTCTTTGAATCTCGAAAAGATCCAGCCAATGCTCCGCTGTCACTCTGGCTTCAGGGCGGCCCAGGATCACCTTCGATCCCTGCTGCGCTCGGAGAAAACGGCCCTTGCTTGGTAAACGCGGATTCCAAGTCAACACGTCTCAACCCTTGGTCCTGGAACAATGAAGTCAACATGCTGTACATTGATCAGCCGGTACAGACGGGCTTCTCTTACGACGTCCTAGCAGATGGCACCATCAACGAGGTGGCAAGCCCATTCGTCGTGACTCCTGTGGAATCATCAGATGTCCACACCCTTGATCTGAACACTACCTACCTGCTTGGCACCTTCTCTTCTCAAAATCCGAACACTACAGTAGACACGACAGTTGGGGCAGCTGAAGTAGCTTGGCATTTCATGCAGACGTGGACTCAGCAGTGAGTTGCCCTGTTCTCTGTTGTGAGACAATCTCCTGACGCAGATCAGATTTCCGAAGTACAAACCAAAGAACAACAAGTTCAGCATCTGGACAGAATCTTATGGAGGACACTGGGGTCCAACGTTCGTCGATTACTTCCAGTCTCAGAACAGCAAAATTGCGAGCGGCTCCCTCTCCAAGTCCGCTGTGCCCTTGAACCTCGAGACCCTCGGCATCATCAACGGCTGCATCGATGCCGAGACCCAGATACCTCTATATCCAGTCATGGCCTACAACAACACCTATGGACTCCAAATCATCAATGAGACGGAATACCAATTTGGCGTTCAGAGCTGGCCTGCATGCAAGAAGCTGATTGATAGCTGCCGCTCATTGGCAACACAAAAGGATCCGGCGGCTACGGGCAACAACGCAGAGGTTAACGCTGGGTGCGCCACAGCTTTTGACACCTGCTTCAAGACAATGCACGATGTGTACCTGCTGAAGAATGTAAGTGTCCCATGTTTCTGTACTTCCGGTTGTATCTGATAGTGTCTGACGTAGCGCAACTACTTCGATATTGCACAAGAATATCCCTATTCATTCCCACCGAAGTGGGCCGCCGGATATCTCAACAGCAAGCCCGTTCAACAAGATCTTGGTGTCCCACTCAACTTCTCGGCGAATTCGGTGCCAGTTGCTACCAGTAAGTGCTGCCCTTACCAAATCTGCTGGGCCGTCCCTAACCCCGGTTGCAGGATTCGCCCTCTCGGGCGACTTTGTCCGCGGCAAGAATCTCGCAATTCTAGGTCAGCTTCTGGACCGAGGAGTCAAGGTAGCGTTGATGTATGGGGACCGCGACTTTCAGTGCAATTGTGAGTTTACAAGGCTTCCCTGCCTGCACCGAAGCAGAGATGCTGACTCCTCTCAACACAGGGCTTGGAGGCGAGAAAATCAGCCTGGCAGTCAAATCGCAGATATCGGACAAATTCAACAAAGCAGGCTACACTGACATTCACACCAACGCTACCTTTGTGGGAGGCTCTGTCCGACAGTACGGCAATTTCTCCTTCTCCCGCGTCTACAACGCTGGCCACGAAGGTATGTTGCCATCTCGCTGATCGATGCTGGTCAGACAGTTTCTAGAACATCCCAGTCGAAACTGACCCTCGCATCGTCTAGTGCCCTACTACCAACCCGAGACGGCCTACCGAATCTTCAATCGGGTGATGAAGAACCTTGACGTCTCGATCGGCAAAGTCTCGACAACAAAAGTGAAGGACTATCACACAAACGGACCGAGCAGTGTCTTCGGAGTCAAGAACAAACTGCCCACCTACGCGCCGACGCAATGCTATCTGTGGGATATTATGGAGACATGTACCGAGGACCAGGGGATGGCGTTCTCGAATGGCACGGCCATCACGAAGGACTTTATCATGATCGGGACTGTAGGTGTTGATGGCAAGAAGCATCTCTACTCGGAGTAATAGATGAGGTGGTACGGAGGGAACACGGAGCAAAGTGTATCGGGCCATTTAGCGAGCATTCTTTGGGCTGTTCTGTACCGAATAGCAGAGAGGGTGATCCCGCCAATTGGATGTCGTACTGCATGCAGAGCTGAGGTGTCTACATCTACGAGTACCATCTACGAGTACTGTAGCCAGGAAGAAGCCGTGTGCGTGATATATGTATTGGGACGTACTGGGCACTGTAGGTAAATCAACTTCCCGTGGCCTGCCCTACCCAACGATCCAAAGTACGGTCGATCCTGATACCGAGTACACAGTCCTTACACAGTACGGAGTACGTAGCTCGAGGATCGACAACAGGGGCTTAGAGCACCATTTGCAGGCGATCGTCAAAGAAAAGCATAGCGGTATAGCGCCCATAGCCTTGGGCGGAGCTTCTTACTCATTTAATTACCCCGCAGGAGTCAGTTATGATTGGGAGCCCAGGGAATGCCCAGACTTCTAAGCTCTCTCACGGCCATGTCTAGGCGTGCATGCTACAGTACGTCTAGGTACCAAAGCTAACAAGATCACCGCCTAAATGCGCCCCCAAGCAGTAACGGCTGTAACTCCAGTGGTTACACAGTACTAGTCTTTCTTGGGGACTATCAAGCACCGCCTAGCATTTCCAGGCCCCCCACACCCTAGGCTAGGGCCCTAGGTCCTTTTGCAAGTCCATTGTGTCCGTCCGGTAACTGGCTTGTTTCTCCGTTCTCAAACTGCCGGTGGTTGGTGCTGTGCTGTTGTGTGCCAGCAGTGCAATGGTAGTGTCTCATGGACCAAATTTGGTCCGACCTCGTTTGTCATTTCCAGGCGGAGACCGGAGATCTGAGACTCTGAGTCTGCGGTTGCACGGGTGCCTGAGGCGCAAGGACAGCCCTAGCTGCGCGTACTGCCTGGGGCTGAGCTGTACGAGTGCATACCTACCTACCTACGCAGCACACAGCGCCTGATATACTACAAATTCCTTGATACTACTGTATAGCGCTATGCTCGACCAGTCGAGGAATTATCTGTCAGCAGAGACAGAAACATACCTCCTTCTGGGTGATGGACGCCTGAGGATCCAGGGCGCGATATAAACTTGACAGGAGACAGACGCAGCATTCACGATCTTCAAACAGCCACTTCGCTCTCCCTCTTCTTTCCTGGCTCTGTGTGCGATGGAACCCCTCAAGGCCAACCCTATCAGGAGGAAACGTCCGTTCCTGTCCAAGACCAGGACGGGATGTCTGACTTGTAAGGTCCGCAAGGTATGATCATCAATCTACCTATGCGCACTCACATGTGTTTCGATTGTGTATGTTTCTCGGTCACCAAATTGACCGCCGCACACAGGTCAAATGCGACGAAGAAAAGCCGGCATGTCGGCGATGCACGTCTACGGGACGGAAATGTGATGGGTATGCACCAGCACCGGTCTCAGCCTCAGCCTCAGCGTCAGGGTCAAAGTCCGTCTCGGTCAGGAGCGGCAGCAGTAGCAGCAGCAACAACACATCACCTTCACGACACGCCAGCCCCAGCCAGGCCCCTTCGGCCGATTTGTTCGCCTCGGATGCCGAGAGAAGAAGCTTTGCCTACTTCGAGACGCGAGCCTGCCATGATCTGAGCTTGGGTGGTTCCTTCCACGCGCACTTCTGGGCGAGAGAGGTCCTCCAGGCTGCAGTCCACTACCCTTCGACGCGCCACCTGGTGGTCGCCATTGGAGCCGCGTTCGAAGGCTTCCAGGAGTCAACCGCCGTCTCGAGCGGGGGCCGAGAAAGCAACGCCATGAGACTGTCCATTGAGCAGTGTAACCGGGCGATACAGCTGATGGGGGCCCTGTTTGACGCGGCCCGCAGAGAGGCCCAGTCCGTCGAAACAACCTGCAACATCTTGACGGCGTCGATCCTCTTCGCGTACCTGGCGTGTCTGCAGGGACAGGTCGGCCAGGCGATCGAACATGTGAGGTCGGGATTGAAGGTGCTACAGGGGTTCGAGAAGGCCAGATCGCTTGGCCATAACGACCACGAGCACGATCGCCCGGCGGATACCTTCCCGGTATCTGTTGCGCATCTCAGATCGCTGCTCACCTCGATATATGGACAAATCCGATGCATGATCAACGACGAAGCTCTCACCGCCTGGGTGTGGGATCCGCTCGTCTCGGTCATTGGTCCAGTTCTCAGCTTCTCGACCCTCTCCGAGGCGCACAGCTACGTCGAGAATCTGTGGCACAATCTACTGGCATTGCTGCAATATACCGAGCTTCACCCGCCCCGGACGGCCGACGAGGTTGCCGCATTCACGGCACACCATCAGCTGCTGAGCCGGTCGTTGGACAGCAGCCGGGATGCACTCGAGACGTTGGCCTCTCAGCGGACGTTGCACCATGGCAGCTTCAACGAGCAGGGCCTCAACATCCTGCGGCTGTATCAGACGCTGATCGCAATTCGACTGCACATCAACCCGCTGGAGCCTGGCAACCGGGAGGCCGCTTTTGATGAGCTGGAACCTGAGCTGGAAAAAATGCTGCGGTATTGTGAGTTACTGGTCCAGAACCAGAGTCAGGATCACAGTCAGGGTCACGATCAGCAGTCAGACATCCGGCCCTCTCCTTCTTTCTCCTCGGGTCTGGGCTATGTCATGCCGCTCCACACGATCGCCGCTCGATGCAGAAACCCGCAGATTCGTCGCCGGGCACTCCAACTCCTGATGAGTAGTGGTCGACGGGAAGGCATCTGGGACGCAGTGTTGACTGGGAAAATCGTGACGACGACAATGGAAAGAGAGGAGCGGCTGGCGGCGAGTCTGCAGACTGAGAAAGTGCCCAGTGATGCGCGAGTGAGGGAGGTCAAAGTCGAGTTTCTGGGCGAGAGGAGAGCGCGTGTGCGGTACGTTACCGTGGCCGACTGGAGGGCGCGGCTGTATGGCGAGCAACATATCCTGGAGTGGTGATGCGTCCAAGATCTCGAAGAGGAATGTGAAAACATGATCACGCATCTGAGTGTTCTGCGATGGTGATTGAGTGTTGCGAAGGCGCTCAGCTTGCGTAAAACGATACAACGGAGCTACCAACAAATATGATGCGTTCAAGCATGCTACAGTAATTATCCTCCTCACTCAATGCAGCCTGGACAGCATTCACGTCAACTGTACCGCACCAAGTTTGCCGTTGGCACTCTTTGCTCGGCAGAGACGGCACCAGTCTCCCTTCTCCGGAGCAGCAATCAGACCGAAGCGGGCACTGCGCGGGTGTTCTCATATCAACATCGCCACGAGTGCCCACGTGGGCGCGACTGCCAAAGATGGGCCATATGTACGTACTGTGATACTGTAGTCAACTCCTACTCTGACTCACGAACCGGTGGCAAATGGCAAACCATGCAAGGGGGAAATGAAGACGAATCCGTGTTGAAAAAAAATCTCCGGTAAGCGAGCGGGATGCACATGGCTCGCCAGGGTGTCCGCGGGTGTTCGTTCTCTTGACGCACAAATCGGAGACGCTCTACGAGCTCGCCGAGTCCAGCCACAGGGCTCCCTTGCTTGTGTGCATGGCCGGGATGGCACCATGGTACCAATCGCGATCGTGGGAGCAAGCGACCGAGGCTTGGGCTTTTGTTTCAGATATGAGGGATTGTATAAACAACAATCATCCTGATGACATGGCGATCCAGCTGCCCCTTTGGTGTTGGGCGATGACAGGGTGTGACGCGGTGAAGCAAGTCGCATGTGAGCCGGGTCTGGGGCGACACTGAAGACCGGATTGACACACATGATATGTACCGTGGACAGAGTATAGTGGTGGGTACGGAGTACTGTGAATGTAAGTACTTTTGGTGTGGATTGCCTACACTCAACCACACACTACGCACATACGCGCAACACGTTTTAAGGGAACTCGATCAGTCCGGCCGCGGCCACGAGCATCAGAGTTTCGCTAAGACACTCCGCAAATATTCCGGAGGCAGGGAGGGAGGGTTCGTACTGTACGTACTTTTTGCAAGGGCAGAATGACGCGTCGAACGCGGGCGGCGATGTGGAAATTTGCATGGCGCTCAACACCGCAGCGAGACGGGCAGATGATCGAATTCTGATTCCATGCAGTCAAACAGTCCCGGACGTGCCGAGAGCAGCAACGACGCGCATTCGATTGTGACAGCTCAGATCCGACACCGATACTGACGGTAACTAGGTATGTACTTTGTGTCATTCCGCGCCATGATCGAGGAACTCACAATGCCAGTTTGCGCTGATGCTGAAAGTCCTTCATTCGGCTCTGAGCCAGCTAGGACAAACCCTGTAAACCCGGCATTCTCGAGATGGATTTCTCATCCTGCCCGAGTCCACTGTCCCCATGTTCCTGGGCTCGTCAGCTCTCAGCAAGCCACATCTCCCCGGCAGCCTCAGCCGAGGAGTTGCACCCATGGCTCTGCACGCCAATGAGATAGGTTCGACAATCTTATCGATATCAGCCGCATGGCACAGACGCCATCGCTCGACATGGCTGCCATGGACAATTTCGGGAGCCGTTTAGCTCCAGACACGTTGTGCTCGATCCAATAACCGACCGAACATGGCGCCATGTTGCCTCGATTCGACCTCCCCTCCGACGCGATAGTTGTCAGTCCCGCCCAGTTTCGATTGCAGGTCCATCGGCCAGCCTTGCAAACGGACCGGGAGGTTGCAGGCATGAACGAGCTCCCTTCAACCATGCGGAGGGGTATCCGGGTCCATGAAGCCTGGCCTGCTCTCTGGCAGTGGCCGTCTTCATAAAGATGGCAGCAGGGTCGACCGAAGACCCAGCTCCCCGATCTCACCACGCCTCCAGCTCCCTCACCACCATTGTTGACATGGCAGCCATCAGAGACACACCCGCCGGCCAATTTCTGCGTCTGGTCGGCCTCAAGTCCTGGCTCTACTACCCAGAGGAGGTGACCGGCTTCGAGCTGCCCAGCCTACCATTCGTATCCGAGGAGCAACTCCCTGCGCCCGACGCAGAGAAGGACATCGAGAAGAATCTCCCGACCGTCTCCCTCCGATTGTCGACTCCGCCGGATGAACTCTCGAGCGCCATGTCCCAGAAGGGGCTGGCAGAACCCATCGTCGTCTCGTTCTCCGAAGGCGACCTGGAGAACCCGCGGAACTGGTCCAGCATGAAGAAGGCTTGGACCGTCACCATCATCAACGTCTACACCTTTGTGGTCTACTGCACCGCGTCGATCATCACGCCCACCGCCGGCTTCATCGTACAGAAATATGACGTCTCTGTCGTCGTCGCCAGTCTAGGTCTGTCGATGTACGTGGTTGGCTGTAAGTACTTCGTGGTTGCCGATGCTTGAGTCGATTGCTAATAAAGGTGTCTAGATGGAATCGGTCCCATGTTCTTCTCACCTCTGAGCGAAGTCCCGAGCATAGGACGGAATCCACCGTACCTCTACTCATTCATCGCCTTCTTCGTCGTTTCGATCGGCCTAGCGTGCGTCGACACCTTTCCCGGCATCATCGTCCTTCGGTTTCTGCAGGGCTGGTTTGGCAGCCCGTGTCTCGCCAGTGGTGCCGCCTCCATCGAAGATGTCTACGACATGTACAGCGCCCCATACGGCTACATCTGGTGGGTGGCCGCCATGTACTGCGGCCCAGCCTTCGGGCCTCTTATGGCCGGCTACGCCGTCGACACTAACTGGCGATGGCCGCTTTACGAGGCCGTCATCATGGGCGGCATCGTGCTCTTCTTCCTCCCTTTTCTCCCGGAAACCTCTCCCCAGACGATCCTCCTCAATCGCGCAAAACGCCTCCGGAAGACCACCGGCAACAACGCCTACAAAGCGCCCTCGGAAGTCAAGCCTCTCGCCTTCGGCAAGATGCTCCACGAAGCGCTCAACAAGCCCCTTGAGATTACCGTGAAAGACCCCGCGATCCTGTACGCCTGTGTCTACGGCTCCATCGTCTATGCGACGTACTACTCCTTCTTCGAAGCCTTCCCGCTCGTGTATCTGGGTACATACCGCATGTCGCTAGGCAGCATGGGCTTGATATTCACGTCTCTTACTGTCGGCTGCGTGTGTGGCCTAGTCATCTACTTCGTCTACATCACCTACTTCTTCATCCCGCGCGCCCGAGCCCATCACCAGGATCACGGCGAACCCATCGCGCAGGAGAAGTGGCTTCTCCCTGGACTTTTCGGCGTCTGGGGTCCTCCCATCGGATTGCTCCTCTTCGCCTGGACAGCCAAGTCCTCGATCCACTGGATTGTTCCCACCACCGGGATCTTCATCTTTGCCTTTTCGACTTTTTTCATCTTTCAGGCTTTGATCTGCTGTGAGTGCGGTCTTTTTCTATACTTGACTTGGCTCATTCCCTTTCCCTGCCTTTGACTTGACATGACTCCATCTCCTTTAGCGTGGCGCTACTGTACCCTTCTACAATCTCTCTCTCTCTCTCTCAATTTCTCCTTCTACGGTCAATATCTTACGACCTACATGCTAACAAACACCATCAGACGTCCCGCTCTCCTACCCCCGCTACGTCGCCTCCCTCTTCGCGGCCAACGACTGCGCCAGATCCCTCGTCGCGGCCGCCTTTGTCCAGTTTTCACGCCAGATGTACACGAACCTGGGCATCGACAAGGGCGTCACCCTCGTCGCTGGCCTGAGCGTCATCGGCATCGGCGGCATGTATGGATTATATTTCTACGGGGCCCGACTTCGTTCCCGGAGCAAGTTTACCGGGTGATTTTAAGGTTGCTTACCTGCCTACTTACCTGCTGAAAGGAGTGTCATGTCATGTCATGCTACATATGCTGCGTACGATGTGACATGCATTGTGGCTTCCTTTTTTTTCCCTATGTCGTTATCGTTGTCATTGGCGTTATCGGTGCCGGGACTGTACTAATATGGGTATCTGGTACGGTAATTCGCAGGACAGCTTGGAATTTGGATTCTGGATTCTGGATCTTGAACCGGGACTGTGAACTCGGGACTTGGACCTGTGGGAATCTGCAGCATGGAATTTGGAAATGGACAATGTACCAAAGCAGGCGTGGCGTTGGCGGCATTGTGGCGTGGGACCATGAACTGTATTTATGCTATGCTCAGGGTATACGGGTCTGCCGGTAAGGTATCTATATGGTACTGTAGGATAGCGGCCAGGGAACACAGGACAGTGGGTGTCCCCCTAAAATCTCTGCGGAGAGAGAGGCACACATATGGCACGAACAAAAGGATATCGACATGGATAGTAGCGTCACTCTTTGCCCACAAACATCCATCTGTAGCTGGGACTGTTTCCACGGACTGATGAGGATGAAGTACAGTAGAAGATGCAGGAGTCGGCTCGAAGACAGCTGAGCTCAAGCGGGCGAGATGACATTAGCTGTGGCGGACGATACTCGGACCCTACGGTGGATGTGAGTACGAGAGGAATCTGAAGGTGCACCGAGGAAGGTCGAAGGAGAATCAGGGCACAATACATGAATATGCAGGAACGATCAACAATACCAGCGTGTACAGTACTCGTACCGTTCATGGCAAGGAATGCAGTGCACAAACGAACGGGCAACCCTTGAGAGGAGACTGGGACCCGTAGGTTGATTAATTACAGGATCACAGTCGCAATCAGATCGAGACCACGACACATAAAGAATTTCATTGCCGAACGACACCTGAAGGCGTGGTTACGGTGCACACGACGGAGTACGAGGACGCAAGAAGCAAGGCTGCCTGCTGCCTGCTGGCTGCTGGCTTGTCGCAAGGTTCCGTCCGGATGCATCCCAGTGTCTTTTTCCGAGATGTGCACGTTTGCGCGTTGTAGCGGTAATCACAGGATTCACGCTGACCTGAGCAGCTGAGCTGCCTGGCTGCCTTCGACACTCGTGCCGTTTCCCCGATTGAGGCGCGCCTTCTCCGTGCAAGGCGGATGATCAGGGCCAGTTACTGCGTCCATCCTCCGTACTCGGGACTGTACATGCCTACCCCTACCCTCTACAGTAAGGTGTCTCGTGCTGGTGTTCCGGGCAATGCCGAAGTGTCACGGCCAAGCAAGACATTTATGCGCACTCCACAAAACCCGCATTGCTAAGCACCAATTGCATGGGCAGAAGTTGGATTGCTTGATTGTTCGGTACGAATGCTTAGCCCCATGTGGAGGTGGTCGCCGTGTCTCACGTCTGACGTCTCTCTCATTTCACCCTCACTCACATCTCACTCACCACTCACTCTCATCTCGCCTCTCGCTCGGTAGCTAAGTCAGGCCGACAACACAGAATCTAATCAATCATTACTCGCCAGCTGTCAAAGCAATCGCGGGTCCTTGTCTCTTGATTATCTTACCCACTGTGTTACCCGTACGGAGCCTGTGCACATTCAGCCTGGTGCAATCGAGCTGACTGGTCTGATCTGGTATTCGGCATCGGCACCGGCACCAGGACTGCACAGCACACAGTGCACAACACACACGACTCACTCGGCGCTACTGGGTATCTCCTACTCAGAACGAGCCATTTACCTCTCTGATGCTTTGCAAGCACAGAGCTCTAATGTAAGGCTGACATTTGCATCTCCGCAGCCTCGGATCGTCGAAACCACCGGTCCGTTCGTTCTGCCTCCCAACTCGGGTTCGCTGCCTTTGCGTTGATCGTTCGACCCACTTTCCACGCTCGACACTTGCTAGCACGCAGGGGAGCGTGGCCTCGTCTCACCACGCGCCTAATGCAATGGACACTGGACGCAACGGAGCGCTATCGAGGGCAACCGAAGCAGAAAACACAAAGATTGGTCTCCTTGACAGTCCCATTGTATGTCCCCGCTCGTCCTGTCTACACAGGAGGCATACTGGGGTCGAGAAACAGCCCCTCTCCCGCCCTTTGCGTACACAGTACGTATCTCGCTTGGTACCTTAGCTTCCGGATCTTCCGTTGGGGCTGGAACCCAGTACTCAGGACCCCGTATCCGACGCCGTGGTGTTGTGCGGTGCGGAACTGTGATTGTGCTGTGTTTGCCGAGGCCGTGATTGTGGTCGTACATGTGGTTTGTGGTTTCCTTTGTCTGTACTCTTTCTCATTCTTGTACTCATTTCTCTTGTATCTTCGCCTCTGTACGTTTAGTTGCTAGGCTCTCCTTTGCCCTCGCGTTGACCCCGACGTCGTCGCCATCGCCATGAAATCACCTTGCTCGGCGCTACTGGTCGCGGCGCTCGCCCTCCCCGGGTCTTGGCTCGGCGGTGGTAATGGTGTCACGGGCTTCGAGTTCAACGCGTACGATCTCGGTCTGCAGGGCATCTACCCGCGGCATCGATTCCACTCAGTCGACTTTGAAGCGCCCAAGCCGAAGATCACGCGGTGGGATTCGCGCTGCAATGATGGAAACTTGCTTCTCACGCCGCGGGGGCCGTCTGTCCAGGGCAAAGCCCGTGGGCCCACGATGCTGGACGCGCGCGGCAACTTGATATGGGCGGGCAATGACGACTTCGAGCAGGTCATCAATTTGAATGTGCAGAAGTACAAAGGGGAGGATTATTTGACGTTTTGGACCAAAGTCAAGAAGAACAAGCATAGGCATAAGAATCAGAAGCATAAGAACAAGGACAAGGACAAGGGCAAGGGCAAGGGTAAGAATAAGGATAAGGATAAGGATAAGAACCAGGGAGATCACGACGACGACGAGATCAATGCTTATGCAAAGCATCCGAGAATCTCTTATGTGATGGTATGTGCAATTCAGCCTCTTGTTCTGGAATTGTCAACCTAACTCCGGTGATAGCTTAACTCTTCCTACGAGGTGGCCTATAGAATATACCCACATGGAAAGGGCTACAAGGGAGACTCGCATGAATTTCAGATCACCCCACAAGGCACGGCGCTCATCACCATCTACCACAAGCACAAGGTCGACTGCACGCAATTAGGGCTCGGCAAGAGCTGCTGGATCCAAGACGGCTTGTTCCAGGAAATCGACATCGAGACGGGCGATCTGGTGTTCGAATGGCGCGCCACCGACCATGTCAGCATGCTCGACGTGTTCAGTAGCCCGAACCGTAAGGACGGGTATGGGACGTCTAAGAAGGACGCCTTTGACTTCTTCCACCTGAACAGCGTCGACAAGCTCGAGTCGGGCGACTACATCATCTCGGCGCGGTACATGCACGCGGTGGTGTGCATCAGCGGCAAGACGGGCGAGATCCTGTGGCAGCTCGGCGGCAAGCACAATGACTTTCGCGATTTGAACGGCGCCACCGACTTTGCCTGGCAGCACCACGTGAGGTGGCAGGGCAACAACACCATCTCGCTCTTTGACAACCACGCCAACAACGTCTTTCACAACCCCTCCAGCCAGAGCAAGGGCATGATCATCAAACTCGACCTGGAGAACATGACGGCCAGCGTGGTGCAGACCTTCGTCCACCCGGACGAGATCCTCAACGTCTCGCAGGGCTCCGTCCAGGTCATCGCGGAAAGCGGCAACGTCTTGGTCGGCTTCGGCAACTCGCCCACCTACATCGAATACGCGCCCGACGGCCAGGTGCTCTGCAGCGCCCACTTCGCGCCACACATCGCCTTTGAGATCCTCGATTTCGGCCTGGTCAAATCATACCGCGTGTTCAAGAGGCCGTGGGTCGGACGGCCCAACACGGTGCCGGACGTCAAGGTGAAGAGCGGGAGAATCTACGTAAGTTGGAACGGCGCGACCGAAGTGTCAAGCTGGAGATTGGAGGGGGCGGGCTCCCAGGACGCGCACGACAACGAGTTTGTGACGATCCAAGAGTTGGAGCGTGATGGGTTCGAGACGAGTTTCGGACTCGACAAGGTCGGTGGCTTTGTGAGGATCGCGGCGCTGGACTCTGCGAGGACTGCAATGGCATATTCGGCCGTCGTCAAGGCCCCTCCCTCGTCACTCGTAAGTTTCCGACCGAAGCGACTCCACATCCTGAGCGTCCCATCTTCCATGCTAACCCAGGTTTAGGGGTTCCTCTGGTCGACGCTCATCTTTCTGTTCGGCGTCGCCGTCTTCGCGTCCGGCTTTGCCGGCTTCATTCTCTGCTATCGACGAATACACTGGCTTCCGCGTCTTCCGCGGCTTGCGCGTGTCCCGAAGCTACTTAATCTGAGTGGTCTCAAATCCCGATTGAGCCAGGGCAAGATACCTCGTTGGCAACACGAACCCGAAACGGAGCCTCTGTTACTGGACGAGAGAGTTCCTTGAGGCAACGATCAGTCGGATTGGACCAGCTCTTAGCGATCCAGAGAAAGGCCGCCGACGACGTAAAAGTATTGTGGGAACGTATGATTAGGCATATCGTCTGCGAGGACGACTCACCACTCTGCGTACACGAGCCGTGAACCACCATGGACGTCAGCCGCGACGACGGCCGGTCGAGGCGATCAACCACGGCAGAGCAGGCTGGGTGGCAGGACGCTACCTGAGATATCTACTACGGGGATATCCGGCATCTCGCTCCACGAGAAAGACGATGAGTTCGAGGGCCTTTATGAGGAGTGTAATCATGACGGTCTTTACGAGGAGTGTAATCGTAACGGAGGGTCATAACGGAGTGGGATGGTGACGCAAAGAGATGGGTCAGAAGGCAAAGGCAAGCGGGAAGCAATTGAGGGCGTGGAGGGGAGGCCGAGGCAGACTCAATCCTCCCAGCGCGGATCACATTCTCTCCTGGTGTCAGTGGTGTGAGTGAGTCGCCTCCGTGTTTACAAGACACTTGCGCCCCCAGTGGTGATGGCCCTCGGCGGTTCCGCATTGAGCGTTAGCAAAGGCGTAGGCGTCGGCGTAGAACCAATCCATGATGGTTCGTCATCTCAGGAAACGAACGAGACCACGAGAAGAGTCGTTATCCCTCAGGATTGGACACTGCGGGCATTGAAGTTTTTCAAAAGGCACACGACCATCCTACTTGAAAGCAGATGCAGCGGCATTCCACTTCCAACACCGCCTTCAGTATCTAATTACCCAGTACACCCGATGTGAAGGCGAAGAATAGGTACCTAGGCCCGGCTCGGCTGTTTCTGACTTGTGGGTCAAGTACCTGATATACCATTGCCACACTGCAGAGGAAGGACTGATTAGACTGAGCACGAACAGGTCGGCTACACCAGCGAACACCAACGAGCGCCCTTTGGGAAAGACCTCACGCGAGTTGACTCGGCACCCATCACTTGGGCTGCTGCTGGCTGGGTGGTCGTCCCACCGCTGACCTTGACCACCCATGACCACCCATGACCACCATGACTCGGTTGACCGGGCTCGGGTATCGATGGGCGGGCGAGGCTCCATATGTCATTACAAAACCGTAGGCGGGTGTCCTCGCCGCTGACGCCGTGGCCAAAAAATGAGTGGTGGCACGCATCTTCCGAGGCGAGGCACACACGAGGGAGGTGACGAAAGTCCTGTCCATCCCTTCCCTCGCTCCCTCGCTGCTTGCGGAGTACGAATACTGTGTAATTATTGGAACCGCTTCTGGTAGTAAAGTCCCCTCCCTGTCCCCGTCCCGGTCCCCGATCTCTTCGGGGCGTTGTGCTCACGAGTCACATGTCACATTTCCGTTTTACACATATTACTACTGTGGACTGTGTACGTAAGACTGTACTGTGTCTGGCGAGCGAGCCATGGGCGACTGCTCGACTGCTCGACTGCTCGGCTGCTCGCTCGGATGAAAATAATCTCTTTACAGTACGGCGTATTAGTCCATTCATGCTGAGACCGAGACTGGGAAGGGGGAAGTGCCCTGCCTGCATGGTTCTGGTGGAAAGGTCTGCTGTCCACTGGTACGAGTAAGGTGGGCGCTGCTGAAAAGGTCTGCTGCCCAAGGCAAGGTGGGGTGGTGGTGGTGGTGGTGGATTCTCTGCAATCCTGTAACTCAGTACTGGGCAAGTACGCAAAATCCTGTCCAGACCGACACGTTCCGTATCGGGCGATGGCATGCTGTGATATTTTAGATTGTGCGGTGCGGTCGAAATTATAAATGGGCAACGTTGCCACGCAATCCCTGCAGGAACCAGGTCCGCTGCTGTACTCTGTACGCGGTGAAGCTGAAGCCGAAGCTGAAGCAAACAATTAATGGTACCATTGGTTTCCTCGTGTCGCAAATCCTCGTTTGTGCGCTTCCGTGTGTGCGTTCATGATGGTTGGGAAAGAGAAAAGCTCAGGGGGGGTTTTCGAGGCCCCTTTTGGGTATCTCCATGCTACAGTAGAGGACGCACAGCATCGTTTTTCCTTCTGGCTGGTGCATTTTCGAGGCAAGTGGCTGCTGGCTGTGGGGCTGGGCTCAATCCACGCAGTCAAAGTGTGCTGTCCGCAGTACGAGTACTCCGAACACAGTATCCACTCATGCGATCGATATGTTTAGCCTAGCGACATAAACAAGTACATGCGCCAGACAAATAGAGGGCGGGCGGTGTGAGTGGAAAGGAGCGCGGGAGAAATTCATGGAAAACCCTGGCAGCATGCTCAGCGTCAAACTGACAGAGGCGTTCGTTGCGCGCATCATCTTGATAAAGTGAAGTCATAGGGATCGAGCGATGGCTTGTTGCCCGTAATCAGTCCTGTTGGCTCTTGCAAGAGATCATCGGGGCGATGTGCGCGACCAAGCCCTTCGCTCAAAGGGTGTGAAGCGCTCTCTCATCTAAAGGTCGAGCCATGATCGAGTATCTAGCTAATGTTTAGCCGCCCCCACCGATAGAATCAAGGCCCAAAGTTTGTCAGAGTCTTTGCGTATCAGGTGGCAGCCACGGATCAAGTCAGCCATGGCCTTGGAACAATCGAATCATGGAACTCGGGATTGTTGTTGAAGTCAATCTCTACCGACGCTACGGCAATCGGTTCAAACCCTCGGTAGTCGGATGAGGGAGTCGGCGACCTTGCCTGTGAGATGCCTTGAGCCGCTCCGGGCGAAGTCATCCTTTGTGTGGCAATGTTCGCTCTTCGGAGCGGCAGTCGGTCGCTGCTCTGATTTGCCAGCCGCGGCGAGGCTGCGTATTGAAGCATGACTCGTGCGGTATTCGTCGTGTAAATGACGGCTGCGACGTCAAGTCTGCCCTCTTGACTGTCGGCAGCATTCCCCACCAACGGCCTTGGAGTTTGGTCGGAGCCGGCCCGCGCAGAGTGATGGGTCGCCGGCGATGTGGTTCCGAAGGGGCTCACTGGAAGGCGTGGCCGTGGATGGGTGCGCGATTTTCTCAAAAGGCCGGTGAGTTCTTCGTTTGCTTGCAGCAGTCGTGCTTTTTCAACTCTTCAGCATTCGTCCCCCAAAAACGTTTCAATCCATCCCTCTCGTGAAACATCCTTGCCATCCAATATCGGCATCATGGCCCCAACGACTGACGACCAGAACCCTCCATCCGACAAGAAGGTGGCGGGCCATCAGCGAGAGCTCAGTCCGTCCAAGGAGGCGGCACAAGAGAAAGCAGTCCACCAGCGCGTCAAACGGCACTTGACAGGCCAGATCCGAGTCAATCTTCTCGCCGAAACCGAGCTCCTGATCCTCACTTTTTGTACCGGTATCCAAGATGCCACAACGTTCCCCGACTACCACTGCTTCGCCTCCAATCAGACAGGAAACACAGTCATGCTGGCAATGGCGGTGCTGTTGCCCGAGGTGACCGGCGAACTGTTTGTGACACAAAACATCGGGGTCGCCCTGGGATTCTTTCTTGCTGCAGGGTGGGTGACGGGTCAAGTGGGACATATAATAGGGCCACGGTCGCGTCTTTGGATCGTCTTCTGCAACCTCGTCCAGTCGATACTTGTCTTCATCGCCGCTGCCATTCAGTACGTATACGGGGTCGATCTGGAAAGCGGAAGGACTATGATTGTCATCGGACTGCTGGCGTTCGCAGCCGGTAGCCAGGTCGTCCTCTCCAGAGCTCTGGCCATCACTGAGATCAGTACAGCCATGGCAACAGCGGCTTGGGTAGATCTATTGGTCGATCCCAACCTCTTCGCTGCGAAGAATCGACCTCGAAATCGCCGAGTCAGCTTCCTCGCCGCCATTGTAGCGGGAGCCTTCTTCGGCGCAGGCATCTATCGGAGTGCGGGCTCGGCAACGGCGGTCTTGCTCTCGGGTGTCGGCAAGCTCATCGTCGCTCTGATGTTCTTGTTCAACAAGGCAGAGAAACTACCAGAGGTAGAAACCACGGTGTGAGTAGCCACGCCGCCGTCTTGGACAAAGGTCTGTGTGTCGTCAAACTTGCATTTAGCGCTGGTGTCGGCAGATCGTCCATAGAGAGGGGCCCGAGCATAGTTTCAGGAAGGTCATTAGCGCATGTGAAGGTCAGAAATAGTCATCATCAAGGTCTTGGGTGAATCCATATGTTTCCAGAGTTTCGGGCCAACCCATCCATGGGTTAAAGGCCAATCGCATACCATCGAGCCACTGATTCTGGTCTTCCTGTGCATAATTCGTCGGCTCGTTAATCACAGGCTCAACGCCTTGGTTGGCTTGTTTGGGCTGCGCGGCATGAGCGGCTCCCAGCAGGCTGTGAGAACGAAGAACTTGGGGCGCGACCTTGACGTTGGGATTGTTTCGTATCGACCGCTGCCGTTGCGGTCTTGCCCCGGCGTTGACAGTCGCCGACGGATACTCGCCCGGTGGTGCGGGACTTGTAACCTCGTTGCTGTCATCTACAAAATCTGCTCTGCCGATCAAACTGTGAATGGCAAGTCTCTGTCGAGTTCGAGCCTCGTCCGCGAGCCTCGACAGGTGGCCTTCCAGAACCTCTTCGGGCGGAGGCACTTGTATGCCGGGGTTGGCGCTGCTTTCAGATGAGTGTCGCGCGATAAGCAGCTCGAGTTCCCTCTTCATCGGCTCCACCACAGGAGAATCACGAAAGTAGCGATTCATGATCGATTGGCAGAAGGCGGCCTTTTCCAAGGCGGCGGGCATGCTCAGACTTTGTGTCACAACATCCGTCTGGGCGTTGAAAAGGATGATCCGGGCGCTGTGATATGCGCAGATGGCTGTGTCGAAGTCGATAGTCTGGACATTGCACTGCTCCGAGAAGGCTGCAAAGATTTGAACAATTGAGAGGGCATGGTTCAGGCATAGTGTGCGTCTCCGGAGAATCTCTTCGCGAGGGATACCTTCCATCGCCGAGGGAGGTGCAGCTTCTCTATAGCCAGTCAGGAATATGCGGTAAAGGTCGGTGTAGGCTTGATGCCAGCACTCGTGCACCATCAGAATACGGGCTGGCCGTGCGCAGTAGGAGAAAATCTTGGGATTGTATCGGTCAGAGTCGGCAAGGCTGCGGTAGAGATGTTGTAATTCGTCTTCAAATCGTCGCACAATATGCATGAGCTCGTCGGGTGGGACGAAGGAAGCAGCCAGCCGGCGTGTCAACCTGCATCGATGAGCGTGAAATCACACAGTGAATTGAGCGCCCTACCTCATAATGTCTGTCCTTATGGCCGCTAGCCGGATACATGCAGCATACGTCCCCATGCGCTCAGGCTTGTCAAAAGAGGTTGCTCGAAGAGGTGCCGTCGCTACCGGGGCATCTTCCTCAAAGGCTGTTTCTGGACACGGAAGTTGAAGATAGACGTGCTCTGGTGGGCACGTCTCGAACTCGCGGAGACCGACAGAGAAATTCCCATCCAGGGCAAAACATGACCACATCAACCGACGGCGGACTTCTTGCGCCAAGAAGCGCAACTCAGGACGTTCGTAATTCAGTCGAAGCGCCACGGCCGATCTGCCAGCAAGGGCAGCCAGCATGAAGGCCCGCGAGAAGTGGCCCACCTCGACCCTGTACCGCACTATCAAGATGAGGGCCTGAAGTCGAGAAGTCGAGGGGCTCTCCAGGTACTGTAGCAGGATGTCCTCGGACTTCTGGGCCCACTTGGCACTCAGCCCGCGAGCGTAGGGCTCAATGTGCAGGCGTTGGACGGTGACGGCGCAGATAGCAAGCGTCAGGCATTCCTCGATCTTACCTTCGCGATACCTTTGCATCACCGAGCGTTCATGCAGAAATGCATACCACGGCAGCGCGTAGATGTGCTCGAAATAAGCCTCAATGAGCGAGGTGACTTCGTCTCGGCCAGGCAAAGCGCCGTCGCTGGACAGCAGACTCTGCTCCAACTCCGCCGCTGGTTGCCCTGACGGAGACAGGAGTTGTTGCTGAGGTTCGGATCTTTGCGAGGTACTCGGCGACGGCAAGTTTGAGGCGTGCGGCGTCCGGTGTGTCCGCTTCAGGACCGGTTACACGCAAGGCCGATTGCGTCGCAGACAGTTAGCACAGGCGGGGGTCTCGCCGCCACACTTGATCTTCTGCGATCGACATTCTGTACAGGCACGAACGCCACGTCTCCGCTCCAGCTGGACCAGCGGCTGGTCGCCTGAGACGGCGTCGCCGGTGGTTCCAGACTCTCTCGGTTGAAAGGAACATTCGAACCTCAGGCGCTCGCAATTGCGGCAGCAGTTGGGACGCCCGTCGCATCGCACCTGTAGCATCACGGTTCAGCGGCTGATGAAGCCCATCAAGTTCTCCCCTCACCTTTCTCGCACGACATTGCATACAGGTTGTCTTGGACTTGCGCGACGACGTGGGCGCCATATCAGCCATACCGGTTACCGATCGTCGTTGTGAAACTCGACATCACCCGCACAGGCACGGGCGGCATTGTGTGCGATTATCAGTCTCTCACGGCTGTTTGTTGAAGTGTTGTGTTGCATGTGGATGGCCCTGTTGCGTTGCTTAGCATGAAGAAAGTCCGCGGAGGGCGTGATTGGACGACCAGAATGTCGTGATAGGAACCGGTGGAGGTCGTGGTCTTGGCTGCCATGCGCTCTCATACGGTGGAGTATCTACGGTCAAGCGCATGATTACGGCGTGGGAGTTGCTGAATGATACGAGCGCAATTGCTTTTCTCTCCTCATCCCACAGCGCATGAGACAGCGATGGGAACCGAACGTCGGCCGCTTCAACAAGTGTAGGTGAGTTGCCTTCCTCTCGCTGTTAAGCACAAGGCAGTCTCCATCACCAAATCTGGCCAATGACTTTCTACAGGTTGTCCTTGCAAAAACTGCGAACGTCACCTCTCCCTCGCGAGCTCTCGCTTCAGAATGATCTCTTCCTTCCCCTCCACATAGCCTCATAACATGCTCAACCATTCCTGCAGCCTACGCTTTAGTCACTGTTCATCTCGCCATGTGCAATGCTCCGGAGAAAATACGGAAAATGTCCGCTGCCGGCAGTGGTAGCACCGCTATAGATACGCAAGAATACACAGGCTGTATGAAAGTATTTGAACAAGTCACCAAGGACGCCGCTCCTCCCCTTTCCCAAGATCCTCAGACGGACAAGTCTTGCATTACATGTTTCGAGCTGCTCCATCCGAGCAAGCATATCAATCTTCCAAGGGCACAATCATGCCGTGCCACGCTTCTCTTTCGAAAGCTCCTTCCTCAACATCTCAATCTGATGCTCCAACTTCCTCCACAAGATATAGTCCTCCAGATGTTTGTCCTTGGCCGTCGTCTCCGCGCTACATCCCAGCTCCAACAGCTCCCATTTCTCCTGCACGTCTTCCATCTCTCGTCGCACGTTTTGCCTAGCCGTATCCTTCTCCCGCGCAATCTCCAACAGAGCACTCACAAACGCCTCCTGGATGTATGCAAAGCTGAACCCATCGGTGATCTTGGCGGCCGCGCCGCAAATCTCGTCCGGAAACTCGATATCCTTGTTGTCGCTCAACTTGCGCTGCCAAAAGTGACAGTACTTGACGCGCTGATTGAAGTCCGGGTCCGGAAACAAATACTTGCGATCGAAGCGCGAGGGCCGCTTGGCGATGCCCGGGTCCAGGCGCTCCAGGTGGTTCGTGCTCCCCACCATGAAGATGCCCTCGTTCTCCGACAGTCCGTCCACGGCGTTGAGGAAGAAGGAGCGCACCTGGTCCGTCACCAGGGAGTCCAGGTCCTCGAAAACCAAGTAGCAGGGAGCCTCCTGGCGGGCTTTCCTGAAGATGCTCTCGATGCTAAATTCCGGGGGCACGAAGCCGACGAGCGACTTGACGTAGAGCGTCGGCACCGGCGGATCCCGCTTGTACAGCGTATGCATAGTGGCTTTGATCGAGATGGTCTTGCCGTTGCCGGGCGGCCCGTAGAAGATGACGCCCCGCTTCCACGGCACGCGCAGGCGATCGTAGACGTCGCGCGTGTCGAAGAAGCGTTCCACCGTGTCGACGAGATCCGTCTTGAGGTCGTCGTCGAGGATGACGTCCTCCCACCGCGACTTCAGGATGCTGCTGTACAGGAACGGATCCTTCTGCCAGTAGCCCTGGTTGAACACCCAGATCTCGTCGTGCAGCACAGACTCCCACCGTCCCGCGCTCGCGACAAGGGCCCGCGCCCCGGCCGGATCGCCCAGGATATACTGGTTGCGCACCTGGGGGTAGGGCAAGGTCCCGTCGCGGCCCTCGGCGAAGTAGACCAGGAACGTGAACCCCTCCCACGTGTAGGTGCAGGTCTCGAAGAAGACTTCGTCGGCCACGACACCCTCGCCGCCGTCGAGTCGCCTCATGGGCGGTAGATACACGGTCCATCGCAGCGTCGACGGCCAGATGTGTTTGGCGTCTGACTTAGGGTCCGCTGCTGACGGCGTCGAGGACGATGCCGATGACGGGGATTGTGCCTCGACTGTCTCGAGCACGCCATGCCCTGCCGCGGCGTAGGCTCGCAAGTTACAGCTCCACTCCGGGACCGTCGTGATGGGCACACCCGGGTGCGCGGTGGCGATGGACTCGTAGATGACGGCGTCGGTGTCGACACGCGGTGCGGTCGCATTGCGGAAATAAGCCCCTGCCACGCCGCCTTCGCTACTGCCGGCCTCGGCGCGGGTGAAGGCACCGGTATCCATTTGTGCTGGCCCGGCAGTCAAGTGGAGATAACGTCTAGGTGACCGTGGTCAGGTTCGTATACGAGTACGTAGCAATATTCGCCCTTTTATATTGCACCGCGGTGTTGGAAGACGAGCGGGGGAGCCGGCGAGAGTCGACTAGAGACACAGCTATGAGAGCGACTTCCGTTAGAATGAATGAGAGATCAAGGGCGGAGTACTGCAGAGTACGGGAGTACAAAGGGTACGTAGATGTGCAGAACAGCAATTACTCGTAGGTGAGATCGCTACGAATCAGGTCTGGGGTGTCTCAGTCCAACTACTGTAAGACAGGGGATTGCGTCCAGGGGATTTTATTCCGCCAGGCACCAGCATTGAATCATGAATAATACTACGTACTACATGAATGGAAGGGGCTAGTGTGTACTCCGTTCTCAGTACGAGTAACTACATAGGGCTCAGCTTGACAGCAAGCATGCACTCACTCGTACTGGGGGTACGTACCTCGCACCCGTGGCTTACAGAGCAAGGCAGGCATGGCAGTATGCTCACCCATGCTGATCGACCACGGTGACGTTTAGTGGGGTGACGGGGTGACTACGTACCTAACGGGCTTGATCTCGATCGTTGATGTATCAATGAGTGTTGTAACTGTACGAGGACGGAGTACTTTGTAAGTGGTGTGGTTTCAGAGCTTGCACAGCCCCAATCCTTCCCGGGCGGAGGCTACGGCTAAATGATACACGGCACATACGGAGTACTGGGTGCGTGGCGTACGACACGTGTGAAGCCAGTCACTGCCCAGCGAGGTCAGGGTCCCAGCATATTGTACGGAGTACTCACGAGTCGACGAGTTAGTACTCCGTACACAACGCAGTCAGCCTTGCCGGCTCAACGCCTGGTCCACAATATCCCGTGCAACACCTTCCCGTTGTAACGAGTCTCTCACCTGTGCGTCAAGCCAGGAAACAGCAGTCCTGCGAGCGTCTCCAGGATTCCGTAAGTACGGTGCAGCCCAAGCAGCACCACCGCCACCACCGCCACCACCGCCTCCCTCCGCGCCCGTGGTCTCCGCGGTCAGGGCCTCGTAAGCGGCAGTGACCTGTTCCTCAAGTTGTCCCTTCGTCATGACGACTCCATCGTTTAACAACCTGTGCGTTTCCCCGACGAGCACGCAGCTCAAAAGGCCAAGCATGGGGATATCAAAGCGTATGTCCTCTGTTATCTTCTCTTTCAAGACCATGGACTCCAGACACCGCCGGCACAGCCTGGTCAGCGTCCACAACTGCATGAGCCGCAGAGGGTGATGTGCCTGGGTGTACAGCGCGGGATGGATGGCTCTGACGAAGATCGCTGAATGGAGCGTTGCCTCGAAGAATCTCCCCTGGCCGAGCAATCCGAGGAACAGTTCCTGACGCAGTTGGGGCCACGGGTAGCGGTGGAGGGGCCAGACTTTCGTCCCGGCCAGTAACTTCATGGCGGACTTGATGTTGTCGACCTGCGTGTGCAAGATGGTGCTCTTGGATTGGACGTCTAGGAGACACCGCTCGGCTTGATCCCCAACCTGTAGGACCGTGGGACTGATTGACTCGTGTGCAGGGGATGGCTCCCTGATTTTGGCGTCAGGTGTTTGATGGAACAAGTCCACCACTGTATGTGACCCGAGCGAGCACAGAGGGCAATCGCAGGTGAAGAAATATCTGTCTCTGAGCTCCTCCTGTCGTTTGGCCAGCGGGAACGTCGTGTCGATGTACGAGATCGTGACCTCCTCGTCTGGCGAGATGACCCGGAGCGCGTGCAGAGATATACTCCCATACGGCGGTAGAGCGTCTTGGTCCGATCGGGGCGGGACATCGAACCGCACAAAAGCATTGGGATCGCATGAATGATTGACGAGCGCGGACCGCGGATGAAGGACCATCCCAAGGGAATCGAACGCCGGGGTCGTCAGAGTGAACGAGTTCACAAGCAACTAGTTGTACATCATTGGATTCAGCGCTGGGCCTTGTGTTGGAAAGGCCATCATCTCCTTACCATACAAGCCAGTCGGAGGATCGTCTCCTGACTGTGATCGGTGCCACAGTACGATTTGATCCCCTTCATCATGATGAAAATATCCTGCCAGCGCGACCCTCCCGCGCCGATCAGGTCATCGTAGTGGCTTTCCAGAGCGAGTAGCTGCTCCCACTCCGACTCTGGGAGCAGCGCTGCCTTGTGCTGCTTCAATACTCGCACAATCCCACGGACCGTGCTCGGCAGAATTCGCGGATATAGTCGGCCAAAGAGCTTGCACTCGAGTCGATGGTACTCTGCCCACGCTCGAGACTGGCAATTCTGCCCTCAACGTCAGCCAGCCAGTCATCCAGCCAGGCCAGTCTCCCTCCTCAGCGGCACTTGTGAGATGGCATGATTTGGGCACTCGTCAAGGCACAGAAGAGCGAAACTCACTCGATCACAGAACCTAACCACCTTACACCTACTGCACGTCTTCAAGGCGTGTCCCGTGTCGACTTCGAGAGCGCTGATCGGCTCGATCCCGGACTTGTAGCAGTAGTAGCAGTGAGTCGGTAACTTGGCTGACTCCAACGCGACCAGAAGTGGCCGGGCAATGAAAAGGAGCTGTGACTTCGGTGCAATCTCCTGTGTGGCGAACAGCCCATTGCCGCGGCCTGTGACATGTTTCGTGCAGACCAGATCGTCGCTGATTTGCTGCTGGAGCAGGTTGGTCATTGTAGAGAGACGGCAATCAACATCCGACCCGATCCGTCATTCTGAGATGGACAAATCCAGAGCCGTTATCGATGATCCTGAGGGCTCTGAAGGGATCGTGTCATGAGTGAAGGGGAAAATCGCAGCTCACAGGTCGCTTTAGTTGCCATGTCGCAGATCAGAGAAGAGCTGTATGTATTGCCTCTTCCCGCTTTTCTTATCTTATTCGCGCTTCACTGTTCTATCTCACATTCTCTAGGATGCCGACGTATTTGCAGTACCTACTGTCCATACGCAAGCCCGGCCACGGCGCGATCGTGTTACTGGGGGTGCATACGATCAACGGTCCGCACGCACAAGTTTCCTTCAACTCTAGATTCTACTGACCCCTTTTGCTTTCTCACTTCACTGCGCAAGATACCCTCCATCAACGACCAACCCATGTCCAGTAACCCAACTGCTTCCCTCGCCGGCCAGAAAGACGGCCACGCGCGCAATATCCTCGACCCGTCCGGTCCGGCCCCACGGGTGAACACTCGCCATGTACTGAGCCATGGCGTCCTGGCCCATGCGCGAATACATGTTCTCCAACAAGCTCGTGTCGGTAAACCCAGGCTGGATGCAGTTGACGTGGATGCCGTCCTTGGCGTACTCTAGCGCTGTCGCACGCGTGAGGTTCACCACGGCGCCCTTGGAGAGCGCGTAGGAGCTCGCCCCGGCGAGGCCGACACTGCCCATGATGCTGGCCAGGTTGATGACCCAGCCTCGGTGAACATCCTCCGTGGCGCCCGTGGCGGTCCGGCCGTGCAAGGGATGCGGTTCCTGGGCGAGGAACTGCGCGCACGCGTGTTTCGTCCCGAGCCAGACACCCTTGATGTTGATCTGGTAGGTGAGGTCGAGGACGGAAAGGGGTGTTTCGTGGATGCGTTGGAACGCGCCGTTGTAGGTGGGCGATTTGGTCTCGGCGGAGATCCCTGCCGAGCACACGGCGTGTTAGAGACAGTGCCTTTCCCACGACCCAGCATATACCATTGCCAAGCGGTACGAAGGCTTTGGGCGGCAGCAAGGTCGTCAAGTCGGGATAGCAATGCCTTCCTCCCGACCCAGAAAATACCGTTGCCAAGCGGTAAAGAAGGCCTTGGGTGGTTCTCAAAGCCACCACTCCGTTTGCTATTGCAGACGCACAAACCGAGGACGAACGCAGCACAACTCACCCGCGTTATTGACCATGATATCCAGCCGGCCGTACGTCTTGACGGCAAACTCCACCGCCGCCTTCACACTCGGCTCATCCGTAACGTCGCACTTGATGAAACTTGCTCGCTCGCGGCCATGGGCCGGCCACTTCGAGTTGATGAGCTCAACGGTCGGCGTCACCAAATCGACGCCCTTGTGGATCGATGCAATCGTCGGCGCTTGGGGTGGATTGGGCGTCAGGTCCGCCGAGACGACGTATGCTCCGGCGGCGGCGTAGGCCTGGGCGATCGCTCTTCCCAAGCCACTGCTGGCACCGGTGATCAGGGCAACTTTATCCTGCAGCGAGGCGATGTTGCCAATGGGCGAGTCGGCCGTTGGGTACGCAAATGATGGAGCATGCGTGGCTCCCCCCGAGCCATTTTGTGCCATGATGGAGAGAGAGGGAAGATATGTGACCCGCAAATAAAGCCGTGGCTCTCAAAGGCAACCTCCGTGATGTGCAAGCAAAACAGACCGGCGGCAACGCTCCAAGAGCATGAGGTCGAGGGTTCCCGGTCAAGCAACGCGGATACAGACTCACCTTTTAAAGCCCGACGCACTGCTCCTCAATCGCAGGAGCAGCTGACAGCCGGTTCCGTCTTTTGGCCGGAGCTCCGTCAGGATGTCTCGGTCCCGGTGAAGATGTACTCGGCTCAAGGGCGGTTCAAATCCGTGCACACAAACTCTACGGGCTTCTGGGAAATGCGGGGAAGTTTGACCGAGGAAAGAGAATGACACGAGACAGCATGACTATGAACCGGTTAAGCGGCGAGTGGGTATGAGAAAACTGGGGTCTTTGACATGTAGATTCATCCATCGCTCGCAGAGATGACTCGAATATGCAACTGTACAAGTCGTAATCCTCGTAGCCTCGTTGGGCCGAAGCCTTGACAAGGCTGAATGTTGACGCCTCCAACACCATGAGACAAGATGCGGTAGATAGACACAGATGTTACGAGGTCACCGAAGCCGCCATTTTACCCTTTTCCGCGAGTGTGAATGCATACTCTAGTTCTGCATCGCTGTCGTCTGATAGTTCGTCCAACATGCGATCAATCAGCGCAGCCTTGTCGAAAGCCGGAGCGCTGGACTCCGAATCAGAGAATCCAACCTTCTTCGGCGATGTCACGGATGTCTGGCTGAACTGAGTCCGAAGCGGTGAGGTCTGCGAAGAAAAGGCTTGCGCTGTGCGGAGCGAGGATTCCTGTGAAGCGTGAGAAGGGGGGTTGTAGCCGGAGTTGTTGGGGCTGGCCATGAAGAGAAGTGTTTCCACAGCATCCGCCTCCATGGCCGCATTTTGACTCGGCGTTCGTTGACTGGTTGGCGGTCGCCTGGAGTGTAGTGCCCGTGACTGCATGTGTGACCCATTGACGGCGTGAAATGCTGCATTTGGCGTCGGCCGACGACGTGAACTAGGCACAATGTCGACTGGAGGAGCTAGAGCCCGACGTGACGGCACCTGTGAAGTTTCGGTGACCAGACCCTGGCTCTCCAAAGCCCCAGTGGTGTCGGAAGAATCGCTCTCGCTCGACTCGCGCTGATACTTGCGAGACATGGCCGTCCTGGGCGAGAGCACTTGGTGGTCATGCAACTGTTGGAACCCAGACACTGTAGATCGGGGTGACTGAGAGGCCAGAGACTCAACCTCATCGAGGGAGCGCGTTTGCCAACCATTCTGCACCTTGACCATGGCGTACTTTAACTTGGTGCGCAACTGCTGTGAAAGCTGGAGCACGTTAGGACACGCTGCGTACGCCGGGCACTGGCAACCTACCTCAAGAACGTTCCCCTTCGAGCCGTTCGAAACGGTGCTCGAGGTGTGCGCATGCCTCGCACCACCCGGTTTCGCCAGGACCTCCCCCAGTCCGTTCACGCTCGCTCTTTTCACTTCGCCGCTGGCGGTTCGCTTGGTGCCCGAGGCAAATTCAGGCGTGGGGCTCTGGGAGCTTGACCCAGCCCTCGTATCTCCCGTCTTGTCATCCCCGATTGTTCCTGCAGCGCTCTGGCTGCTTTCCGGCTGTGAAAGCGACTCTGTAGCTTGTGATGCATCGGGGCTCGATATGGCTGAGGTAGGCGGGGTCAGCTCTTCTGCATCCGCTGGGGGATTATGGGTGTTGCTGGAGAGATCGCCGGTAGACAGGGTCAGGTCCGCTGGCCGAGAGGGCTTCGACGGTTCTGGCGCTGCAGAATCACGCGGAGGGCGGATCGAGGCGGTGTTCGCGGCTACAGATGTCAACTGCGGTGGATCCTCCTTAGTTGACGCATGCGCGGAGGCATCGTGCATGCCGGGATCTGCTGGTTCGGCGGTGTCGGTCATGCCCGATGCAGGACTCGTGGATGTTCGGCTAGATAGAGGTAGAGGGTGTTTGCGGGCAGCAACCAGCGGTATACGACAGAGAGAATGAGAACAGGAGCACAGAAGGAGCGGCCGGACAGCGAAGCGCTGTCGCGTGGGATCTGGTCGTGGCTCGGTGGAGTTCCAACCTCGCACGCTGGCCTGCTGCCGTTGCGTCGACAGTGGGGCGAGACCGAGTCTGCTGATTCCGACGCGTTTTCAGGGTGAAGGCAGACGCGTTGTTGTGACGGCGGGGGGTTTGAAAAGACGGTGAATGGGACATGAACGTTCATCCAGCGATGTAGACCGCGCGTGCGCGACGACGACGATATCAGAGGCACGAGAACAGCCGACGGTGGTGAGAAAGTCTCTGCTCTGCTCTGTTCGTGCGTGCGCTCTTTCTGCCGACGCCGCGTAGCGATTCGTCTCGCTTCTGCTTTCACTCTGCTCTGCCCTGGGTGCGTCTTCGTCATCGCTTCAGCATCGCTTCAGTTGCTTATCATTTACCTGTCATCATCCTGGCCGGCTCACGATCAGAGCAGACATTCTTCGGCTCATTGCCGTAGCACATCTATTCCTGTACAGAAGGGTATCATATGCCGACATTTTGATATCTATCGTTTGCGGCGCTTCCCTCCACCGCCCTCGTCGTTCGTCTGACGCTTGCGTCCTTCTTTCCGCCAGAACTCATCCCGATCTCTCTTCTCCCGCTCTTCCTTTTTCTCGAGATTCTCGGCCACCTTCTTCCGGTAGACCGATCGCCGCTCTTCCTGTTTCTTGGCCCGCTTTTCCGCCTTCTCGTTCCTCAAGGTCTGCAGTTTCTGCATGAGATCTCGCGCTTTCTTCTCCTCACCACCGAGTACCACCGCCCGCTTCTGAAGATAGGTGGGAGCTTTGCGGGCCTTTTGCTGAATGATTTGCGACTTGAACGGAAGATCTGCCGCCAAAGTCCGTGGGACGCGCAATGGGTTGAAGTGTCGAGTTGGTCGTTCGATCTTGCGGTAAGCAGAGTCCTTGACTAGTGGCGTTGGTATTCCCATGGCTGCTCGGACTGCGCCAGTTAGACGCATGGCCTGCCACCCACTGGACCCATCATCGACTCGTTGACGGTCGTCGCTGTCACCAGCGGCTGCATCGCTAGTCGGAGGCGCGTCTAGCAGATTCGTCACGGGATTGTAGAACCGATGTGGCTTGACGGGATACCATGTCCGCAAGAAGACAATGTCGGACATGAGGATCTTGTCCTCAAACGTTGCTCGGAAGTGCCCCTCCGGTTTGCTCAAAGCTCGCTTGATCTGTCCGCGAATCCCGGACACCGTCCTAATACTAGCGCCCTCGAATTTGGCAATCTCGATCGACGAGTTGAACATATCGCGAATGAATGCCGTGTTGCGGAAGATCTTGTATGGATGTCCCGTTAGCTTCAGCTTCTTCACGATTTCAGTCGTCTCGTCCACGTTCAACACCACGCCCGTCGCCGCGATGCGAAATCCAGGATTTTCGTTGGAGAACGACTGGACACAGCAGAAGCCTGTATTTGGAGCAACAAGTGGTCCCCAGAAGGTACCAAAGCAGTGCATGTGCTCAGGCGTATACTTCAGCATGCGGTTTCGTGTTCGCGAGTCTGATATCGAGTAGAGAGGCACGGTCTGGAAGCGTCGCCATCCCAGAGAGAAGATCAGGGGATCGTTGGTCTTGAGAATCTTCTTGTGCCATCGGTGTCGCTTGATCCTCACCTGCACAAAGCCAAATCGGTCTTCAGTCGGCGCCAGGCCGCCAATGATGATCGGTAGCTTGGGGTTGAAAGACCGAACAAATTCGTAAGGCACTTTCTCTAGCACTATCCGTGCATAAGTGCCTGCCCTGAATCCCTCGGCGCGTGCTCTGCCAACGGGGTCGAGGCTCTCGAACTCTGCTTTGTTGATATCGAGCTGCTTCTGAAGCATCGCTTTCTGCGCTTCGTACCATTCATCTTCTCCAAACTCCTGCTCTGCCGCCTTCACTTCGTTCTTGTTGGCGTTCGCGAAACCTTCTCGGTCTTCTTCTTCGAAGCGCAACTTGAGCTCTTCTTTCCGTCGAGCATTTCTGGCACGCTCTTCTTCAAGTGTAAGTTCAGCTTCTGGGACAGGATTGTCTTCAGCTGTTGTTTCCAGGTCTTCAAAATCACCATCACCTTCGTCAAACTCGTCATCTCCATCTTCTTCAACTTCTTCGACATCAGTATCTGACTCCGCGTTTGCACCAGTGGCAATAGAGCCTTTTGTGAACCGAGGTATGAGCGTCTGGATCTTCTCTTCATCCTCCCATTTCTCGGCCAACTGATCATAGTCGAATTTCGGTGTCTGTCGATCCTCCAAATTTGTGTCTTGGTCACTCTTTGCTTTGTTGAAGAAGTTGTCATCGTCATCCCCACCCAGCAGCTTAATATCTCCGTTCTTTTCACCGGCCCATCTCGAGATCACTTCGGCAGGTGAAATGGTCAAATCGTACATGAGTCTCGAGAGGTCAGCAGCTCGAAAAGCGACCTTACTGGAATGCATCTTTCGAGCATCCTCGGCAAGGTGTTCCTTCCAACGCAGGCCGCCGTCATCTCCACCGTCTTCATCATCTTCGTCCTCAAATTCTTCAGCAGACAGATCTGCACCCATTTCATCTCCTTCTGACACAGAACCCATATCAGAGTCGCTCTCGGCAAATGCGACGTGCCCTCCAGAGCCTTCGTCATCGAGGTCCTGTTTGGCTGCAAAACCTGGGCGGCCGCTATGCTCGGGAAAATCGTCGCTCTGTTCACCATCTTCTAGGTGATCTTCATCGTCATCTCCACTGACAAACCCTTCGTCTTCGTTGTCATTGATGTCTTCGGTAGTATCGCTGGATTGAGCAAACGACCGCACTCCCCTTTTGGATTTGCGGCCAGTGTCCTTCTCTGCCTCACTATTTGCTGTGAGTTGATGACTGCTCTGGAATAGCCGCATGCCGCCGTCTGCTTCGCCGAGAAGGCGCCGTTCTGCCTGCAAGCTCATCATGAGCTGTTCACCCAAACCCCTGTCTTCCGCATCGTCTGCGGCACGGTCGAATGTGTTGGTTTTAACGTCGATGTAGACAGCATCTTTGTCGACAAGCACTCCGCCAACGTCGGACATGGGCGCAAACAGGACCTTTTGTTTCTCCCCAAGCTTGCGGCGGTGAGCCTTTCCAGTCGCCTTGGCCATGGCTTGGTCGAGAAAAGGCGTGGGACACGGATCAGGGAGGGCCTCGATCTCCTTGACAGTCAGGTCACCAACACCAGGAACGTGCACACGTGCGCCCTCGGCGGGGAAGTTTGTACCTCGAAGATATCCATATAATGCCACCTGCCTGTCGCACTTTTCGTTCTCTTCGATTTCGGTCGGAGGTGTAACATCCAAGAACCGGTCTGCCAGACAGTATGGGTGGCTATTCCTCCATACCAAGGGTCTCGGATTCTTCATGACTGACAGAAAACGAGACAGATTGTGTATCTCTCTGTCTGGGTAACGACCGTTGATGACACCAGACAGGTAGAACAACTTCGCGCCATGGTACAACTCCGACCAGAACCTGTGTTTTAATCTCTTTTTCGTCGCACGTAGAGTGCTCTGCTTCTTGAATAGATCCAGATGCGTGAGGATGCCAAAGACATTCCCCGGCATCCCGGAGACACTGAGGGCATTCAGAAACTCCATAGTCTCCATCTCGAATCCGTAATTGCCGTCGATCATAAGCAGAACGATGTCGGCTATCTTCGCCACATCGATCATCGCCGCGAGGGAGTCGGCGGGACATTCGAGGAAAGTAAGGCGCCTGCGCTTCGAGGTTACAACGGTAAGAGGGCCGCTCGGGTGCGAGAGTGTCTGTTTCGCATATCGCTTGATGAGACTCTTGATGAGGGTGGTCTTCCCGACGCCCGGAGGCCCAACGACGGCGACAACGATTGGGGGCGCTTCTTCGGGGAGTCGATCGACCTGGGGCACATGGAGTCGTTTTTCTCGAATATCGCTCGATCGAACCGCTTGCTTTGCGAGTCGACCAGGATTGGCCACTGCAAACGCTTTGACATTCTTTTCTCCCTTCTTCGGCTTCTTTTTCTCTTTCGAAGGCCGATGAGGCCGGTGCACTTGTGTCTCCATGGTCGTAAAAGCCCTTCACCACCCCTACCGCCAACCTGCAACTGGGTGTAGATTTTGGGACTGCGGCGAGGCATACGGAGAAAAAAAGTTGGGGCTCGGTTCGAATTTCAAGTGTCAAACCCGATAAACGTGCCAAGGCTGAGTGCGAATCGGGAAAGCCAGCCGGTACCAAAGTGAGATTTTCCAGGTACTCGTACGCAGCTCGTACTACGAGTCCGTGTGTACCTTTACGTATGGAGAACTCGAAGTCACGCCCCTCGACTTACCAAGGGGCCTGGCTCTTACGATCTCTTTCGTCCTTGCCAACGGGGTAAGCAGGCTGCCAGACTTCTATGAGCGAGTCCGAACTCGATATCCACACCGGTCGATGGCACTGCGTGCAGAATGTTGTTAACCATTGTTTCGCAAAGCTATTATTCCCACAACAACGCTACTTAACGGCAGAGTAGTTCGTTCCTCATGCTTTCGACTAGGGTCGCCCAGCACCGATCAACCCATGTGGCTCTCCGGTCCAGTCGCCTGCATCTTGAACTTGACGAACAAGTCGTGTCTGGTCCACCAGCTTCGAAGCTTCTTGCCGTATATGTACACGGGAATGGCTAGAACGCACATTGCCAAAGTTGTCCCGCCAAAAGTAAACATTATCTCCTCGGGTCCTTTAGCGGCGACCCAGTTATTGGCGAAGTTTGACAGGCCGTAAAACATGAAGTTCTGACCGAGTGTGAGCAGAGTCCGGACATCAAAAGGGGAACGTTGGGCGTACCTTGAAGAGCATGTTCATTACAAACATCTCGTTACTCTGGCTGCGGAAAGCATCCAAACCATAGGACATCGTGGACCACACGCCAATGAGGACGCCGACCATCATCATCCCCTGGCAGAACGCACAGAGAATCGCATTGGAGCCGTGAGCCATGGTGTAGCCAAAGAAGAACATGCCGAAGCCAGAGAACACGGCACATGGGAGCATGAAGACTAGTCGAAACTCGGGTTCGCTATAGTTAATTAGCGGCTGCTGTTTGGACTGGCCGATGGGTAAAGACTCACTAGGTTCCCTTGTTCTTGATTGTCATCCACTTCATAACCTTGTCTCCTGCCAGCGCCACGAAAAGGGAACCGATCATGCCGCCGACGAAAGGTCCGGTCCCAAGGTATCCAATTTGAGCGGCATCGAATGACCAAGGCGGGCCAGCGAAGATCCCAGCAAGGATGATTGCCGAGCCGACATACCAAGCACAGAGCAAACCGGAGACAATGATCGAATAGCATCCCGCCGGATTCAGGAGAGTAAGGAACATTCCGAAGATCCACTTGATGATGCTGTCCTGCGAGAATATCCCGTTGTACACTTTGAGTTCCTGGACGAACGTCTTCTTCGGTGGGATATGGGAGTTGTGTGCCGAAGGTTCGTTCAGTTCCTTGACGGCAATGGCGTGTTCACGGTGCTCTTCCTGTGCTTTGTCGATTTGCTCAAAGGTTTCGACCTTCACGATGTCGGTATCATATATCGATTCACGGCGATATGTGGTCTCCGGAACGAATAAGAACATAAGCACGAATTGGATGACCAGGAAAATTTGGAACAGGTGGAATAGCCAGAGGAGACCAAGATCGTTGTACACTTGACCACAAATGATCGAAGCCAGGCTCGAGGCAGAGTTCAGGATGAAATTGATAGTCGAAATCCGGAGGCCTCGTTGGTGCACGCAGAAGAGATCTCCAACGGCTGCTACAATCAAAGATTCGAATGCGCTGGTGGAAAACCCCTGGACGATCCGAGCTGCCAGTAGGTAGTTGTAGCTCGCTTTCGCCTCTCCAATGGCGGTACCAACAATGCAAAAAAGCGTGGATACCAGGAATACAGGTCGCTTCCCATATCGACGACTGAACGCACAGACGAATGGGCCAGCACAGCCAGCTGCGAGAATATTGTAGCCGGACACCATCACGGTGGTTGTGAGATCAGTGTTGATGAGCTCAGAGATAGCGAAGTACGAGGCGTTCAGAAACGGTCCCTTCGCGAAAGTCAACATCAGATCGCATCGATTGCCCGAAAGCAAGGAATGACTCACGTTGGTGGCAGCATTCAACATTGCACCGAGACAGAGGATCCAGATGATGGCCTCTTTCTTCAAGAGCGACCAGTTAAGCGGGTCGTTGGGATCATCACTCGGCTGTGGGGACAGCACGATGTGGGAGTTTTTGCCGGTTCCATGCTTGAGATTTGCTGTTTGAGCTTCGGCATGCGCAGCCTCGTCGTTCAGCAAAACAGTGCCCGGTACGTGCGGAAGCTTGTTATCTATAACATGTCACTGTCAGCGTTGTGCGGATCGTCTTTGGAGCAATTTTGCAGAATCAAGCTGTTTAATATGGGCAACTGACCCTCAAGGACTCCGAGTCCCATGGTCGCTGATGATGATAACAACAAAGATGTGAAAATTCACAGTCTTGGTGGAGGATAATTAGTTGTAGGGGGTCACCTGCGGCGGGAAGATATGTGCGTGCGCCCAAAGGCAATCAGAAGTTGAAGGGCAACCGACAAAGCCTCGTCGAGACACAGGGGTGGGGGAGGTTATATACTCGGGCGGCCAGGTAATGAAACAGTCACCCCATCTTCGAACATTATGATACTGGACGCGAGCTCGAAGCGAGATCCAAAACAATATCATACTTCCCCACTGCTTCATCCTCCGCACTCCACATAGCTCGATCTAGGTCTGTCTCGTGGGATTGCCCCATCATAACACGAGGTTGACAAGGTCGGTACCAAGACCGCCCAGAGTCAAAATCCAGGAAGAAAGAGCTGGTATAGGGCGGGTTGAAGCTTGAATACCGTTGGTGGCGCGGGAGAAGCGAGCTGGCCGGGACAAGGGTCGATGGTATTCGTTAATGCTTTACGCCGAGCCTTAGGCGTACGTTTGCTAGCCACAAATCGAATCCATCGCCGCGTGGGTTTCTGTGTCCACGAGGCCCAGCCAATGTTGGGGAATCCGGGGCTGAGAATCCACATTGCCATGAAAATGCGGAGGTACTCCACCTTGCATCAGCTCCTGCGCAAATGAGAGTCCGCTTCGCTCGAAGTATCCGCGGCAGCTGCTCGTTCTCGATAGGAGGCCGTCTGTGATAGAACTGCCATTGGATCGTTATCACTGGGCCGGGCACTAACTTGGGGTACGCCCAAGGCTGCCAGCTTGGCCCTGCATCCCACTGCCGGCAACGCAGTGGCCTAGAAATGTGGTTCTGAGGAGCAGTACATAGATCGCAACCATCCACAGATCGTGTGAAAATGACTGGAACCCAAGCTCCGCCCCCGGTCAACACAAGGGCTGGGCTTCGCTTGGCCAAAGTGGTCGTGCATGGGCGGAATAATCCCACTTCAGAAATGGAGGTCTGGATTTTGTAATTACTTGCAGAGTTGTTGACGCCGATTTCGTTTGCCGGCGGTTGATAAGATCTGTGCTGTGAAAAGACGAGACAAGGAGATTGGCTCCCGTTGAGCCTGGGCGTAGCACCACGTTGTGGAGTCTTTGGCAGGCAGAAAACTAAAGAGAGCTAACTCCGCTCACAAGCGTATAATCCCATCTTGTCACTCATATACTCGATACTGACATGGGCGACGGCTATGGTAATTGGTTTGGGGTGCTTGTTGTTGAGGACTTCTATTGGGAATAGGGGACCACTGTTGAGTACTCCGTACACACCCTGCCGGCAAGGACCAGGCATGAGACGTGCTTCCCGGAGAAATATATACGCTTCATGCCGTGGGCTTCTCGAGTTATGTTAGAATCAGCCAGCATATAGAACGAGCCATATCTAGACTCCCATGAGAACAGCTTACCGTATAGCCGGACGATGATTTCACCACGTTGCGCAGCCCCTCGAGTCGAACGAGGATATACCGTCGGATGGAGACAATGAGACGAACCAGCGCATTTCACCAGCTCTCTTCAAGTATTCACTGACTCGTTGGGAGTCTCAATACTGGCATAATGAATGAACAGAGCTAGTGCAGATGGAGCGGTCAGTTGCCGGCTCGTGTCCCCTGGCAATGTTTTCCGCTCACGCAACAGACTGACAGCAGAGCTTCACCCAGCAATGGTTTGCGGTCCACGCCGGAACTACCCATTCTGCGACAGGAGCGAGGTGCAGCTGGCAGCTCAAAGAATGGTAGCTGTTTGTCGATATCCCGCCTGTGTCTTGTTCGACAACTAGGCGCTAACCAGACCGCTCCGGATACGGCCTTGCGTCTTGCTTGTTACAAGGCAGCTTTAGACCGTCGGAACCCATGCAAGTCCTGTGAGAAACAGCTTTCGAACCACCAGGGCGGATTTTGCGACCAACACTGTCGGTCAGGCACTGGCACTAATGGCATCCAAGCGGAGGGGGTAGTTGAAGTCCGATGGATTCTGGGGAATCCCCACGGCTGGTGTTTTGGTGTGCATATCACGATTCAGTCGTTAGGGGGTCTTTTGATAAGCCGGCGTTGGGCGTGGCCATCCGTGAAGAGCCATCGTGACGACAATCTCTTTGGGCCCGAGTTCAGGTTTGTCGCAGTATTGTATCAGGGCGACTGAGTGATCATCCGGACAAGATCATCATAGACCCTAGAGCACCGAATACGCAGATCTCCAGAACAAGCTAGAGTGGAAGCCAATTGTGACCTTCCTCGAATCCCGCATGCTGGCATTGCCTATGCAAAATGCCTGCCTCGGATGGTAATCCACGAGAACGTAAACAAAGCGTGTATGTTGAAGGGTAGGCTGACCGATGCAGATTCGGCCAGCAAGAACATGCCGGACATAAAAGAATGGACAGGGAGGGTCAAATAGCCGAGGAGAGTATCAAAGTTGAGGCAGGGACGGCGCAGAGGAAGGCAGAAGGAGACTGCTCGAGTAGAGAGCGTGCGCAGATGAGGTGTGATAAGTAGCGTGTTACCCGGTCTACCCGCTCTAGGCCGACACATCCTCTTTGGTCGATCCAGGTGGTGAATCTTCAAGAGGCTTGCAGTCTGCAGTCCTGTCCCCGAAAGTTCTTCGGCGTGTGGTATGTACTTTGTGAGGGCGGATTGATGATCCGAATAAGGCGCCGCGCGACCGAAGGCCAGTGCCAAGCCGAGTCACGAGACGTTGCAAAAGGAGAGCTTTCACGTCACGTGAGGGAGAACTCAGAGCTCGGGACTGCGGCAACAGCAACTTAAGCGACCCTGAAAGATCCGCATTGGAGTTGCTGTTGATTCTGAGCAAAGCTTCAGTGTTCAATCACTTTTCTTTCAGACATCACCATACGTCCTCTCATCCTTCCTCCATCGTTGTCATTCCAGATCCGGCCCTGCCATTTTTGTGCAATCTTCCTCTTCTTAGCCTCGACGTCCTTGACTGCCCTGAAGATGTCGTTCACCAGACAGATATTTGGACAAGTCCAGCGTCGTGCTTTCTCGGCGTCTGCGCGACAGGTCAGTGACTATCCTCACAAGAGTGTGCTTTGATAAAAAAGCCATTCGATCTGACGACGATAATCTCATAGTCCTCCAAAGTCACCGTCCTCGGTGCCGCTGGTGGTATCGGTCAACCGCTGTCGCTACTGATGAAGCTCAATCCCCGTGTTTCACAACTCGCCCTCTACGATATTCGCATGGGCCCAGGTCCGTTGACCCTATGGTGTACGGGAAGGAGCGGCGTTGACATACTATGTGAACAGGTGTCGCAGCCGATATCAGCCACATCAACACCAGGAGCACTGTCAAGGGGTACGACCCGACCCCTTCAGGACTCCGTGAAGCTTTGGAGGGCGCCGAGGTTGTCCTCATCCCGGCTGGTGTCCCCCGGAAGCCTGGCATGACTCGTGATGGTAAGCAGAAGTCCAGAAACAAGGATACATTAACTGATGGACGTTAAGATCTCTTCAACACGAACGCAAGCATTGTCCGAGACCTCGCGAAGGCTGCAGCTGATGCGGCTCCCAATGCCAACCTCTTGGTTATTTCCAATCCTGTACGATACGACTTAGCCCTTTGTCATCAATTGAGCGACACAGCTGACATCCTGCCTAGGTCAACTCTACGGTTCCCATCTGCGCCGAGGTCTACAAGAGCAAGGGCGTCTACAACCCCAAGCGTCTTTTCGGCGTCACCACTCTCGACGTTGTCCGTGCCTCCCGATTTGTCTCCGAAGTCAAGGGAACAGACCCCGCCAATGAGAACATCACCGTTGTTGGTGGACATTCGGGTGTTACCATTGTGCCTCTAATCTCACAATCCGGTCACACAGATATCACTGGCGAGAAGCTTGATGCTCTCGTCAACCGCATCCAGTTTGGTGGTGATGAGGTAGTCAAGGCCAAAGATGGTGCTGGGTCCGCTACCCTTTCCATGGCCATGGCCGGTGCTCGCTTTGCCGAGAGCTTGTTGAAGGCCGCACAGGGTGAGAAGGGTGTGGTTGAGTGCACCTTCGTCGACAGCCCACTGTACAAGGATCAAGGTGTGGACTTCTTTGCTTCCCGGGTCGAGCTTGGTCCCGATGGTGTTCAAAAGATCCACGAGGTCGGCAAGGTCACTAAGTACGAAGAGTCTCTGTTGGAGGCATGCTTGGGAGGTGAGTAAACCCATCCACTACAAGATGAACCAATGCTGACCAGCCCGAAGACCTGAAGAAGAACATCCAGAAGGGGTATGACTTCGTGCACGCAAACCCGTCGTAGATCACAACGAAGCTGCCTTCTCGGTGCGGCAGGGCCAGCATGTACAAAAGCGAATTTCAAGTGCTCAAGGGGCATATCTGAGAGACAAGAGTTTGTCTTAATTCTGTATCCTAGTAGGATACTTTATCGAGCCTTACAGAGACATGCACCTTGCTACTCGGCTGCTGTTGCAACTTCACGTTAAATTCCCACACGTGAAAAACATCTTTTACTCCGTAACGCAATCTCTGCTCCAAATACGGTCATTTCATGGTTCCTGTGGTCGAGGAGTGTAATCTTCCAACCTCGCGGGCGTCGATGCGGCCGGCTGTGTGAAACAATACGGCCAATGAGGGCGCAACAGGTGTGCGTGAGGGTCAAGTGAGGACAGATCCTATTTTGAAGCAGAGGCCCCCAAGAGCCGAGTTTGGAGGAACAACCTCCAGGATCCGCTCCTGGAGGAAAGCTGATGAGATGTTGCAAGCAAGCCTTAAGCATTTTGTATCACTATAAATCGTTCTCTCTTCTCCGTGGCTCGTCGTCAAATCTCCTTCATTTCAACCACCCTCCAGCCTGACGACTGCCTCGCGTTGTTGCTGGTTGCCGCCTTACTCGCTCCACTGCCGCCGCACGGCTGAAAATGGACCAGATCACAACTTGAAGCCTAATCCACGCCTGGACTGCGTCTCCTCTCAAATTTTCTCTCGGTGATAAACACATTATCACTGCAGTCGCTTCTTCAACCTGTTCTTCCTCGTCACCTTGCGACCTTCACCTTCAGAACGCGCCCTGCCTGCGCACCTGCTGCGAAAGGGCCTCTCCCCGCCCCCACAGCAACTTAACTTCAGCTTTCCTCTTCCGTCCATTTAATGGTCACCACCTCCCTGTGTGAAGCCTGAAATAAGTCAGGGGAGTCTCAACATGCAGCCAGCATCAGAGCCCGGGATGGCTACCTTCCCTGGGTACAGACCGGTCGACGGGGACGGGGACATCTTCATGGCTGACGCTCAGCCGAGAGAGCCTTCACCGCGCGATCAAGGTATTCCGGCTACTACCGATGGCTCACATCCAAGTCCGCGTGGCTCATCGCAACTAGCCCTTCAGAGTCTCCCTGACGCGATACCATTTCGCAGCCGTCCTACCCCGTTTGGAAGACCTCCTCCAGCACCCAGCACATCGTCCGCTCGACTGAACTTGGCTCCCAGCCCGTTTGGGAACCACCTCCGATACCTCCCTCAACCTAATCCAGGTAGCGGAACCATAGTTTACCCACCGATGAGACTCTCACCGCAACATATACGCTCGTCTACACCAGGTGATTCCGAACCACCAACTCTGCCCCCGCTCTCCTCCATTATTTCCGGTCCCTACGGGAGGGGAGGATTCCAGCACGCAACGACACAGAGCGCGCCACTGTCGAAAGACGGCCGAAGTTCTGGGATCATCGGCACAAACCAAGGTTCACCACCGCATGACACGGCGCATCCTCATGGTGTTGGTTTGAGCCTTTCCTCAGATTTCCCCCACCCACCGCCTGTTTGGGATATCTCGCATGGACTTCCAGCCTGGGAGGCTTTCTTGACGGCAAGTCCGATTCCAAATGGTCCTTTTTATTTCGCTCATCCAGCTCGACCTCCAAGATCACAGACGCCTCCTCATATCCATCGGCGTCGGTTGACTCGACCTGCAACCCCCAAAGTGTCGTGCACCGTCTGTTTAGAGGAATTCAAGCGTGACGACCTGCTTCAGCTTGCCTGCAACTGCCGCTACTGCACGCCGTGCCTCAATCTATCATTTCGAGCCGGCTGTGCAAACATGGCCTCATTTCCGCCCAAATGCTGCGCCAAACCTCTCCGCATCTCCGTCTGGGGAAGCATGCTTGAGCCTGATATCCTGGATCGGTACAAGGAGATCGAAGCCGAGTTTAGCACCAATCGGCCACTGTACTGCGCATCACCAAAGTGCTCCACGTTCATCCCCGAAGGCGCTATGGTCCCACAGGATGAGCTCGGTCTCTGCCCTAAATGTGCGACCTCGACATGCAAACACTGCAGACGGCTAATGGATGATCATGCTGTTTGGGACACCGCCGAACGCATCTGCCCAAAGGAGGAAGAGGGCTTGACGAAACTCTACGAACTAGGAAGTGAGAAAAAGTGGAAACAATGTCCGACGTGTCTGAACATGGTTGAGAAGACTGAAGGATGTAATCACATGGATTGTATCTGTGGGGTGGAATTCTGCTATCGCTGCGGCAATCTTTTCGACGAAGATGACGCTTGTGAATGCGAACTCAACACATGGGACAACGAGGACGATGGTGAAGAGGAGGAAGGAGATGAGGACGACGACGACGACGACGACGACGAGGATGGGGACGAACATGACGAAGATGAAGAGTCTGATGAGGACGAGTGGCCCAATTACCGTCTCGCAGTTGACCTCGCCGGTCGCCCGAGATGTTTACACCCGGACCTGTCTCCCCTGGGCGCGCACCATCATACCTGTCACGGATGTCTCCAGAGAAATCTTCTCCTGACCTGCGAGGACTGTGCGCTGGAGCTATGCCAGGCGTGCGTGGACAAAATAAGAAATGCCAGTGGTGGCGAGGGTGACGATGGAGAGGACGGATCCATGGACTTGGATCGCCGTGGGATGGAAAGAGGCTCTAGACTCGACGGTATCCGAGAGTGGCCGAACAACTCAAATCCATATGCGCTGACTCCATTTCGTTGAGCTAAGGAGAGCTTCTCCAGCCTTTTCGATGAGGGAAGAAAGTGAACGAGCGGTCAAGGGAAAGGCGTGCCCGTCAAGGCCTCGAGGGAAGGCACCATGGGACCTGCTGATGGCAGGGGTGGATTCGCGGTCTAGCGCATGGTATGACTTACGAAGATTATGCAAGGCTGTGCGTCGATCAGGCCGGCACAGACACCAGCACATCTGAATCTGAGGCGGATGGGTCGGCCATTGCAGCCAGGAAACGGTATTCAGGAATGCACGCAATCGCGAGGTGATAACGAGTTTCATGTATTTCTTATCAGACATCGTGCCGGGATGGGGAAATCACATACTTTGGGAGGTTGAGTTCCCACTCTCGGATCACCATGTTATCGTGTTCGACTGCCTTCGAGTTGCACCAGAAGGAGGGACACGCCGCGACAACTTGTCTTCCAGGCACGTCGAATAGCTTGAAGGAACCCGTCAGTCTTCCGAAGCAGAGAAAAGGCAACAAGGGCCACAACCCGAACTGTACAGGGGAGTCTTGGACAAAGGAAACCGAATTCGGTAACTTGACGGCTTCGGCACGAGAATTGCAGTTGCTTCTTCATTCCAAGCCACTGGTCTGGGAGCCCTCTTCGGCCACCCCCTACGACGTGATCCGTGAAGTACACACGGCTGTCTAGTTTCAACTTTGCCGTTGTGCTTGGGCTCCAACTACCTTACTTCGATGGACCATTGCCTAGAGTCACAGCGTTGTGTCATTGAAGGAAACCCCTTGTAGCAGACTAGGATTCGCCGCGTCTGACCAGTCCAGCCATTATTGGGGCCAACCTCATTCAGGATGGGCAACCTTTAAAATACTCTTTCCCAGATTCTGGCCCTTGAGCATGCCGAGGAAGCCGTCGACGGCATTGTCCATGCCCTCAGTGACATGGTCGACGCTCTTGAAACTGCCGTCCTGGATCCACTTTGTGACATTCTCGTCGCGCTCCTTGCGCCATTGCACGATGTTGGGGTCAAAGACCAGGAAGCCCTGCCAGCGCAGCCGCCGCCTCACCATGGCGGCGTAGTTCTTCACGCCGTAGGGGGTCGTGTCCTTTGCGTTGTTGTACGTCGAGATGGAACCGCACGCCACGATGCGGCCGAAGACCTTCATGTTTGCGAGGGCCACGTCGAGGAGCTCCCCGCCGACGTTGTCGTAGAAGATGTCGAGGCCGTCGGGCGCCAGCCGTTTCACCGCGTCGGCCATGGATTCCTTCTTGTAGTTGAAGCCGGACGTGAATTTGAGATCGTTGAGGATAAAGTCGAGTTTGCGGTCGTCGCCGACGGAGCCGATGACCTGGGTATTGTCAGTCAGTTCTTGAGCCGATGTCCGGGGGACAGAGCTAGAATCAGAGAGGGAGAGAGGGAAAACAGGCGGCGAAGAGACAGGGTCGGGCATACTTACATGGAGGCCTTCCCGTACCGCAATCTGCCCGACCATCTGACCGACCGCTCCCGCAGCCGCGGAAATGAGAATCACGTCGCCTTTCTTCGGCTGGCCGATCTCATGTAGACTCCCGTAGGCCGTCATGCCCGTCATGCCCAATAATCCCAGGTACGCCGTGAGCGGGACGCCCTCCTTCGGCTCGATAATCTGCGTCGTCTTGACGGCGCTCTCGTCCTTGATCGAGTAGCTCTCCGACCCGGAACCCTGCAACATGACGATCTGCCCTTGCTTGATGGCTGGGTTGTCAGACTTGAGCACTTTACCTATGACGCTGACGCTGATGACGGGCTCCCCGGTTTTCATGGCCGGCGAGTACGACTGGATAGAAGGGTCACGCATGCGGCCTCGTTGTGACGGGTCATACGCCACATAGTAGTTCTTGGTCGTGAAGCCGCCCTTGGGAGGAGGGGCATTCTCGTCGAAGCCGATGTCCTCGACCGTGAGGTCCTGGCCTGGCACCGGCCAGCCATTCGGAATGGACTTGTAGATGAATGCTTTGTTTTGGACCATCTTGGTGGTGCAACCTACACAGACGATGTGAATGAAAATGGCTACTGGGCGGGTGCCTTGCAAGCTGTGATGCGGGCGGAATGACAGTCTTCATAATATAGTCTGAAGTCAGACGTTCGAGGCGGATATAGCCAGGGATATGGCGAAAGGTCTCACGCCCAGCCAATGATATGAGGGGATGATACCCCGGCGCAGACATTGTCGTGGTCGAGAAGCCTCGGTAGATGCCTGGACTTGGAGGTGGTGGCACGCTTGATTGTTAATAAAGCCTAGACGGGGACATAGTAATCGGGAATGTCCTGCCTTTGCGCGAGGAGTTGTGGCAAGATTGGCCGTCGGCCGTGATAGGCTTCAGGGTTGAGGAGCGAGAGGAGGTATTTCATTTTGCGAGGACGCGGGCTGCTGAAGTTGGACGTGTTGCTATTGAGAGTGTTGAACGGATGTCAGGGCTGGGCCGGCTATAGTAGATACTGTACGCATGTTGGTGTGGCATGTTCTGATGACAAAGCCGAAGCATTGCTGAGTGACATGTCAGGCACTTGCTGCCGACCCTTGTACAAGTTACTAAGTACCTACTACGTGCTCTCCGCGTTCACAGTAAGTCGGCCACAATGTCAATCTCCCCGGCGTGTTGCTGCACACAAGAAAGACGATGAGCAAGTCATATCACTCTCAACGCACGTTCATCGTAACGACTGGTGAGTTTGATGGCAGCCGTTCGGACAACCATTTTCGAGACCAGTAAAGCAATTGTCCCTGGGAAATTGGTCGAAGTCTCGAGGAAAATCAACGCTCCAGCTTGAACTCGGCATGCGACATCCTCGATGACTGCCCGGCGAACAACCACGCTTCTCGAGGCCGTCATCCATGTCGGTCGCGACAGCATCTACATCTGAATCCTACACCTCTTTCTGTCTGTGCCGGGAGAGGTTGGCAGATCTTGAATCGACACTCTCTTTGGGGGATGATTTACGTCAGCGAAGAGCTGGAATGCTTATTCTTCAAAGACATAGGAAGGTGGGTTGAAGGATTTCGGGAAATGTATCCTGTCTTTTCCGGATGTGGTGCAGAACAATCATTGAGAAGTGGCCAATTGCTATCTGAGTTCCAAGTCATTGTTGCTGAAATGTACGTGAAACAATTCGAGCCTCTGCCCATTTTACGGCCAACCATTTGCCATGGGCTTTTTATTTCCCAGTCTGGGTTTGCGGAGCTCCGGCGGCGAGTCTCGCTTACTGGATAGTGTCGTCGTCCCCAGGCCAAAGCGAAAGACCAGTGCAGAGCCCGCCGGAACAGCTCAAACTTTGCGGGATGGGGGCATGTTGTGCCCACTTGGTGGGATCTTTCGCTGTTCAAAGGTCCCCTCTGCCCTGCAGATGGCGCCTGGCGTAAGCCGGATACAGTTAAGAGGAGACTCCCTCCAGAGATCGGAAGCACGGATGAAGCTCTAGTCAGGCAGGCACCTAGCAGGGGAGCAGAGCCCAAGCCAGCTCACCTGCTGCGCCTGGTTGCGTAGTTGTTGCATATCAGCCATTCACCTCCGAGCACGCTTCCACTTCCCACCTGATCAGAAGACCACATTCATGCCAGAGCCCTGGACGCGGTGCGATGCCCTGCCACTGCCCTCTCGCTGAGGCTTGAGACGACTTCCAGTCGTTCACTGCTTGCTCTTCCGTCACTGTCGGAACTTCTCTTGAATTGGCTGATACATTCGCACTGGGTCATTCAGCCGAACAATTGCATGTTTGTGCATTCTCAGCAGGCTGCTGAACTAGGCATCAAACACTTCCTCACATCTGCCCAATCGTCCCACACTTGGTTCGCGCACCTTTGCGACTCATATTCACTGCTTTGACAACACAGCCATCGAGAGTTCTGCCTGCCCATATTTCGTCAGATTCACCTATCGTCTCCTTGGCGGCCGCTCCGAGCCAGCGGATATTATCACCCTCGTTGACGGCCACTTGTGCCTCAGCCTCAGCGTCAGTTCTGCCTGGAGCCCACTCATTTCTACAAGAATCGTTCACTCGCACTTATGCCCATACTGCATGATGTCCTTGTAGATTGAGAAGCCCAGACGTCGCTCGTCGGCCGTACTCTCTCCCCCACGTCTGCTCCGAATCATTCTTCCTCCAACTACCCCACCCCGCCTTCCCGACGACCGCTCGCTTCGAGATGGACCAGAATAGCGGGGTCGTGGAGACCAAGAAGACGGAGCCTGCTGTCGAACGACCAGCTGTCAGCACAACCCCTGCGCCCGAAGCCACCGTCAAAGACAAGAAACATTGCAAGAAGCACAGAGAACAGTCCGCGAAATCCAAAGTGAAGGCCAGCAAGAAGAAACAAGTCATTGAGACCGAAGATTCCGATAGCGACAGCGATGACTCCTCCGATGTCACCGCCGATAGCGACAACTCCAGCCAGTCAGACAGCGACAGCTCCATCGACCTGTCATCCAAGAAGAAGCTGAAAGCCAAGACTAGGAAACTAAAGGCAGAGGCCAAGGCGTTAGCCAAGCAGCTCAGAAAGAACAATAAGAAATCCAAGAAGAAAGTCGTGTCTGAGGATGACGAGTCCTACAGTGATGACGACCTCGAGGAGGAAGCAATCAGGCCGAGATCGCGAATCAAGATCAATGCCACCAAGAGAGCCTCCCGCTCAAAGCGGCACGGCGACCTAGAGGAATCGGACGGAGTCATTGAGATCCAGGAAGATCCCGCTTCTCAGAGACTTCGCCATTTCAAGCACAGCTTGCGCGGTCTTGATTTCCACACTAACCCATTGCCACCCCCGAGTTCTTCCGTTCCTCGAACTCAACTCATCGACCCGCTTCCTCCCATTGATGAATATGTCCGACCTCGAAGAAGCCGCCGCCGCGAGGTGGTCTACGATCCACGGGATCTGGTCCACGACCTCGACGAGAGCAAGCCAAAGAAGAAGGAGAGGAAGCCCAAACGTGCGTCAAAGGTAGCCTATAAGCGAGTCGACCAACTCTGGGATCAGTCGATCCACAACTTCAAGCTCACCGAGACTGTCAAGGAGACAGGGGATGCCGTCTGGGACCAATACATCTTCACCGTTCGCCGCAGATTCGATTGGGAGCACAAGTACTTGGCAACCATTGTGGACATCAAGTCAGAGCCTCTCAAGGAGTGCCTGCAGCATGTCATGTCGGCAGTAAAGGGTATCAGCCTGGTAGAGGATACGCCTCACCTCGATCCCAACATGCTTTTCCTCTACCTGGAAGAGATGAGACAATATGTCCACACCCTCGAGGAGGAAGCTGGGGAAAAGAAGCGCAAAGAAGCCAAGGTCCTCATTGAAAAAGCCAAACATCTCCGAATCATGGTCAAATACCTCGACAAGGACTTTGCGGAGACCAAGAAGAACCTGTACCCTCTTCTAGAAAACGGCATGATCAGTTTTGACCTGCTTTGGGCCCTTTACAAGCCGAACAGCATCGCCTACTCTGCCACCTACGGTGACCAGGAAGAACCTCGCGCTTTCAAGATTGATTTTGCGACCAAGGAGTCTCACTTTATGAGAGGCCCATGGTACACGGTTGAAGGTCGATATCTGGAGTATGATGGCAAGACTTTCGGCATGGGAACGACGCACTCGGAGATTTCGTCGTTCCAGGGTGTCCGCAAGATCACATCGTTGGATTGCTATCCTCTGCAGTACCACAAAGAATCCGAGAAGCTGAAAGCAAAGTTGATCGAGCGAGGAAAGCACTTTGTCTCGCTCCAGGGGATGAATTACCGCCACCACAAAGGTATGGCTTATGCCAAGCGCAAGAAGCAAGTCTTGAAGATTCATATCGATGGGCGAGTCATGGTGGACCCTGCTATCCATCGCCGCATCAATCCGAACTATCCAGTCAGTGTCGTCAAGCCAAAGGAAGACCCAGATGCCATAAATTTTGACGACCCTGACGATGACTGCGGGTGTGACAACGCCAGTGACACGGACGCTGTTGGTAATAATCAGCCCACGCCATCAGACGAAACGATTCAGGTGCAGGAGAAGAAGAGGTACAAGGTCGTCAAGATGCCTACGGGACAGAATATCATTGTTGAAGTAAACTCGAAAGAGGACGTCCATTCCAGCCACAAGACCGAACCGCTTCCTGAAGACAAGCAGTCAACCCACGAGTTCACGGAGGAAGAGCTACTCATTGCGAGTCCTGTTGTACTGGGTTTTGCGTTCAGCGAGAAACTCTGGCTTGAATTCACTGTTTCTGGGATCTCCGACGTTGTGTTCAACGACCAAGCATTTGAGAGCCTTGTCCTTCCAGAGAATCACAAGTCGATCGTGAAGGCTCTGGTGTCCAGCCATGCTTTCCAGGCCCACCGCAGCATTGATGATATCATCTCAGGCAAAGGTCGTGGCTTGGTAGCGGTCCTTCATGGACCTCCCGGTACTGGCAAGACGTTGACGGCGGAGGGCATCGCAGACCTCCTCAAGTGTCCACTCTACATGGTTAGCGCGGGTGATCTAGGTACGGAGCCGACCAAACTCGAAAAGGAACTGCAGAACATCCTCGATATCGCTCACAGCTGGGGTGCAATCTTGCTGCTGGACGAAGCAGATGTCTTCCTCGAGCAGCGATCCATCCACGACATTCACAGGAATGCGCTGGTCAGCATCTTCCTCCGTCTTTTGGAATATTTCCAAGGCATCCTCTTCTTGACCACCAATCGAGTGGAGACGTTCGATGCGGCCTTTGTGTCACGTATCCACCTGTCATTGCGCTTCCAGAACCTTACCACCAAGGCCAAGCGCACGGTCTGGAAATTGTTCATCGAGCGCGTCAAGAACCAAGAAGGCATGGAAGTTTCCGCTGTTACCGAACAAGACCTCAACGACCTGGCTCGGCGTGAAGTCAATGGTCGACAGATCAAGAACCTTGTACGCGCTGCACAAGCCTTGGCGGTGCATGAAGATGTGCCGCTCAGCATGGTGCACATAAGACGGGTGATCGATGTCGCTGAGAGCTTCGAGATGGATCTCAAGGGCGGTACGGGATACTCGGACGCGATGAGAAGTGAGTTCGATCACATCCGACTTGACCTTTTGAGAAATCTGCTGACTCTGAAAATAGGCTACACTTGATCTGTTTCCTTTGGGCCACGCCGTTCGAATCCGGCTGCCAGCCTGAGGTGATGGACTGACGAGGACGAAATTCGTTGGACTACCTTTCGTCATGGTCAATAATCGGGGCCGAGGCAGATAGCAGGCAGTAATACCAGGGAAGGGGTCCTAGTTGGATTGTTCTGTATTGCCCAGGATCGCCCGTCGCAGAAAGCGGACGCGTGTCGTATTCTTGGTGGACAAAGGCGATGAAGGTACGAGACAGGAGCACAAAGATTGGACGACTTTTGGAGGTCACACATCACTCCCTTAGCAAGCGATTCGTAGCCTTGACGTTGATGATGCGGAGGAATAAGAGTATGTTGTAATCTTTAATTACAGGACGAATTGTCTATCCCCTCTACCGCTCCTGCTTTTTCTGGCTGTCTTATAGTCTTGGCAGCCTTAAGCCCCCAGGACTGTCTTATATACGAGACGTTCGTCACACGATCGGATGTGGTAAATGAGTGAGTGCCATTGAGCTGCAAGACCAAGACGAACCAAAGGCGGAGGGAGGTGAGAGACTTGACACTCCTATTCGTGTTCCAGATACAGGTACTTTACATATGCACTCATGGCATCATCACGCGCCATTTAAAAGACATCGACACGGTAATTACGGAGTACAGTAGAACAAAACAATCGTTCCAAAGACGGCCATACAGTAACTAACTAGGTAGGTAGGTACTAGGTACGTGCTGTTATCCGTGCGGTTGCATGGCATGGCGTGGCATGGCATGGGTACTAGGTAGGTAATATATCTCTCCGTTCTTGCTTCTTGCTCTTGCTCTTGCTCTTGCTCTTGCTCTTGCTCTTGCTCTTGCTCTTGCTCTTGCTCTTGCTCTTGCTCTTGCTCTTGCCCTCGCGCGTCGTGGGAACGCTCATGCATGCTGCACGTACCACAGTAGATACAGTAGATGTCTCGTCTCCTTCATCAGAACCGACGGAATGGGCGGACCGTTCATTCCTTTAGCAATTGATTGATGCGTCGAGAAATGGACAGACCGTTCATTCCTTTAGCAATTGATTGATGCGTCGAGA